GTTGGATCATGTGCCCACTCGAAGTGCATGGGGCACCTTCCCACCAGCCTAGAACGATAGCTTGTAGGGTCTGGAGTTGCAGGCAACGCCCGACAAACCTCTCACCCTAAACCCTAAACCCTAAACCCTAAACCCTAAACCCTAAACCGTACACCCGACAACAAGCGACAGCCTGACGCTTGCTGAGGCCCGTTCCCTCGTATGCTTGGGGACGGCCTGGGCACAAGATGGTCCTAAACCCTGCACACAACCCTATATACCCTGAACCCTACTGTAAACCCCCAACCGCGGGGGTGTAGGCCGCTTGGGTTAGAGAGAGAGAGAGAGAGAGAGAGAGAGAGAGAGAGAGAGAGAGAGAGAGAGAGAGAGCGAGAGAGAGGAGAGAGAGAGAGAGAGAGAGAGCACGATTCTTCGGCCACAAGGAGCGTGGGAGTGCAGAGAGCAAGGTCTGGGCTGTCCTTTCGAAAGCTCGACAAGCTCGATCGCATGATTAAACCCGTAAACCCTCAACAAAATCAAGGAACTTCCACACTAAACCCTGCTTTACTTTGCCACCCGCCTGCCGGCAAGTGGGCATGAATTTGGCGACAAAGAAACGTCCCACCCTAACTACCCAATAAACAAAGAAGGTTCGTTAAGGTTTTGCTGGGTCGTATTTCGTGTAGGGTAGCTGGAGTATAGGATCACCAAAACTAAAGCCTTTAAGCTTAGTGTTGAGCAAGGGCTTGTGTCGGATTTGTCAAGATTTAGCGGCGTACTTGTTGTAGGCTTTTCGGGTTTCGGGAGGGGTTTGAGGGTCGAAAACAAGACCCGACTGTTCATTGGAACGGTATTCAAGATAGTTGATCTCATGGTGATCGTATCATAGCGCTGGTGACCAGTCACCCTAAACCCGAGACCCAAAACCCCAAACCCTGCGCTCCCTGCAAGAGATCCACCCCATTGCTTCCCTTCACTTCCGAGGCGGCAGCATGTGTGTTCCCAAACGGGCAGCATGTGTGCATTCCAATCCTTCAGGGGGGGGGGGGGGGGGGGGGGGGGCAATCTTCGGGCTCGGAAACATAGCAAAATCCCGAAAAAAGGGACCCCAAATAGTAGAATCCCCTTATAAGAAGGACCCCTAGGAAGGCACCCCCCTCTTTTCGGAAACCCCCCTAAACCCTAAACCCTAAACCCTAAACCCTAAACCCTAAACCCTAAACCCTAAATTAGGGTGAGGCATGTCGAGGCTCCGAAGCTTGAGTAGATCAGGGTTCAGGAGTGGGTTGCTTGGGGCATCTGTGCACCATCGGGGGTTTAACTAGGGCTTATAGTGTTCAGGGTTTAGGGTTTAGGGCTTTGGGTGTTTAGTGTCTAGGGTTTAGGGTTTAACTAGGGTTTAGGGTGTTTAGTGTTTAGGGTATTTGCGCCTAGGGTTGCGTCGCCTCGTAGGATGTGGGTGTGGGCAGACTTTGGCTCGGCTGAACTGAACTAAAGAAAGGGTTTAGGGTTTAGGGTTTATGGGTTTAGGGTTTAGGGTTTAGGGTTCAGGGTTCAGGGTTTAGGGTTTAGGGTTAGATAGCGTTCAGGGTTTAGGAGATATGGTTACGACTGCTATCAGTGCTGCAGGCAGCAAAGCGCAAAAATGCGGAGAGGGAGGCTTGCGGCCTTGTAAGCAGTCACTACCTGAAGAACTCAAAACCCAGTTTCGGAGTCATAAGCTACAACACTGAGGCGTGGGGTTCTTACTTAAGGTATGTGTTTAGGGTTTAGGGTTTAGGGTTTAGGGTTTAGGGTTTAGGGCTTTAGGGTTTAGGGTTTAGGGCTCAGGGTTTAGGGTTTATAAAGGGTTTAGGGTGCACTGGCATCCAGTTCAGACGAGGTGCTACCCGTGTCTTCGTCAGCTCATACTTTTCCTCAAAGACCGGTTCAGCGGGTTAGGGTTTAGGGTTTAGGGTTTAGGGTTTAGGGTTTAGGGTTTAGGGTTTAGGGTTTAGGGTTTACAGGTGTGTGGTCAAAGTTCCCTCTGCGACCCGCGGAGGCTCTTGTGGGCGGGGGCCGGCACAGCCAGTCTGCGCAATTGCAATGCATGCCTTCGTTCGTCCCCATCACCGAAGACCCCGTCTCAACTCTACCCTCAGGACAAATAAACAAATGTGTATATATGTATGTCATATATGCGTACATATGTAGATGCATGAATACATATCTATATTCATATGCGTGTGGTGTGCTACAATAATTCGGACATGCTTAAGAATTTAACATTCGAGGAATGGGATTAAGAGTTGCCGGTTTCCCCAAAAGTCTGAGAACCCTTCGGATACCCAGCCCTAAACCCTGAACAGTAAACCCCAAACCCAAAACCCTAACGGGCACAACCCCGCACCTCAGTGGAACCCGCACACGTGGCAATGTGGCACCGGTTGCAATGCCCTGATATGCCCAAATCCACTCGCCCAGTCACACATCCACCCACTCAACCCTAAACCCTCAACCCTAAAGCCTTTTTGAACCCAGACTGCTGAAGCCCTAAACCCTATACCCTAAATCCTAAACCCAGCCTAAGCCCTAAAAACCCGAATACAACCTTAAGCTCCCCCAACCCCTGAGAGGACGGGCAGAGCTGGCCCAGTTGATCGCTTTGGACCAAAGCACCACGGCGTATGGATCCATTCTGGCAGGCAATCTTGAGGGGAGGGTTTGGGGCCTGGGGTTGTGGCCCTAAACCCTACACCCTAAACCCCAAACCTTAACCCTAAACCCTAAACCCTATAGGGTTTATACCTACTAACCCCAAGGGTTGCGAAGTTTGGGCCTTGGGTTTGCGGCTGATTGGGCTGGATGGCTCGAAGCCGAGATTCTGGGGAAATGTCTTCTGAGCCTTTCTCTCTTTCATAAGGCCTTGGGGGCCAAATGAACCCTAAAATTAAACCCTAAACCCCAAACCCCAAACCCTAAACCCTAAACCCTAAACCCTAAACCAAACTCCATACTACTCGAATTCTTATTTAGGTATGTGAACCTCCCAGGGTTCACATGGTCCCGCAGAGATTTAATGAACCGATGGAGTAGCGATTACCGTACTGCATGAGCTACACTCCCCCCTTTTGCTTGGGGCCAAATGAACCCCCCAAAATGAGGTCATATTAATACTATCAGACTTCCTATAAGGAATATGTGCCCTTAACCCTTTGTCCTATTAAGGAATATGAGCCCTTAACCCTTTTTCCTGAACCCGAAATATGAGCCCTGAACCCTTTCTCCTTTTAAATAATATGAGCCCTTAACCCTTTTTCTTATTCAGGAATATGAGCCCTTAACCCTTTTTTCCTGAACCCTGCATTTGGCCCCGGAGGATTTATTTCTGCGATGCAGGGTTGTGGAGGGGGCCAAGTCGAGTACGTGTTGAGTGGTGGTGGGTTTAGGGTTTAGGGTTTAGGGTTTAGGGTTTAGGGTTTAGGGTTTAGGGTTTAGGGTTTAGGGTTTAGGGTTTAGGGTTTTAGGGTTTAGGGTTTAGGGTTCAGGGTTCAGGGTTTAGGGTTTAGGGTTTAGGGTTTTGGATTCACGTTTGGCCTCCCGAAAGATTCAAAATTCTTCGTCAGCTCGGCTCTGATAACCTTCACGACCTCGGCGCGCTGGGCCAAGATGAACCCTCAAAGGGTTTAGGGTTTAGGGTTTAGGGTTTAGGGTTCGTATTAACTTAAGCAGGAATTGGAGTAGTATATGACCCCCAAGATTAGGGCTCATCCATCTACCTTAAACAGGAAATACAGGACTATAGAGGGTATATGATCCCAGGTTTTTTGGTTCGTTTGGTCCTCATGGCTGGGCAGAGTGCCGTCACCTTGGGGGGCTTAGGGCTTCTAGGGCTTAGGGTTGAGGATTTAGGGTGGAGGGCGTAGCGCTTAGGGCTGAGGGTGAAGAAACTTTGAACTGTAAACCCTGAGCAAGTATACCTTGCCATACCTTGCCACCCAGGAAACCCACGGCCCGACAGGGAGGGGTGGGGTGGGGCCCATCGAGCAAGATGATTTAGCATGTCCCCCCCCCCCCACACATTTAGTTAGAATTCTGAGGCCTTTCGAGTGTGATAAGTGATAACGGCAACTAGTATGGCATGCGTGCTTACATGGCGTACACGTCCCCCAAAACTGAGCACCCTCCATAGAGCGCACAACCAACATCCCCTCCCGCCCCAGACCTATAACCTTGGGGACTAAATGAACCCTAACCTTGGGGTCATATGCCCTAATTATACTACTCCAATTGCGATTAAGGTATAACCATAAACCCCTTTGGGTCCCCAAGGAACCCCCAAAATGCACCAACGACAGTAGAGCTCCGCTGCCGACGTCCTAAGCCCATGGCAACTCCCATCCTGAACTCCTTCTGCCGGTCCTGCGCCGCTAGTTTAGGGTTTAGGGTTTAGGGTTTAGGGTTTAGGGTTAAGAAAACTTCTTCCGAATAAGGGCAATATGGGGATTGTTGTACTCGATCTTTCTGGGTGGTTGTGAGCAACTAGTAGGAAGGTGTCGAAAAGCGCTGTTTGGAGTCCGGAGTTTGCAGCCGGGCTAGAAAGAGGCATCGAATCCCTGAACCCTAAACCCCTGATCTTGTTTAGGGTTTGTTGGTTTAGGGTTTAGGGTTTAGGGTTTAGGGTTTAGGGTTTAGGGTTTAGGGTTTAGGGTTTAGGGTTTAGGGTTTAGGGTTTAGGGTTTAGGGCTCATGCCCCTCTTCTCCCACAGCTCGTTTTTGAAGCCGTATAGGAGCTCGGGGCTACTACGCTACCAAACACAGCGTTCAGGTTTTCCAGTACAGAGCTGAATAGGGGGTCCAATGCTTGCCTGCAGTCTTCCCACCCTAAACCCTAAAGCCTAAACCCTAAACCCTAAACCCTAATTCTGAAGCCCCAAAGCATCTTCCAGCATTGCCGAACTGATAGGCTCAAGATGTTGCCGGGTTCTTGGAACGCTGGTTTGGCTTTGTTGCTGGGGCTCACTGGTTTTTCGGGTTTGGGCTCAGTCCGCTGTGTCCTTGGGCCTGCGCGGTTTAGGGTTTAGGGTTTAGGGTTGACAGGGAGCTATAGAGAAGAGCCTATAGCACACAGCGCAGAAACCCCAATGTCCTCTAAACCCCTACCCGAACAGCCGGGTTGCAGGCCTAAACCCTAAACACTCAACCCTAAACCCTGAACCCTGAACCCACCCTAAACCCTAAACCCGAAACCCTAAACTACTCCCTGGCTCTCCCAAGACACGGTGCCGCTTTTGCCGTGATCGCCACGAGCTCATAGAAACGAGAGCGCAGGTATTTGAAATGCACCTGAGGGACGAAATGGACCCTAAAAGGAGTTTAGGGTTTAGGGTTTAGGGCTCATATTACCTTAATAGGAACTGGAGTAGTATAGAGCATATTGACCCCAATTTTAAGGTTCTTTTGGTCCCCAAGGCACTGGGATCTCAGACAAGTCGATCACCTCAACCTCCAGTCCGAGCAGTGCACAGTCATCCAGGAACTGCGGATAGACGGAGACTTCCGACTTCAGCGTCGTGGCTGAGAAGTAGATCCGCTTCTCCAGGGACATGTATAAGGCGGTGGCCTTTGTCTTCCTTACGTTCTGAACCTAAATGAGCCCTGAAAAGTTTATGGTCCGTATTCCCGAATTGGGCTTCATAGTAGAAGGTATAGGATCCCAGCTTTCGGGGGTCATTCGGTCCCGAAGGCCCTTAGGAACATCAAAGGAAGGAAGCCTCCATGATCACGATGGAAGGGTTTTGGGGTAGTCCTACTCTTGCTATCGCATCACCAACTCGTCTCTTTCAGAGACCTCTAGTAACCATAGTATCCCGTTGGTGGAGAGGAACAAACCAGCACAACACTTCTCAACAGGGCCGGTGCTTCAGCAGACTGGCCACGAGCTGCGCAAAGGAGTGCGCAGCAGCGGCGTCGTAAATGACGTCCGCGGCGAGCAGTACCTCCGCAGCCCAAACATCACCTGGCACAGTTCCAGGGCTCAGTCGGTTCGACCGGTTTTAGGGTTTTTTCGGGTTTCGGGTTTAGGGTTCCACCTCAACCCTTGACCCCGAACCCTAACCCGAAACCCAAAACCCCAACACTCATCTTTCAACCCTCGATGTTCTCGAACCTTGTACCTTGAACGGTCATTAACCTGATGTTACCTCATGCTGTGACCGGCTGATGTTGAACAACACCCAAACACCTTCAACAACCCCTGGCCCTGGCCCCCTAAAGCCAGTGCAACAGTCATTCGCCGCCGCAAAAACCCCGCACGAACCAAATCAAAAGTCGCATTCTTGGAGACAGGCCGAATAGAAATCCAAAGTTCTGTTCAACACGCTCAACAAAACCGAGCAAGCAAAAGCCCTATATTACAAAGCCGTAAAACCCATAAACCTAACCACAGCCCCGAGCCCCAAGCCTTTAATCCTAAACCTTACGCCCAAAACCCTAAGCCCTAAAACCCTATAAGCCCTAAGCCCTTCACCCCAAGCCCTACGCCCTAAACCCTATAAACCCTAAACCCTAAACCCTATAAACCCAAACATCTCCTTTCTTGGCGCGCCTGCGTGCCCCTCTTTCGGGGTGGGAGGTGCCTCCCAGCGCAAGACCTCCACGGGCACCTCACCAGCACCGTTCCTTGGGACGGGGGAGTCAAGAGTAGGGTTTCAGGTTTAGGGTTTAGGGTTTAGGGCTAGGGTTTAGGACTTAGGGTTTAGGATTTAGGGTTTAGGGTTTCGCGCTGAGGGCTTAGGGTTCAGGGAGGGCCCAGAGGGGCTGTAGGGGACAGCATGCAGGGAGAACATAATCCCTGAACCCTGCAAACCCTATAAACCCTACGAACCCTGTCAACCCCACAAACCCTCTATACCCTTGAACACGCTATGTGCATGGTCAAACGCTATAAACCCCCTGAACCCATGATCCTCAAGCGCTTGGGGGTGTTCTGGGAGGTGGAGTTTTGTAGGTTCCGGGTTTTTAGGGCTTTGGGTTTTCCGGTTTTTCGTGTTTTTAGGGTTTTAGGGTTTTGGGTTTTCGGGTTTTTTAGGGTTTTGGGGTTTTAGGGCTTAGTGATCTCTCTTGCTGGATGTTTGTGGAGTTGGGGTTCGGGATTTTGGTTCTCAACTCGGAGACTGGCGTGGTGCGGTGTGGCTCCCACACGAAACCAACAACAACATCCCGAGCGCCAGGATACTATTGTTCAGACATGTCTAAACAAATGGCTACTCTTTTTAAAGTTAGAGATGTCTAACAAAATGGCTAATCTATTTTAGACATGTCCAAAGACTTAGTAGCCCAGTAACCATATTCTCATAAAGGCACCCTTTTTTGGTTGGTTACTTTATAAGGGAACCCAGAACCCAAAAAAAGGGTAAAGGGTACCACTGGGCTACCAAGAAGAAATAGTAGCCAGAAACGTTCGACGCTCGTATCGTCATGCGGCCTTTTCAGGTTCGCCTGGCAATTCGCCACTGCCTGGGCCACCCCGACAAACAAAGCAAAGCCTTAACGCATGCGGGGTTTAGGGTATAGGGTTTAGTGTTTAGGGGGAGTTCTGGCACCCTTGTTGGCGCTCACTGAAGAACTTTTGAAAATTCCAAACCTCTAAGCCTGAGCCGTGAAACCTGCAACTTAAAGCCTACTTGTCGGTTCATGGGTGCAGAAAAGCAGGGATACAAGTACTCCACATAAGGCCACAAGTGCGGCTGGGTTTAGGGTTTTGGGTTTGTGGTTTAGCGTTTAGGGTTCTAACCCTACTCATAAACCTCTAAGCAATCCCCTCAACTAAACATTTTTACTTGTCAAACCCTAAGGCCTGAGACAACGAAACCCTGAGGCCCTACACCCCTAAAAACCAAATATAAGGCTCCAGAGTGGTTACTAACCGTATTCCCTTATGATGGTCCTCATATAAGTATACTACAGGACCGCCCAAAACCCTATTCTAGTTATGAAGGCCCCATATACCAAAAAATGAATACCTAGACCCCTTTTAGCCTCAACCCTAAACCTACCCCCCATAGACCCTAAACCCTAAACCCCAAATCCTATTATCCCTAAACCCTATAAACCTTAAACCCTGAAACCTATAACTAAACCCCCAAGGTCCACTCGCATAGCAATTAGACCCTGCACCCTATAGACCCTAAACCCAAAACCCCAAACCTCAAACCCTATGTTCATACCCTAAACCCTATAAACCCTAGACCCTAAAGCCTAAACTCCAAACCCCAAACCCTATGTTTATACCCTAAACCCTAAACCCGTAAACCCTACAAAGGTAAACCCTGAACCCTATAAAACCTATCAACCCTAAACCCCCAAGGTCCACTCACAAAACCCTAAACCCTAAACCCTAAACCCTAACCCCAAACCCTAAACCCTAAACCCGAAACCCTAAACCCTAAACCCTAAGCCCTCCACTCACATAGCGCGCCTCCGCGCTCCCGTCCGTGCAGAGGACGTGGGCACCGAGGCGCCAGGCCAGCAGCGAGCAGAGGCCAAGCCCGGCCCCCAGTTCGCACACCGTCCTTTTTGGGGTTTCGGGTTTAGGGTTTAGGGTTTAGGGTTTAGGGTGCAGGGTTTAAGGGTTTAAGGTTTATAGGGCTTTGGCTTTAGGGTTTAATTGGGGTGTAGGGTTTACGGTTTTAAGGGTTTACAGGTCTTTGGCTTTAGGGTTTAGGGTGTAGGGTTTAGGGTTGAGAGGTTCAGGCTTTTGTTGTGTGGGGTTTACGAGTTTAGGGTTTTGGGTTTAATTAGGGTTTATAGGTTTTAGGGTTCTAGGGTTTAGGGTGGCTTTGGGGTGTTTGTTTCTTTGGGGGGGCCGGATGAAGGTTTGGGGGGTTTATCACTTGGGCGGGGTTTTGCCTGTTTTTTTTTTAACGGGGATGGGGGGGGGGGGGTAGTGGGTGTTTAGGGTTAACCCTAAACCCGAACTCCTAAACCCTAAACCGTTAGGGTCTCTGGGGTCTTTGGGGGCATAGGGTGGGGGGGTTGGAGTTCGGGCTTTGCTTTTGCTGAAGGGCGGTGTTTGACAATTCGAGTTATTCGGCTGATGGTTCAGGGCTTGCTGGTTGGGGTCTAGGGTCTACGTTGAAGTGGAGATACTAGCCACTATACTACAGTGGATCCCTAAACAGCTCGGAACAATGCCCGACGTGTTGCAGGCATGTCAGAAGACCCAGTCCCCAAACCTCATCCCCCCGTGTAGACCACAACTTGTTTTATCTCAGAAGCTCTTTTGCCAGAGGACTCTCGTACGTGCCTCGATCTCTCAAACCCGAAACCCCTAACCCTAACTCTAGACCCTACTTGGAAGTTCATGGGTACTTGCAAGAAGGGATATAAGTGCCCTAAATAGGGTTATAAGTTATACGCAGCTACCCCTGAACCCTAAACCCTAAACCCTGAACCCTAAATCCTAGACCCTAAACGCCCCTAAGTAGACCCTCTACCAAGCAGTCAGGGAGCCTTCCGCGAACCAGCTCTGGTCGCGTCAGGAGCAGGTCGCTCAAGACCAGCGCGCCAGCCCAGAGCTGTAAGCCTACCTGCTCCAACCTCGACATGCACGGGTTTAGGGTTTGGGGTTTAGGCTTTAGGGGTTTAGCTGGACTGCGTGTTTGGGCATTTAGGGTTTAGGGTAATTATATTGTTCAGGGTTTAGGGTAATTAGAGGGTTCAGGGTTTAGGGTAATTATTGGGTGTAGGGTTGAGGGTTCAGATTTAGGGTTTAGGGTAAGTGGAGGGTCTTCGCATCATGGCTGCCAGGGGCCGCCAGAAAGTGTTGGAAGCAGCGTAGAAGAGACTAGTGCCAAAGGCAGCAGGGCATCAGGAAGGCGCAGAACAGAAGGACCCCCGTCAAACCGAACAAAAACAGCAGTCCACGTCCCAAAGCTAGATGCATTGAGATCCTGAAATCACAACCAGAAACAACCCAAAAACCCGAAGGCCCTAACATCCCTAAGAGTCCCTCAGACTCCTAGACCCGAAACAACTCTAAACCCTAAACCCTAAACCTTAAACCCGAAACCCTTTAAACCTCAAACCCCAAACCCTAACCCTAAACAACCCTCTTTCAGAAGATGGGAAGGACCCCAAGTAGCTGGGAGGTGGCCAATCTCTCCAGCTCAATCCGCCAGCCGACGAGACCTCTGGACATGTCGGGTTTGGGGTTGAGGGTGTAGGGCCTGGGATTTAGGGTTTAGGGTTCGGGGTGGCTTGGGATGTTTCGAGATTTTTTGGCACCGGGATGAAGGGGGTCGTATTTATATTTACAAGGCCTAGAAGAGGGGACCGCAGTTTCCATGTTTGGGTAGAAGTGGACCACGCCACTAGAGCAAGCGAATTCACCTTTTTGGTCCGCCTGTCCAAGCCTAAACCCTAAACCCTAAACCCTAAACCCTAAACCCTAAACCCTAAACCCTAAACCCTAAACCCTAAACCCTAAGCAACCTCAACCCTAAACCCGGAAAAAAGTGTACCCACTCTTTCAGGAAACTCCCCACTCCCAACCATCCTCAGCAATACTCTGGTGCATGTCACAAAACTGGGCATTCAGGTTGTGGGCTAGAGGGATCTGGCCCAAGGTTCGGGCTTAGGTCAACCCTACACCCCGAAGCCTAAACCCTAAACAGCAAACCCCATACCCCAAACCCTAAACCTATGACGCCCTCGAAACCTCCACTGTCCCCCGAGGGGCCTGTCTCCGCATACTCCGGGGCGGCAGCTCTGGGCATCACGAGGTCCCCATCCTGCGACGGGGTGCGTCCCTTTTGGGCAGGCTGGTGCAGTCCTATCAGTCTCTTGGGGCGGGGGTGAGCAGAATGACCAGGTATAAGGTCACTCACATCGGGCTAAAAGGCTTTAGGGATTTGGGGCTTGCAGTGCATAGGGTTTGGGGGATTTAGGGTTAGAGGTGGATAGAGGCCACGCCTCGTCCTCCTGGCAAGGGGGCTGCGGGGCCCGAACTTGCAAGGCCTTAGCACGGACGTGACAGAACTCGGCAAGAGGAGGTGTGGGGTGTTCGAGCCTAGGGCTTGAGGACTTACTTTTAAGGGTCCATGTACATGTATGATGCATACTTAAGGCCTAAAGGGGTGCGCCAATAGTAGCTTTAGGGCTCAGGTATATACTGCAATACAGTAACTGTATAGGTACATGGACCCGTAGGGTCAGGGGCTGAGAGATTTCGGGCTTCAGGGGTCGTTCGGGTCTTGTGGGGTGCGCGGTGAAAGCTGGAAGCGGCGGTTCTTGAGGGCCCTAAAGTTCGTGATGTCGAGGCAATATCTTTCGGGTTGAGGGAGAGAAGGGTTTAGAGTACCCATGCCAGCTGCAGTCCTGTGCACTGAGCCCTTTGGGCTTGCGTGTCTGCAAGGTGTGAGGTTCAGGGTTGAGGGTAGTTTAGGGTTTAGGGTTTGAAGTTTAGGGTTTAGATTGTGGTAAGAGGCACGAATTTAGAGACATCCTCCATTGAGGTATTTGACATCAGGGTTGGAACTACGATTACGACGTCATCTCCAGTTGGTACCTGATCTCCCAACACCCTTTCTTTAAACCCGGTCTCTGTTCCAAGCCCATTTTAATCAGCCTTGCCCGGTTGTCCCGAAGATGCAAAGGTTCAGAGCCATGTTTGCATGCCAGACGCCGTCGCATTTGATCTCATCCCAGATGAGTGGACCACTAAATTACCTCACTCGCCTTTAGGAGGTTGCGTGTAAGCCGGCAGCTGTTTCCAACTCTGAACTAGTTAGGGCTGGTTATAGGGTTCAGGCTTCATCACTTCAGTGTACTTTATATGATGATATGACTATATAAACCCCCAAACCCCAAACCCTAAACCCTCACGTTGTTATCTCTCTTGTAGCCAAAAGAGCGGAGAGTCTCCAGGCTTTGCTGCCCGCGCTGAGGGGCGGGAGCTCCTCTGACTTAGGGGCTTTCTCGGGATCTAGGCGGCGGGGCCAGAAGGCCTGGGGTCTAGGGTTTAGGGTTTATAAGGTTTAGGGCTTTAGGGTTTAGGGTCTGAGCGCTGTTCAGACTTAGGGAAATGTCGGGGGGTTTAGGGGGCTCAGGGCCCAGCCCTCGGACATTCCCAAGTAACTTCCGGTTGCAGGTCGCAGGGATGAGGCTCTGGCAGCCGTCTGACAAATACTCCCCAAAAAGGGGGGGCCCTCTGACTAGTTACGGACCCTTAGCATGGTCACTGTAGGGAGCTGCCACCCTGCACCCACCATGGTCTACTAATGCTGATGACAGGATGGGGCCAGCAGGGTTTAGGGTTTAGGGTTTAAGGTGTAGGGTTTAGAGTTTAGGGTCAGAGGGGGCAGCCTAAACCTTTGGCCGGCTCGCCTCGGCAGGCAGGGAAAAACCGTGAGAAGTGCCATGAACAAAGGCCCCAAACACCCCTGCATGGGCCCAGAGTTGATTTCAGAGTTTACATGAGGGGTTTAGGGTTTAGGGTTTAGGGTTTAGGGTTTAGGGTTTAGGGTTTAGTTTACATGTAGAGCCCCCAACACAATGCTTGGCTAATCGTCGCTAGAAACGCAAGTCTCCTACAGTAACCGGGGTGTCTTGGGGCTGCAGGGTATACGGCCGACTTTGGGATCTCTGAAAAACTGAAGACTGCTTTGGGCGGTATGCCCAGTAGGGGCGGACAGCGGCCAGAATCCCAGCGTCCAAGCTGCACAGGGTGGCGTGGGTAAAGACATTGGGATCTTCCAACCTGCTATCTACGACCTGCCGGCTGGGGGTGTCGAAAGAAAAGCATAAGCAATAGACTCAATAGTTGATTACAGACGGGTGAGAAATCATTAGAAGTCACTACAGCACTCCATCCATCGGAGCACGCAGCAACACACCTACTACCCAAGGGTAAAACCCTCGAAACCTTCATTGGAGGTCCTCCAAAGCAAGGCCATCGGCCTCGCAAAGGGGCGGGTTGCAAGCTGGAGATGTAGGGTTTGGGGTCTAAATTCCCACGGTCGGGATTATGTCGTATAGGCATGTAGGATTCTTTGAACTACTCCCAATCTCAGTGCGCATTTGATCCCTAGGCTTGGTACCCCTCTCGACTTGCCTTTGGGAAGCTTCGAAATGGGGTTCCCTAAACCCTAAACCCTAAACCCTAAACCCTAAACCCTAAACCCTAAACCCTAAACCCTAAACCCTAAACCCTAACCCTGAACCCTAAACCCTAAACCCTGAACCCTAAACCCTAAACCCTAAACCCTAAACCCTAAACCCTAAACCCTAAACCCTAAACCCTAAACCCTTATCGACTTGTTCTTGCGATGCTAAACCTGAAGGCCCCCCAGGCACCTCGATGATGCCACAGATGTCGCCCTCCTCAACGAGGCACCGAGAATAAGGTTTAGGGTTTAGGGTTTAGGGTTTAGGGTTTAGGGTTTAGGGTTTAGGGTAGTTTAGGGTTTAGGGTTTAGGGTTTAGGGAAACAAAAACAGGAGATGATGAGGCCCACTGCATGCGCTTGGCTCAAGGCGAGGTGAACGCTTTCAAAACAACCCCCGGCTTCTGTGGGCGAAAGCTCTGGGGAATCCTTGGACATTAAGACGCGCGGCTGCTCCATGAACAATCGACTGGTAGATGGATGCCCTCTTCCCTGTGAGCAACCCGGAACCCTAAACCACAAACCCCAATATTAGACTCTGAAGTCACAACAGCGACACGGCCCTCTTTGGGTTTTCCGAAAGGCCGACAACCCTAAACCCTAAACCCTAAACCCTAAACCCTAAACCCTAAACCCTAAACCCTAAACCCTAAGGATGCAGCAGTCTGGCTTCGGTGGCCTTTCGGGTTGTTGCTTTCAGGGTTTTAGGATCAACGAAGTTCTAGAGCCCTGAGCCCGAAAAGCCCTAATGCCCTCAACGCCCATCCTAAGTGCCATGAGCCCTAAAATGCGCTAAACCCTAAACCGCCCTAAACCCTAAACCCTAAACCCTAAACCGCCCTAAACCCTAAACTTAATAAAGCCATGAACCTCGCGAGTCCTCCGAGTCCGAGTCCGAAGCGCTCGGCGGCTCCATGGCAGGAATGTGTTTAAGCTGAAGCAGGGCCTGGGGGACGTGTAGGTTTAGGGTTTAGGGTTCAGGGTTTAGGGTTTAGGGTTTAGGGATTACTCGCTCACACTCGTTTTAGGCTAAATGAACCCTAAAAATGTTTGTGGTATGTATACAATAAGTCGGGATTACAGCAGTGTAGAGTATGTGATCCCAATTCTCGGGTTCATCCGAGCTGACCCGCCCAGAAGGAGTGATCCATAGGGGACCCGGGCAGCCACGACCCTAAACTCCAAAACCTTAAACCCTTGAGAACACAAACCGTTCTGCACCTAAACCCTGAAGACTCTTAACCTTAGCCCTCCACAGACATCTGGCAGCCGCAGCCATGTGATCTGCCCGGATGAAGAGCCGAATGCCGGCAGGCAGAGATTCTCAAATTGCGGCTGAACCTTAAACCCTAAACCCTAAGCCGTAAACCCTAAACCCTAAACCCTAAATTAATCCTGAGGCCCCAAACTAGGGAAAAAGGGCGCCCCAGGGGAAGTAAGTAGCGGCGCCAGGTATGGGACCACGGACTTTCTTGCGTGCTTTTGGGGCTTCGAGCTTTTGAATCCTAAGCCCGATAAGGCCTAAAGGTTTAGGGTTTAGGGTTTATAGGGTTTATGGGTAGGGCTACAAGCTCCTTTTGTGGTCCCAGAATTGAGGTACAAGCTGCAGCGTCCCCCCCCAGTAGGCTTGCTAAGTCCGCTCGGCGCGATCCTGTAGCAAGCCCCCACCAACAACCTCAACACCCTGAACCCGACACTCCTACAAACACCCCTAATTATAGCCGGTGCGCCCTAAACCAAGACCGTAAAATAAAACCTAAACCCTAACCCTTAGCCTAAACCAAAATTCCTAAAACGAACACTAAACCCTCCGTGGCAACTTCTTCCATCACCTTTACACCAAGGGCTTCCGGGAAAAGGGATCGGCGCCACGTGCCATCCCTTGTAGGGCTCTGAAGGGAGGGGGTTCCCGAAGCTTTCGTAAGGCTCCCTAAACACCTACCCCCCATGAACTCCCCCTTAAGAGCCCTTAACCCTAAACCCCCACAATTCCCGGTCCAGTACTTCCGACTCGGCATGCTCAAGGGGCACTGGCATTGCCAGGGACGAGAGCCTTGGAAAAATGGAGGTATATGGTTCAGGGTTTAGGGTAAAAGAAACACCTAAAACGCCTAAACCCTTAGGGGGTTAGGGGGCTTAGGGTGGTTGGGGGTTGCGTGATCCGCGGAGGGGTTTCGGGCACCCTGAACGAAAAGGAGCCTACTTTTCTTCACACAGGACTGCTGAGGTTTAGGATTTAGGCTGAGATGTTCCGGTAGAAATTATCACACCGTCTCCCCTACTAAACCCTAAACCCTAAACTCCAAACCCTAAACCCTGAACCCCAAACCCTAAACCCTATGCTACGATAATCCCATATAACCCCTATCAGGGTACAGTTCTCATGTCGCATATAACCCCTATCAGGGTACAGTTCTCATGTCGTTCCCTCAACGCGGATGGCTTCCAAGGCCGACGCAGTGCTTCGTCAGGCGGCTTCGGCAAGAAGCTTCTGGGAGGCCTGGAGACATGGGGCAGCATGGCTTTTAAACAGGGTTTCGGGTTTAGAGTTTTTCGGATTGGGTTTCGGGTTTAGGGTTTAGAGTCTCTGGGGTTTAGGGTTTAGGGTCCAGGGTTTAGGATTCAGGGTTTAAGGTTTAAGGTTTAGGGACTTCAGGTCCCTGCAGAATCGTTTTGCAGGGTAAGAAAACGGGGATAGCAGGGACCCGATTCAATTCCCTACCAAGTTCTGGCAGAAGAGAACCTTGATTTCGACGCCCTGCACAGTCTACCCTTTTCTACACCGATCACGAAAGTCAGAAAAAAAAACGAAGGATGTGGGTTCGTGGGCCTCCAGATTGTGAAAACCGTTCAGACCACCTTCTAGCCAGTAGAGCCCTAAACCCTAAACCCTAAACCCTAAACCCTAAACCCTAAAGAGGCCTTTCAAGGCTTGGAGGCAGGCCCCGTCTGGGCAGAAAAGCAGTGGCGTCGCCGAGGGCCGTGCACACCAGAAGCCAGCTGATGGCTTCAAAACATGACGCAAAAAATAGGGTTTAGGGTTTAGGGTTTAGGGTTTAGGGTTTAGGGAATATGTTTCCTCAGTTGTGTCTGTCGGTAAGTGTAGCTCACCGACAGAAAACGCAGAAATGTGTATGTTCAGGTTTGCTTGTCAAGCATGGACGCCCGAGAATGATGTAGTGTAGATGAATGCTTTGGGGCTGGCAAACGAGTACTGACGACATGTCGCGAAAACTATCGAGCCAGAATGCGCAGAGTCTCTGCTAGCTTGCGCACGCGCTGATTTCAAACACCTTGTCCCGAACTTTCTGATGACCCTGGCTGGTATAGACAAGGCCCACCTCGGCGACTACTTGAGAATGAAACCCCCAAAATCGGCTTGTAAGTATACCTATAACTACCCATGAACCTCCTGAAGCCCTAAACCCTAAGCCACAAACCCTTTGCTGCCGGCACACATGCAACTTCCCCCCCTAAACCACAAGCCCTAAACCCTACTTCTAGCCACCCATGAACCTCCAAATCTCCAAGTACATCATGATATCCCTGTCAAATTCGCTACTTTGTTCTTGGTTGTCCGACAGCTTACCCCTACTTCATCCCCCCCCCGACCCCCCTCTCCAAGAACCCGAAACCCTAAACCCCACATCCTAAATCCTAAGCCGCAACCTGACAAAAAACAACCTGTCCAGCACAGCTCGGCTTTCTTTAGGCTCGTGCTTGATGCTTCAGGGGGGTGACCAGCTGGCAGGATCGTTCTGGGATAAGGGCTTAGGGTTTGCAGGGTTTAGGGTTTACAAGGTTTAGGGTTTACAGGATTTAGGGTTTACAGGGTTTTAGGGTGACCGGATTAACATGAGAAGATGTAGCGGCAGTGACTTTCAGCAAGACATGCGCAATAATGAACGGGGGCCCTCAGAATCTTCTTTTCAGCCGCCATGCACGACAAGGCCCATTAGTCAGGCTCCTCCCCTCGTTCTTGCTCTGTGCTTTCCTTCCTAGAATCGCTGTGGTTCCTCTGGGTGCCTGAGGAGGCTAAAGAAGTGTCTGGCGGTGTCTAAAGCCCCAGCAATTTCCATCATGGATGCAGGGCTAACTTGGTCGCACGGGCAGAAACTGGCTCCAACTGGATGAGCACGAACACCTTTTTAAGGATTCAGGTTGTATGCTCTACAAAGAAAGTTGCCTTCCCTTCATTGAGGGTATAAAGGATTACCCTGATTATAGATCAACCCCAAGCCCTAAAACCCCAAACCCTAAGCCTGAATATAGGTAAAGGCTACAGCATCCTACATCCCTTAAACCTTACAACCCCCCAACAAAGCTGCTGTTCTTCTGACTTCTCCAATAGCCAAGGAAGAAAGGAGGCTAAGCTTTACCATTCCGACTAAGTAAGAAAAGCCCAACCCTAAACCCTAAACCCTAAACCCCAGTTTAATTAGAGTTCATTTCTTGGTAAAACCAAGGCTAAGGCTTTATGCCACGTGCATTCTCTCCATGCATCGGTGAGACCTGCCGCTGTCCTTGGGCTCCACGCGGCAAAAAATTAGGTTGCAAATGAGGGGCTCTATGGGCATATAGAATCCCTAAACCCTAAATCCTAAACCCTAAACCCTACCTTAACCCTTAACCCTAAACCCTAACCCTAAACCCCAGAAGTTAAGAAAGATAAGGGGGGGCTTGAGGGCGGTAAGGTGGTGTGAGCGCTGCTTTTGAGTACGGAACGCCCTTCACGAGGAGGCTTCGTTGGAGGCTTCGTTGGTGTCCTTCTCCATTCCTAGGACTCTTCAGCTGCCATCGCTGGGTTTAGTTAGGGTTTAGGGTCTAGGGTTTAGGGTTTAGGGTTTAGGGCTTAGGGTTTAGGGTTTATTTAGGGTTTAGGGTCTAGGGTTTAGGGTTGAGAAAAGAAAACAGCCATCAGAAGTCACTTACTTGGGGGTCTGCCACGAGCACTTCGAGGACAAAGCTGTAAGATGAGCACGTGCCCCATAGTGGAAGCTCGGGGTTGGGGGATCTAGGGCTTCAGGGCTAGGAGACATTCGCAGTTCAGGACTTCGGGGTTTCGGGCTTATGTTTTAGGAGGGTTTAGGGTTTAGGGAGCCCCAAACCCCAAATCCCTCAGAAGCCCAGTCGCCTGGGAAGGTGGGATCCTCTTCCTCGCTCGTCTCAGCCTCACGAGGACCGGGTCCGGGGCCTGGGGGAAAGCTTGAGGAAACGTAGGGTTTAGGTTTCTAGGGATCATAGGGCTCACAGGGTTTATGGGGTTTATAAGGTTTATAGGGATTGTAGGGGTTAGGGGGCTTAGAGGGTTTAGAGGGTTTAGAGGGTTTACAGGGTTTGTAGGGTTTAGGGGGATCAAGCAGCCCTTTCTCGAAGACGCGTGCGATTTCTTCCATTCAGTTGGGTTTGGGCGGTCATTCTGAGAGCCTCCCGTCTAAGTAGTTTAGGGTTTTTCTTGGCTCCCGCATAGCTGAACGAAAGCCTCTGGCGCAGGGGCGGTTGAGGATCTAGGGCTAGCTTTCAGAAACAAAAGCGAGACCTCTTGCGCACCTGCTTGAGCTGCTTTCCAGGGTCTCAGGCTACAAGCTGAATTCGATCCGACAGTCGGGGACCCCCCAAACACCCCTCAAAGGACCCAAAAAGTATTTAGTACCCTCTGCTTGCTGCTTGTGGGCCGTTTTCGGGAGTCTATCTGCTGGATCCTCCCAGAACCTTGGGTTAAAGCTCAAGCAGTTGGGGGGAAGGCCCCCTTGAAGAATTAGGTTTTAGACTTTTTGGGACCCTTAAGAATTCATCTGCCACCTTTAAGGTACCTGCTGTTCCTTTCACGACTCAGGTCTGCTTGAGCAGAGCACGACGAACCATTGCGGTGAACTTCAGCATGTCTGTACCTCGCGCCCTAGCCCGAGAGATCACATCCAATGCTGCTTGTTGATGTTCCGGCTTCGCTTCCTCTACCAACTCCTGAGCTTGCTCCAGGCTACGTACCCTAGATGTCCGGGACAGTTGTCCTAGAAGTGATGCCACATGAACATTCACGAAAAAGCGATCCAGGGTGTCAATGCCATCGTGCGCGGCCTTGAAAACAAGTTCGTTGACTCGCTGCCACGGTTCCCCGGCATATGCGGCAACGGCACTTCTGAAGTGAACCTCGTTTGCTGAAATGTTTGCCAAAGCCATCTGCTCCAAACAAAAGCTCGCGACCCCAGGCTCACCTGCCACCTTACAACCATTCAATGCAGCACCCCACGTGCCACCATCAATCTCTAAGCCCTCCGCACGTATACGCTCGAGAAACAGAAAGACTTGAGTGAGATTGGCGGCGTCTGCCGCGTCATTCACAAGCTCATTTAGAAGCAAGTACTTCTGGCTCGGTGTCCATGTTGACCAGTTGCTGTTCTGTGCATCGGTCCATAGGCTGAGGACCCTCTAAGCTGTGAAAACAGGCGGATTGCCGCGGTGTACGTGATCGCGGTTCGGCGCGTCCCAGCCTTGCACATGTCGGCATAAACTTGCGCACCGTACTTGTAGTTTCCACATCTGAATGCCGCATGCATGGCTGCATTGCACAGAGGAGCCTTGAAGGACTTGCAAGCCTCCCAAGCAGATTTGGCGCGGAACCAGTCCAGATTCTCTGCAGATTCAGAGATTGTCGTGAGAGCTGACGTCTCTTCAGCTGTCAGCTTCACTGCATCCACACCAAGCCCCACCTTGGACGCGGGACTTCTGAGGAGTAGGCCCCTGTCCTCTGTGAGCTTTTCCATGCGCTTGTTTACATGTGGGCGAGGCAAGCTGAACACCCCCGAGTTGATGGCCCACAGTGCGGCAAAAGGGAACCACCAGATGTTTTCGCTTGGAAAGCACGATTTCGTTGGTCTTTGCATCCTCGCAAGTCCTGCCACGTCCACCACTTTCTCGGAAAGACGCGCAATGACAGTAAGCTGCAGCTCTTGAGAGAGGTGCTTCAATCCAAACCGCCCACAAGCATGAGTGAGCTACGCCTGTTTTTGGACGATGGTTGTTGGGGAGACACTGCTTACCTGCAACGCCTCGCTTTCCTGCAAACCAAAAAGGCCCACCTCTCTGGGTCTCTCACCAGCTGTCCGTGACGTCATGCTTCAGTAGCGCGAGCTTACACAAACAAACATGAGAAGAAGCAGCCCCCGCCACAAAACTGCACCAGTTTGAACCCCAAGCCCTAAACCCAAAAAGCAATCGAAGAGACCCCCCCCCCCCAGGAAACCCGAAAGACACAAAAACAAAAAAAGAAGACTCCACCCTAAACCCGAAACACTAAACCCGAAACCCTAAACCCTAAACCCGAAACCCTAAACCCTAAACTCTAAACCCAGGGTTGGGCTTTCGAGTGCTTAGGGAGCTGAGGGCTGCGACAGTCGGAGTTCCAGGTGCAAGTTTTCAGGGTTGAATTGCTTCTTTGACATTTAGGGTTTAGGGGTTTAGGGGTTTAGGGGTTTAGGGGTTTAGGGGTTTAGGGTTTAGGGTTTGGGGTTTCGGGTTTAGGGTTTGGGGTTTAGAGTTTAGGGTTTAGGGTTTGGGGTTTAGGGTTTAGGGTTTGGGGTTTGGGGTTTAGGGTTTAGGGTTTGGGAAGTCAGGAGCCGAAGAATTCTTGCGGCTGAATGGAGGCCTCGTCCTCGAAGTCCTCATCGAAATCCTCCACCTCATCACTGGTTGAATGGTTGGGCTTCCCTAGGGTATGGGGTTTAGGGTTTAGGTTTAGATTTTAGGGTTTAGGGTTTTAGGGTTTAGGGTTTCGGGACCCTTCAGGCCAAATGAACCCCAAAAATTGGGATAATCTATCCCTATACTACTACTTCAATCCCTGTTATTAGCCTTGTTCATTTGGTCCGCAAGATTTGGAAAAGCCCTAAGCCCTAAACCCAGCTGATCCGAAGTCCACTTCACAGAGCATGGGGCATGTTCTGGGTTGATTGACGACAACTAAAGTGTTTTGTGTGCCACTGGTTTAGGGTTTATATGCTTAGGGTTTCGGGTCTAACCACTGTTGGGGGGAGGGCTTCGGGTTGAAGGAAAGCCCCAACCCTGAATACCCAAACCCTAAACCCTAAACCCTAAACCCTAAACCCTAAACGCCCAAACGCTATACGGTAGCACCTCACAGCTCCTTAGGCGTGTTAAGTTGGCGGCCTCAGCGCCCTATCCCTCTGCCATCAGTTGTTCTGCGTTTTTAGGGTTTAGGGTTTTGGTTTAGGGTTAAACCCTCAACCCTAACCCCTAAGGCACCTCGTCCTCCTCCTCTTCCTCCGCGGGGTTGTTGGCATTTGTGACGGAGCCGGTACCTCCAAAATCCCACGGGGTTCAGAGTTCGCCCCCCCACCCCCCCTCCCCCCCAAAAAAAAAAGAGTAGTAACAATTATAATAATGATGAAAATAATGGTAATAATAATATTATTAAGAGTAAAGTCTACAGGGGCTAAACCCTGAAGCTTTAAGGCTTAGATGTGCAGATCTCCGTTTGCAACCAGGACTGCGCAGCTGGCAGTTCTCCGGCTCAGAACCCGAAACCTGCTTCTCTGTGGGTTCGTTGAATTGTGAGAGAAAACTCGTACACAGCATGTCAAAACTTATAATCGAACTGTAGAGGGTTTGCGTAGGGTTTGGGGTTCTGGCTTGCCTAAGAAGGAGCCGCTGAAATTCCAGAGAACCAAGAAAGCCTGCGTGCTGGGGGGGGGGTTGGGGGTTATACTCTAGATAGGGAGTGTGCCCCCGAATCTAGAGAACAAAAAGCACTCCACGCGCGCGTACACTGATACACACCCCTAAACCCTCAACCCTAAACCCTACACCCCAAACCCTAAACCCTAAACTCTAAACTCTAAACCCTAAACCTGAAACCCCAATTCCAGCTGGCCTTGGTCTGGTGGCTTGGGGGGCTCTGCCTCGCTGGCGGCGTTCGCTTCCTCAGAACCATTGGGTGGGGTTTAGGGTTTAGGGTTGAGGGTTTAGGGTTGAGGGTTGAGGGTTTAGGGTTTTAGAGTCTAGCCGAAACCCTATAAATCTTGAACGGACCCCAACGACCAGATGAACCCAAAATCGCCCTATACTACTAGAATCCTGAGGAGGGAGTCTGGACCACTAAAGCCTTCTAGGGTTCATGTAGTCCCCAAGAAACCCTGAACCCTAAACCCTTTTCAACCCCGGCTCCCCTCCGCCCTCAAACCTAAACCCAAAACCCAAAACCCCTATAACTTATAAACCCTAAACCCTAAACCCTGAACCCTGAACCCTAAACCCTAAACCCTAAACCCTAAACCCTAAACCCTAAACCCTAAACCCTAAACCCTAAACCCTAAACCCTAAACCTGAGCTCCGAACCTCCTTCTCTTCGTCCTCCTCTGGAAGGCCCGGGGCTGCCACGTAGCCATTTCCTCCCGCCGAAGTCCAAGGCGAAGGGTTTAGGGTTTAGGGTTTAGGGTTTAGGGTTTAGGGTTTAGGGTTTAGGGTTTCGGGATCGGGTTTCGGGTTTCGGGTATCGGGTTAGGGTTTGAGTCCATCCGGAGCCACCAGTGGCCAGCGAATACCTGGCCTAACCCGTTGTTGCGTGGGAGCTCTATCGGGGGGAAGTGGAGGATGTGTGCAGAGGGGGAGGGGTTTAGGGTTTAGGGTTTAGGGTTTAGGGTTCAGGGTTTAGGGTTTAGGGTTTAGGGTTCAGGGTTCAGGGTTCAGGGCTTAGGGGACACGACTTCAGCGTCAACAAGGCCCCGGGTGCAGACTGCGCGGAGTGGGCTGCTGGAGCCTTGACACTAAACCATCTTCGGACCCTCCCCTATGTACCGCGTTGATCTTTACTTGGGCCCAACAGTCCCTATATAGGAGGTACTTTCAGTTCCACGTATTCCCTATTTCGGTACATGGAGTCTAAAATTGCAAAACGGACAACCACAATGACACCCGACGCTTCTTGTTTGAGGCTCGAACCCTGAGCCAAAATGGCTATGGAGGGTCTTCGGGTTGAGCCCCCCCTGCAGGGACGATTTCAGAGGGCGAAAGGAGTCAACTCGAGAAACAAGCCTGCGCAAGGACCTTCCTGAACCCACAGCCACCTCAGGCAAGTGCCAAGCCCCAAGATATTTGGGGGTTTCCTAACATAGGGTACCTTATGTGGGGGGTCCTTATGATATGGGGATCCGGACCTATATTGGGGGGTCCCCTATTCTCGTAAACCCCCATGTTCTTTCTCTGCTCTAGGCTGGCCTAGAGGGCGCAGCACTTCGTAGTTCCACGCAAGCGGAACTCCGATGCTGGTGCTGGGCGATCGCAGGAGTTGTCTCACGCAGTGGAGAAGATCCGCCGCCACCGCAAACGCTCCGCTCCGGGCACATGCGCCAACAACCTCCTCGAGGCTCACAGCATCGGGTTGCCTATACTGAACTTGGAACCCTAGCAGAAAAATTGCAATTTAGTTTTAGCTGTTTCTTACGAAAAATTCGAAAATATTTCCAAGCATCTCGAAGTTGCAGATTTCCCTGGCCAGCCTCGGCCAGGAGCAGTCCGGCAAGCGGCCACTGCCAAGAGTTTGACATCGCGTGGACCAAAGCTCCAAGGGAAGTCCCATCCAGCTCCCGCTCTGCAAAGTCACTTCTCCTTCCTTGGGGACCACATGAACCCTGAAATTGGGGTCATAGACCCTATACTACTCTAACTCCTACTAAGGTATATGAAAAATAAGCCCTTTTAGGGTTCATTTCGTCCCCCAAGGTTCGGTGGACCGCCATCGCCAACTCCCACTGTCCACCAGTGCCACAGGCGGTAGCCAAAGTGCTCAAAGCGATATTGTCCGGTGCCACAGACTGGCATTCTGCCTTCAAACAGGAGCTCAGTGCCTCCCTCCATTGTGCCGAGCTTGCGCATGCGCCCATGTGGGCATTGAACAGAACTTGTCCCGGCTTGAATCGCGTTTTGTGTAGATGTGTGGCCCACTGCCACTTCGAGGCCCACCTACATGATGATATCGCAGCCCCAAGCACCACTTTGTTCGACTGGGTGGAAATCATGTTCATCAGCTGTAGAATTCGTAGAGAAGTGTGCCAGCTGCCGCCCAATTCGCACGCATGCGAAGCCGCCCCAAAGCACACTACATCGACCCGAAGCGACGCCACCACCATGCTGGTGAACATGATGTTCACAGCGGCCTCCCAAAGGTTGGCAGAGCCATGGGCTGTGATCCCAGCCCCGGCCAGCACAGTGTCCGTCAGCATACCTGAGTCGCAGCTTTTCCAGCAGGCGGCCAATGCTTGTCTCCACTTCCCGCCAACTTCACAGGCCGCTGCTAGCGCACTGCATCCGAGGACATCGATGCGGATGTCCCGCCCCCGTGCCGAATGCAACAGCTGCAGAGCATCGTCCCAGCAGCTTGTCAATGCACAGGCATCAGTGCCAGAGCCAACAGTGATTGCATCTTGCTGGATGCCTTGCGACAGTGACGTGCGCAGAAGTACAAAAACTGAACTCCAGCTGTCCTTAACAGCTGCTGTAGCTGTGTTGAGCGACACGGCATCACACTCGACACCTCGAAGATAAGCCCCTCGAAGCAACTCAACAACGGATTGCCAGGTGTTGCTGCTGTTGCTGCCTCCACAACTCTTTAAGAGCATGTTGTAGCTGACGGTCGTAAGCCGCAATGCTGACAGCGAAGCTTCTTGGAGGCAGTGGGCTGCCATTTGCCATCTTCCAATCTCTCGGAAGAGCATCGCTGCTGTGTTCCTTGTAACCTAGACCCAGGAGTAACCTAGGAATACAAAGTTTTTGGTCTTGAGGGGATATAACGGACCCCAACCCGAAGAAAAGAAACAAAAGGGCCTACTCCAGGTCCTTGTAACTGTTTGCATCTCCACATTCCAAAGGCGCATGGTCCTGCAAAGCCTGAGCCCCTGCTTCCAAACATTCGCTCGCACGCAGCTGGACATGGCGGAGTTGAAAGCGAAAGCACTGTGCTGCACCGCGGACGAGTACCTTGAGGACCACACGAACCCTCAACTTGGGGGGGGGGGGGTCAGTAAACCCGAGACTACCATAGCTCCTTTTTGAGGACCCCAAACCCCAAACCACAAACCCCAAACCCTAAACCCTAAACCCCAAACCCCAAACCCCAAACCCCAAACCCCAAACCCCAACCCCCAAGCCCCAAACCCCAAACCCCAAACCCCAAACCCCTAAGCCTAAGCCCCAAACCCTAAACCCTAAACCCCCAAACCCCCAAACCCCCAAACCCCAAACCCCAAACCCCAAACCCCAAACCCTAAACCCTAAACCCCATCGTCCCAAAGAGGTGCAGCTTCTGCATCAAGCCCAGACTTTGCTTCCATCGGCTGCCAGCTGCTAAAGCCGCCACTGCCGCGCTGCTTGTGATGACGTCGCCCCCGAAGCCAGCCTAGGGTTTAGGGTTTAGGGTTTAGGGTTTAGGGTTTAGGGTTTAGGGTTTAGGGTTTAGGGTTTAGGGTTTAGGGTTTAGGGTTTAGGGTTTAGGGTTTAGGGTTTAGGGTTTAGGGTTTAGGGTTTAGGGTTTAGGGTTTAGGGTTTAGGGTTTACAGTTCAGGGTTTAGGATTTAGGATGACCCAAGAGTTTCTCTGGGAATAAAAAAGGGTACTCTTTTTGGTTTAAAGGGACTTCTTCAGGGAACCTAACCCTGAAAAAAGCGAAAAAAGGGCCTACTCTTGGTCCTAGCAGCAGCTTTTGCTTCATCCCAGAGTACCAGGGCCTTCCTCCAGGGGACGACAGGACCCCCTTAAACAGGGTTCTTAGGGTTCTTAGGGCTTTTAGGGCTTAGGGGTTGAGGGTTTAAGGTTCATATGACCTCAGTAGGAAGTTAGGGCATGCATTAGGGTATCTGACCCCCCGTTGTTAGGGACCATTTCGGACCCAAACGTTCCTCCCTTGGTTTTTGGCAGCCCAGTAACCATATAGGGTTTCGGGTTTAGGGTTTAGGGTTTAGGGTTTAGGGTCTTTAGAAGGGAACCTTGAGCCAAAAAAAGTGAAACAAAAGCGTACCGCTGGGCTTCCAAGTCCTCCAGCTCTGATATCCGGCTGCCTTGATGGCCCTTGTGAAGTTGGCCGCGCGCGGGTTGCCACCCCTGCTGCTGGTCTGGGGCGTTCCTCGGCCCATTGGTCCCTGGACTGCGCCATCTCGAACATGGCGAGGCACAACTGCAAGTCACTGCGCAGGTTTAGGGTTTAGGGTTTAGGGTTTAGGGTTTAGGGTTTAGGGTTTAGGGTTCGTTGGTCATTGATGATTCAGGCCTAAATGTGGCATGTGAAGGAAACAGAGCAGTTGCAGCAACTCGCGTTGAAGAGGTGAGGGTTCAGGGGGCTTAGGGGCTTAGGAGGCTCAGAGTTGCGTGGTAGGCTTTTGTGCTGTTTGCGGCTTAGGTCCAGCAGGGGCTAGTCGAGAATGCAAGTCAGTCTGTTTCAGTCGAGCTCCATGCAGAAAGTATTCTCCGGGGGACTTGAAGGTTAGGCTGCACTGTATGGGCTAGTTTTGGGATGATGCGCAAGGGCCAGGCCCTCAGCGTCATGCTTGCATAAGGATCCCTCAGCTAGCGGTGTTCCGACGTCCTTTCAAAGTTCAATGTGTGTAGGGTTTTCGGCTTTCGGGGCGTAGGGTTTCAGGGCTTTAGGGTTTTTAGGGTTTTTAGGGTTTTAGAGTTTTTAGGGTTTTAGGGTTTTAGAGCGCAGTTTTGGGGTCGAGGGGCGCAGCTATGGAAGGACGGCTTGTTGGGATGGCCTTCTTGGGCCCTACAGTTACAGTGTTTCATTTTTGTCGCTCCCGCCTAGCTAGGCCAACCGGGGTTTAGGGTTTAGGGTTTAGGGTTTCGGGTTTAGGGTTTCGGGTTTAGGGTTTCATACTTCGATACCCTAAGTCCTGTAAATGCTCTGAAACGGTAAAACCGTCCATCGTTCCAGAGGTCCCCCACGAATCCTATAAGCCCTGGCAGCCCGATAAGCCCTAGACCCTTTTGAACCTGGAAGCTGCTTTCATGCAAGCCCTAGACCCTGCACCATAAGCCCTAATCCCAAGCCCTAATCCCTAAACCCGAAGTCCTCAACCATAAATCCTACACCCTACACCGCAAACTTTAAATTCTAAACCCGGTAACCCAGCCTTTGCGTGGAGGACCGGGTGAGGCTTCCTCGCTGCTGTCGTCGGTTCCGGGCTCCTTGGCATCAGGCAGAAGGGGGAGAGTTGAGGTTTCAGGCTTTGGGGGTTTCTGGGTTTGAGGGTTTAGTTTAGGGTTCATGAACCCCTTGGGTATAGGCATAGGGTTCAAGGTTTAATTAGAGAAGGGGTTTAGGGGGTTTAGGGTCTCTCATCGAGGTGCAGTTCGTTTCGGGCGGACTGTGGCCGAAAGGGTTCTTCGGGGTGTTTCCTCGACTCTTGTAGATAGCATGGGTCGGACCCAAAAACACCCCAAAAGCTCCCAAGTCTTGCTTGAGCCCAGGCAGGACTACATTCAATTGGGTTTTTTAGATCAGAGGGTTTAGGGTTTAGGGGCACTGCTGCCCCGGGCTGAGTCCCGTGACTGGCGAGGAGTGTGGGCGCTCTGCCTGGCCACAGAATCGGCGCACAATCTTGAGGAAGTTATATGGTCCCTTCATTGGTCTGCCAGGCTAACATGGACCAGAAAGAATCTTAACTTCGGGTTTAGGGTTTAGAGTTATCGGGTTAGGGTCTAGGGTCTAGGGTCTAGGGTCTAGGGTCTAGGGTTTAGGGTTTGGGATTTAGAGATGTGCACCGTATCAGGCTTACGCGTTTAGCGGAGATCATGGCCGAGTCTTATGGTTGGAGCTCTTGTGTGGAAGGCCTGTGTCGCCTCTTCTCGATCTTGAACCTGTAAACCCTAAACCCGTGTGAGGGTTTCCTAATCTAGGGTTTAGGGTTTAGGGTTTAGGGTTTAGGGTTTAGGGTTTAGGGGTACCTTGGTCCTTATTGTAAGGGAATCCGACTATTTGGGTATTCGTAAACCCCCATGTAAGCCCTTTCAGCCCTTTCAAGCCTTAGACGTTGTCGAAGCCCTGCCACATGGCTTTGCATCAGGGCAGAATCAGAGCAGCACGGATTTAGGGCTTTCGTCAACGATGACAACCTCGAGCGGCTAGGGGATAGGATTAGGGGGGTTTTCTTGGGGATTTAGACCCTCTGAATAAGGTCTCTGTTTAAGAGAGCCAGAAGAGGGTTAAGAATGGTTCCCTAAACCCTAAACCCCAAACCTCCTAAACCCTAAACCCTAAACCCTAAACCCTAAACAGGGGCCCCCCTTATCCTACCTAGGAAACTACCGTATATCCAATCCTTCCATCCCCAGGGGCACCGATGACTCCTCCCATGACCCCTCAAACCCTAAACCCTAAACCCTAAACCCTAAACCCTAAACCCTAAACCCTAAACCCCTTAATGAAGCTCCTCGGACTCACTGTCGCCATCTGCCGGCAGATTGCCTGCCAGGCTTGTGTGTGAGGTGCCCATCTTGGCCTCATTCTTAGACTCACTGCTGGTTAGTAGGGAATCGGGGAATAAGGTACCCTATAGAATCCCTTTAAGGGCATCTGTAGGGGTATATATATATATATGGTACCTTATCCTACTAGCCAGAAGTAAGTCGAAGGGCATGGTGCCTGAACACTGCCACCCTGAACCCGAAGGGCCAGGACCCAACGTACAATTTGCCACACCGCAGATGCAATGCATCCTGACCACCCGGGCAAGCCACAGCGACGGAATATGGCATGCACTGAAAATCGTACCAACGAAGAGCTTGTAGCAAACCCACAATCCAGCATGCTGGCGGAAGGGACCTATCATAATGCGGTTCCTTGGGTGGAGGCTCATGATTTAGACTTAACCCCTGTTCCCCTAGGAAGAAAAAAGGATCCTTTTTGTTTATATATAAGAAAGCCCATAACCCGAAAAGTAAAAAAGATCCCTAACACTGATTTAGTAGAGAACGGGCCATATATGGACCTGGACAGACCGGATCAAAAAACCCTGGAAAGCCAAGTCACACCTTTCGAAACTCGCCTCCTTCAGCGCTTCCTGGATTGCCCAAGAAATCGGTGACACCCCTAAACCCTCAACCCTAAACCCTAAACCCCTAAACCCTAAACAGTCCAGAGACACCGTGTTCCCCAAAAGGCCTCTTGAAACTTCACGCTCAAAGCGCTGGGTCCTTTAAAAAAAACCCTCAAAGCCCTCAACTCGGGATGTTCCCCATATACTAACAGTCCTGAATGGGGTTTATAGTGCTCCCTACTATACTCCCCATAAAGGGTTCAGGATTTAGGGCTTAGGGGTTAGTAGAAGGGGGAACATTCCAACCCTAAACCCGAGCAGCCCCCCACAACCACCCGCCTGGCCTTTCCGAGATGCGGAGGGCAGCGTCGTCTCGGCCAAGGAGTCCACGTCCTAGGGTTTAGGGTTTAGGGTTTAGGGTTTAGGGCTTAGGGTTTTTGGGTTTTTTTCCCTCCTGCACAGCTGGGGCGAATCCGCATCGCAGGGCGATTTCGAGTCTGACGGGTTCCTTCGCTGTAAAAACCAGCAAGACCCGAAAGGCACTCAACAGGCCGCAGATGGCATCTCCAGGCAACTGTGCGTCATGTCCGACCCACATTGGCGTCGTCCAACTTTCTGCGAGTTTAGGGTTTAGGGTTTAGGGTTTAGGGTTTAGGGTTTAGGGTTTAGGGTTTAGGGTTTAGGGAGCCAGTGCTCTCTCGCGACCGAAGATACTGGCCCGAGGGTTCACGTTTCAGACAGCCGGAAACCCCAAACCCTAAACCCTAAACCCTAAACCCTAAACCCTAAACCCTAAACCCTAAACCCTAAACACTACATGGTGACCATAGTCAATGATCACAGTTGAGGGAAGCAGCCCCCCCAGGGCAGGACACATCCAATTATCCTCAAGGGACCAAAGGAGCCTAAAAATTCGGATCCTCTCCTTCTACTACTATGATCCCTATTAGGAGATATGGACCAGAAATCTTCTAGGGTTCCTTTGGTCCCGAGGAACTTGTGGGGTTTAGAGTTCGGGGTTGGGCTGTCGGGAGCGGTACCAACCCAGCACGGACCCTTCGCTGAGCTCCAAACTGCAGTAAGGCCATTGCGGCTGGCGGCCTGCACACGCGCTGCAGACCACTGCACGACCGCCAGGACCACGAGAGTTCTACCTCTGTCTATTCTACATACACATAATGCACACACACCTTGTATGCTCTAAAGCCATGCAGAGACAAGCAGTCTTCATAGTTCGCACGGTCACTCCCCGAACCCGAGCTGCAAAGAACGGATCAACCTTTCCAAAACATTCCCCACAACATGAATAACCAGGCCTCAACCCTAACCCTAAACCCTAGAACTCTCAACTGGCTTCCCGCTGCCTCAGACTCATTGTCTGCGTCGTCGGGCAAGTTTGAGGCCGTTCCTGCCAAGGCGCGCAAAGCTTGGACTTAAGGGTAGAACTTAGGGTTTAGGGTGTAGGGTTTCGGATTTTGGGAACCAACTCAGTCCTAAAGTTGGGGTCATATACCCTTTGCTACTCTATAATTTCGAGGAGGGTATAAGCGGGGTTCATCTGGTCCCCATGGTAGAAGAGCTTAGGGGTATGCTTTCGCGCGTCATCAAACCCAATAGCTAAACACCAAACCCTGAACCCTACACCCTAAACCTAAACCCTACACCCTAGCCCCTAATCCCTAAACCCTAAAGACGGGCTCCTTTGTGTGGAGCAGCAGGTGACTCTGTCTCGCTCTGTCTGTCCTGACTGGGCATCCCATGGGTAGTCCCATGAAATGACATCCAAGAGCTGGCAAACTAGGAAGATACAAACAGTAGCATGATGGTGTGGCAGCGTGGCAGAATTACCCATGTGCACGAGTGAGGATAGCCGAGCACAAGTAGCCTGCAGCCTTGCTCGAGAGTCGATGCACGTTGAGCCCCCAACCGGTGAGAAACTCATGTTGTGCTGTCCTGCCGCCTCGGAAGAGGAGAGGTTTAATGCACGAAGCTCGTAGCAACGCACCGCTCCTGCCTCAGACCGGGTGTCTTCAACATCTGGTGCATCGGCAGCAGCACCGGAGTCTGGGCCTGCGATAGCAGCAGCCGATTGAGGGAATCTGCTGCGCACACGCACACACACACACACACACACACACACACACACACGCTACTCAGTTCATGCGTAGGACGAGTTTGACCCTGATGCCGACTTCTGTCTCGGACAAGATGACTATTATGTGATACACGCCCCAGACTTTCAAACCTGAGCCTATGTTGTCACAACTGATCAATGCCTTGGGGACGCAATGAACCCTAAAAGGGTTTATGATTCATATACCTGAATAGGAACTACAGTAGTATACGGTATATGACCCCTAACCCTAACGCGTAAACCCTCAACCCTCAACCCCAAATCCCAATTTTTGGGGTACAGGACATGAACCCTAACCATAAACCCTGAGCTACAAACCCCAAACCCTAAACCCCAAGGGTTCTTTTGGTCCCCAGGTACACGGAAGCAACCTCTCACTTGACTTGCTGCCCCTAACCTCCCTATACCCTAAACCCTAAACCCTAAACCCTACACCATAAACCTTGGGCATCGCTCGTAGGGTCAAGGCCGTTTGGAGTCGCCGTGGGGGACTCCATCTTGATCGTCGCCTCCTCGGATTCCCAGTGGCTTATGCTAGGATAGGGTTTAGGGTTTAGGGTTTAGGGTTTAGGGTTTAGGGTTTAGGGTTTAGGGTTTAGGGTTTAGGGTTTAGGGTTTAGGGTTTAGGGTTTAGGGTTTAGGGTTTAGGGTTTTAGGGTTTTAGGGTTTTAGGGTTTTAGGGTTTAGGGTTTAGGGTTTAGGGTTTAGGGTTTAGGGCTTAGGGTTTAGGCGTAGCCACTCAAAGATGTCCAGGGCCTTGCTTTGAACGCTTGCTAACTTCCTTTTTTCACATTTTGCAGTTTCAAGAATAGTAGATTCCATCTCGAGAAGGTGCTACCAGTTCCTGACTAGGACTGGGCGGCTCCATGTTGGGCAGAGCATACTATCGGGGTCGGAATAAATACCAATAGTATTCCCTTATGGTCCCTTTGCAATTATTCTACAATAACCCCAAACCCTGCTCTAAGTATTAAGGCCCCCCATATTACACTTGCCATGATCTGAATAAGGTACTTGGGTCCGGAAGACTCCTACAGCAGGTGAGCTGTCGCGTCTGCAGTGATAATACGAGAATGATACATTCTTTGGGGGCCAAAATGAACGTGCCATAAGCTGGGGTCATATACCCTATACTACTATCATCCCTATTCAGTCCCCAAGGATAGCTGAGCCACCGCTTCAAAGGTCACGTTGTCCTGGGACGCCTGTGGCGATGGCGATGCTTTCCCCCGATTGTTTGCGGCATTCCGATTCAAAACACGTGGTGGGGGATCGTGGCACCCACACCCCGTCCCTGGGCCTATGCCCTCGTAACTCTTAACCACGAACCGGTCAACACTCGTGACTCGAAATGCAACACGCTTCTTGCCCCGATAGCCAGCAGCCACAAATCAAAGCGATGCCTGAAGGTCCTCTTGCCGCTCGCCGGGGGTAGTCGTGGAGTTGCCCAGGCCTATGCCTGGCAACATAAAAAGGATCGTTGTTGAGCAGTTCCCCAGTACCGAAGGAATCAAATCGGCACGCTTTTGTGCCTTTGCTGCATCCGAGCCGCAAAAAAAGAGGATAACGGATTAGGTTTAGGGTTTTTTTGCCACCCGTCTAGCCATGCTCCACGGGGCAACTGAAGAGGGAATGCTGTGTACAATGTACTTCAGAGCCCAACTGTACGATTACATCAGAAAGAGAGACCTTATGCTGCTTCGCGAAATCCTGAAGACCCAAGTGTAGGGTTTAGGGTTTAGAGTTTAGGGATTAGGGTTTAGGTGTTACGGAAGGACCCGGAATGCAAAACAAAAAGGCCACTATAGAGTCACATGCGTTTCAACTCTGCATCTTGTGCATTAGAGGGTTAAGGCAAGGGACAGATAACCTAGCCTTCGGAAGGAGCCTTGCAAGTCTGCTCTACTTGGTTCATGGGTACTTTTCAGCGGGGTTCTGAGTACCCTAAATAGGGGTATAAGTGTAGTTGCCATGCTTTCCAATGCTACTTATGCTCATGAACTTCCAAGTAGTCATCTTTATCAAGTACCGATCAGCCATGCGTTCTTGGCACAGCCCTACAACGAGACTGCAGCGATTCTTGCGGGAGCTCCCTTCTACGGTGCTCAGATTTAGAACAACCTCGTGTGTGAATGTGTCCCCCTAAACCCTATAAACCCTAAACCCTAAACCCTCATGTTCCTGGTGTCAGGGGTCCGGACTGTTTTCCTCCTGGTTGGCGGACATCACGTCGCTGGCCGCATCTGCCTTCTGGGGTCCCAGGCATGGGCCCTCCACTTGGGTCACTTGTCCTAAACCCTAAACCCTAAACCCTAAACCCTAAACCCTAAACCCTAGACCCTAATACATGATAAGGGCCCATACTTCGGATCCCTACAAACAAGGGTCAGGGACCATACTAAGGGCCCATGGCTCCGACCTTAGCATGCCTTCATGTGCAAGAGGCTTCCTAACCTTAGGGGCTGAATACCCCAAGCCCTAAAACGGTTAACATTATGTGTATATATATATATGTAACTTTATACATATATATGTATAGTTAGTAGGCTTCGGTTACCTACCCAGTCCCCAAGTAACTTTCACATGAAGCCACTTCACATCTACAAACAGCAGGCATGCGATCTCCAAACTGGCACCCTCTCAAAACTCTGCTGCATTTGAGCCGCAAGAAAGAGGACAACGGACTAGGTATGGGGTTTAGGGTTAAGGGTTTAGGATTTAGGGTTTGAGGTTTAGGGTTTAGGGCTCCCAAGCCCCCCACCACACAGAAGCTGAATCGGAATGGACAAGCAACCGCGCCTCCACGTCTGGTCCGTCCGCAGAGCTTCGCTCTTCCTGCCCCCCCCTCCCCGCTCACGCCTTCTTAAGGTTGAGGGTTTAGGGCCTTTAGGGTTTAGGGTTTAGGGTTTAGGATTTAGGGTTTAGGGTTTAGGGTTTAGGATTCACGCGTGTCTTCGGCTCAAGCCTTCTTTGCACAAAAACGCGATCTCTCCTCGTCGAACTCGAACTCGTGCGTGTAGGAAGCCTCCAGCTCGTCCTGCGCACGGGACTCCGTCAAGTTTTGTGAGGCAAACCCTAAACCCTAAACCCTAGCCCTAAACCCTAAACCCTAAACCCTGTGAGACAGGACGCAGGAGACCGCCAAGTGTGCACTCCGAAAATCAGTGATCAGTTCAACAGGATTCGCCGATTGCAGAAGAGAGGCGGAAGATTGCGCCTTGCGCACCCTAAACCCTAAACCCTAAACCCTAAACCCTAAACCCTAAACCCTAAACCCTAAACCCTAAACCCTAAACCCTAAACCCTAAACCCTAAACCCTAAACCCTAAACCCTAAACCCTAAACCCTAACCCTAAACCCTAAACCTCCTGAGTCTGGGTAAGGTCCTCCCCCTCTGCCTGAAAAGGCGACGCAGGCCGATCGTCAGTTTCTGAATTCCTGCCACCGGGGGAGCTGTCAAATCCCAAGGGTCAATAGGAGGGTTTAGGGTTTAGGGTTTAGGGTTTAGGATTTAGGGTTTCCAATGCCGAACCCTAAAGCTGCGACACGTCGTCTCTTGCCCAAGAGAGCTTGCGCCTTGCCCCTGCGACAGTTTGTACTTTGCCATGACCAACCAACCCTAAACCCTAAACCCTAAACCCTAAACCCTAAACCCTAAACCCTAAACCCTAAACCAGCCCACACTTTGGCAGGTAAGGCATAAACTTTCGTGGGCAAGGCACGCTTTTCGCAGGCAAGGCAGGCCCGTCCTTCTGGCTGGTTCTTAGTAGGGAATGAGCCTATATAATCCCTTGAAAGGTATATATAGGGCCCTATATAATCCCTTGAAGGGTCTATATAGGACCCTATATAATCCCTTGAAGGGTCTATATAAGACCCTATATATTCCCTTGAAGGGCATATATAGGGCCCTATATAACCCCTTGAAGGGTATATATAGGGCCCAAAATTCCCCACGAAGAACCAGGGGGGCCTTTCATGGGCAAGGTGCACAACGTGCACATATTCGTAGGCAAGGCCCACCGGACCTTACCGGTGCCTTGCCCACGAAGTTTGCGCCGTTTGTGCGTTGCCACGTAAAAAAGTGGTGTAGGCTATTCATCTTTCTCTTTCACTCTCCACTCTTACGCTCTCTCGCCTCTCTCTCTCTCTCTCTCTCTCTCTCTCTCTCTCTCTCTCTCTCTCTCCTCCCCCCGCGTATGCCCCCAATGTCAAGTAGTGCAGCCCAGGCTCGAGCTTTGGATCGAGGTCCCTAGGCCCACGCGCGCCGGAGACTCCGGCAACTTGGGGCTCGGGGTCTCTTGCTGCGGCTCGGCTGGAAGATTGGAGCTCGGGGTCGGTTGCTGGGGCTCGGCCGGCTTGATATCGGCGCTTGGGGCGCTTCGGGCGCTTGGGGCGCTTGGGGGATCTGCAGAACCTGTGGGTGGGGATGCAGAATGTGGAGCTGTCGCCTTTTCCCGGCTGCCGTTGCGGGCTCCGCTCGAAGCCTTTGGCTTGGGAGCGGGCGCCTGGGTGGCTTTGCCCGGCCCGGGGGCAGGCGAGGCTCGGTCTTTGTGGTTGGCTTGGGCTCTGACATTGGGGGCGCTGGGGTGGCTGGCGCCCTTCCTGCTCTCTTTGCCGGGCTGCCCTCCGGCTGGGGCCTGTGCTTGCCTTGGCTGCTCAACTTCCAGCTGTAGATGAAAGCAAGCTAGGCTGCATGTGAGATATGTCAGCTATGCTACCTTATGCTAATCATGATCTATCCAAGATGGTCGAACCCTCTGTAGACAGCGGCTCTGACATGGGTATGCCTCAGACTCAGCCTCCCTCAAAGCATGGCACGCGCTTCGTTGGCACAACAGCATGCGGCGAAACCTCCAGAAGCCGGCAAGTTGCTGGACAGTCGCAGCTTGCGGCTTGGGCCTTTGCAGCTGCTTGTGGCAAAGGAGCCACATGTGGTGAGTTCTCGTAATTGCGGTCCCTCTTTTGGGGTGGCCCTAAATATGTTAGGGGCCGCCTTGTAAGAGTAACCCCAAAAGGAACCATAACTTAGAGAACTGACCATCTGGCAAACTTACATACTTCTTTCCTTGTACGTCGCCCCTCCCTCTCAGCCGTCTAGTCTGAACCCACACCCCAAGCCACAACCAACCCCAGCAAGTCCACCGATAGTGCGAATGAGAGCTCGGCAGGGGTTTTACCTCGCTTCACCTCCCCAACCCCGGCCATTAAACCTCTAAAACTCTCAACGCTTGAAAGCCTACCTCCGCAATCACATCACTAGTGGGCCAGCTTAGGAGAAGAGTTTACAGGCTAGCTCCCACAGGAAAAACTATTCAATGGCTAGCCTAAGGACGCTTACTCAATAAACCCCCTTTTTCTACACGCTACCCACCCTCTAGCAACATAAGACAACTGAGTGGCACAGGCGTGGGGGCACCCGCCGGGCCCGGGCGATTGGACCGGGAGGCAGGGCGTTCCTGCGGAATGCTTGCGTCCAGGGTCTAGGGTTCAGAGTTTACCTTTCCCATGAAGAAAAAAACGCCACAAAACGATGTATAACCTGAGACTCATCTAGACGAATGCATTCGAAGAGTGTACCTTAAATGACACAAAAACTAGCCGCGTTGTTGGGTCAAAACCCTACAAAAGGGATGGAACATGACCCTCCCGAAACAAAAGAGCCCAAGCCCTCAGACCCGATCTAAACAGATTGGGGCAGCACCGAAACCTGGAAAACAACCATAAACCCCCGATTAAACCCGATTTAGCCCCGAATCAACCCAATTAAAACCCTACAAAACCCCCTTACAAACCCTCCTAACAGTCCCATAAAAACCCCTTAAAAAAAACCGGTTAGACCCTATTCAACCCTATTCAACCCGATCAACCACCCAGAAAAACCCACTAGAAGCCTATAAAAACCCCAAACCCCAAACCCCAAACCCCAAACCCTAAACCCTAAACCCTAAAACCTAAACCCCAAACCCTAAACCCTAACCCCTAAACCCTAACGCAGTCGCCTCTTTGCCGGAGCGAGGCGCAGCCTTTGGGGCGGGTCGGCCCAGCATCTGCGGGCCAGTCTCGGCTGCCAGCTCCTCTCTGGCTTCTAAGGGTGGGGTTTCGGGTTTAGGGATTAATTAGGGTTTAAAGTTCAGGGTTTAGGGTTTACCTAGACCCCTCAAAGCCCTGAAAAAAGTGGGGCGATATGCAGGAACCGCGTTCTCAGGAGATGTTGCTAAAAAACCGGGTTTCTGCGACTAAAACCTGGTTCTATGGTAACGCAGCTCTTTTAGAACCCGTAAAAAACCGTCGGAAACCCATACAAAACCGTCGGGAACCCGCAAAAACCCATCGTGCAACACACGTATTTCGAGATCCGGGATCTTCAGGCCTTTGAGAAGCAACTTGCTTTTTCTTGGGTTTTTCAAGGTCTAGGTAGGGTTTACCCCCGAATATCGTACCCCTAACCCCAAACCCTATTCAGGCAGCAAATGGTCCCAAAGCTTGAGAGAAGTTAGACGATGCTTCCTCATGAGTTCGCCTGTAGCAAAACCAACTTTCTTCAGGCAGGCTTTTAGGCTTTAGGGCTCAGTGCAGGGCTTATGGTTGTTCCTACACTCATCACACCCCAAACACTTGGCTCTTGCGCGCCCTGCACGCGCAATAGAGACCGTTTCCTCCTCGTGCTTGGTCTTCCGCCGCTTTGGCTGCGCCAAGGCCTGTGCTGCTCTCGACTCAGTCTCATTGAGGTGTGAGGGTGGCTCGTATCCCGTGGGAGTCCTATACCCAACCCTAAGCCCTGTAAACCCTGAACCCCCAAACCCTGAATCCTAAACCTCCCCCCCCCCCAAAGCCAAGACCCTAAACCCCCAACCCCTAACCCCAAACCCTAAACCCCAAACCCCCTAACCCTAAACCCTAAACCCTTCACAAGCAGCCCAAAGGGCTATGAGGCGCTCCATGGACACCACCCGGGCCGGCGCCGAGCTCGGGTGAGGCTTCTCCGGGCTCCTTGGGGGGGGGTTTAGGGTTTAGGGTTTAGGGTTTAGGGTTTAGGGTTTAGGGTTTAGGGTTTAGGGTTTAGGGATTGCTGGGTTGCTGGGTTGCTGGGCTTTACTTGGAGGTTCATGGGTACTTATAAGAAGGGTTCTAAGTAGCCTACATCGGGTTGTAAGTAGGAGTTACCATACTTATAACCCTATAACTGCCCATGACCCAACCTGGACTCGGACAAGCTTGCTGGGACTCCTGCATGCGCGGATGTAGGGTGGGTTTCAGGTTGGGTCTCCTGGGTTCGGTTGAAGGAAGAGCGGTTTAGGGTTTAGGGTTCAGGGCTTCGGGTTTAGGGTTACGCCTCTAAACCCTGAACCCCGAAACCCTGAACACAAGCTCAACTCTGGTCAGGCCACCCTCCCCCCCACCCCTAAAGTAGAATTCAACACCGACACGCCACAAGCCTCACATCAGCCTTTTGTCCCGGTTTAGGGTTTTCTCTGCACACAAATTCGAGGAAGAGCAGCACAAGGTGTATAGACCCTAGCAAGACGTAGAAAAACAAGGACTTCTATATCCTTGGGGACGACATGAACCCTCAAATTGGGGGTCACATGTCCTATACTACTATGATTCCTATTCAGGTACTATGAACCCTAAACCCTAAACCCTACACATCCCTAAACCCTAAACCCTAAACCCTAAACCCTAAACCCTAAACCCTAAACCCTAAACCCTAAACCCTAAACCCTAAACCCTAAACCCCAGCCTGTCGTAGGGTTCATTTCTTCCCCAAGGATTCGTCTGCGTCCCAAGGAGCTGGGGCGGCGGAGGCTTCTCCAGGCAGACGGTGGTCAGGGCCAGCTTAGCCGCACCCTGCCCGCTGGAAATAATCCTGGGTCTCGCGCTCAGGGCTGTGAAGTTTCGATCTTAGGGTTTAGGAGTTTAGGGTTTAGGGCTAGGGTTTTGGGTTTTGGGTTTTGGGTTTTGGGTTTTGGGTTTTGGGTTTAGGGATTAGGGTTTAGGGTTCGGGGCTTCAATGCTGAATCCTGTACTCTGAATCCCAATACAGCCAAAGCCCTTCAAATCCATCCCCAAACCGAATTCTCACAAATCCCTACATCCCTACTAGCCCCTAAGTCCCTAAACCCTAGCCCTAAAGGCCCTAAACCCTAAACCCTAAGCCCTAAACCCTAAACCCTAAGCCCTAATCCCTAAACCCTAAACCCTAAACCCTTTGAACCCCGAGCTTTCTGCGGTGCTCGTAGAGCACCCTAAACCCCAAACCAAAACCCGATAAGCTCTTGAAACACAGAGATTGTTCAGGGGTTTAGGGTTTAGGGTTTAGGGTTTAGGGTTTAGGGTTTAGGGTTTAGGGTTCAGGGCTTAAGGCTTAAGGTTTAGAACTCCCCACCAACGCAGAACTCAAATTTCATTGAACAGCTTGATTGCACTTACTTGGTTTCGTCGTGAATTCGAGAACCTTGGGGTCGAGATGAATAGGAATTGGAGTATTAGCATATACGACCCCCGCCCCCCCCCCCCCCCCCCCCCAATTTCTGGGTTCCTTTGGTCCCCAAGGAATTTTTGCTACTTGGTCTACGCTAAACCCTTAGCTGCTTACTTCTATATAGGCTTTATACTTGGAAGTTCATGGGTTCTTAAAAGTAAGGCTGAAAGTACGGGAACCGACACCCTAAATCTTAAACCCTGAAAAAAGGGTACGTCTAACTCTACTTCTGCATACCCATGCACCTCCAAAACAATTTTAGGGCTTCAGGGGGGGGGGGGGGCTTCATGCAGATCCCAGGGGTTTAGGGTTTAGGGTTTAGGGTTTAAGGTTTAAGGCTTAGGGTTTAGGGTTTAAGCCTTAGGCTTAGGGCTTAGCCTTAGGGAACTCCAAAAAACAAGCCCTGAAATCCTGAGCCGTAGAACTCCAAACAACCCCAAGCTTCCCTTCCTGAGCCCGGATCCTAGGGTTTGAAGGGTTCGAGTTTGGGGCTTGGGGTTTCGAGTTCCCCAAACCCTAAACCCCAAGCCCGAAACCCCAAACCCAAAGCCCTAAACCCTAAACCCTAAACCCTAAACCCTAAACCCTAAACCCTAGCCCTAAACCCTAGCCCTAAACCCTAGCCCTAAACCCTAAATCCAGAGACCAGGTTCACGGTGGTGGCCCTCCTCTCCGCGCGCGTCGGGCGCCTTGGTGAGCTGCCTGGGCACCCACGCCGCTCCTGACACGGGTAGGGTTTAGGGTGTAGGGTTTAGGGCTTAGGGTTTAGGGTTTAGGGTTTAGGGTTTAGGGTTTGGGGTTTGGGGTTTGGGGTTTGGGGTTTGGGGTTTTTGGGGTTTGGGGTTTTTGGGGTTTGGGGGGTTTGGGGTTTGGGGTTGAGGGTTTGGAGTTTGGGGTTTGGAGTTTGGGGTTTGGGTTTACTCAGTCCTGTCTCTAGCATCGTTCGGTTGAGGGCTTAGGGTTTACGTCGGGATATTGCTTTCTGTCGGGTTTCCGGTTCAGAAGGTCTAGGGTCCTGGAATTCTTGCTTCGACTCGCACAGCTGGCGCAAGCATTTAGGGTTTAGGAGTTTGGAGTTTAGGGTTTAGGGTTTAGGGTTTAGGGTTTAGGAGTCGGGCTTCAAGGCTTATGGGGCTTGGTTTGACGATGGCGCGCAGCAACTCGGGTGCAGCATGAAACTTCACAGTGACGGGAAGCTAAGAACCGCATACATCCTGACAGGGTTTAGGGTTTATGGTTTAGTTTAGCGTGTAGGGTTTGGGGTTAAGGGACCAACACCCTTGGCTTGGTAGTTAGATGATTTCAGTGTGGTTTCACAGCCCGTGGGGTTTGCTGCGCAGCTTCCGCAAAGATGCTGGTCCCTGGATCCTGAAAACTGCCAAACCCCCCACAACCTCTGAACACAAGGCACGCCGAGCAAGCCCGAGATCGCGAACCCTCAGTCCTAAACTCTCAGCCCACACCCCCCCAAAAAACACCCTAAACCCTAAACCCTAAACCCTAAACCTGACCCTAAATAATCTGCGGAGTTGAGTCGGTGGAGCTGGGTCTCGACCTGGATTGTACAGGTGCCTCCTCTGCCAGATGGCCGACGAGCTTGGCCAGGAGCTTCGGAAGAACCTGGGGTTTAGGGTTTAGAGTTTTGTTCGCTCCGTAGGGTTTAGGGTTTAAGGCTTAAGGGTTAGGTGTTTGGGGTTTAGGGTTTGGGGTTTAGGGTTTCGGGCTTAGGGCTAGGGTTTACCGGTCCTCAGTGGGGAATTTGGGAATTGCAACTGCATACACCCCTGAAACCCTTCAAGGGATACTAACCCTAAGTCTCTCAACGCCAGAAGATGGGGCCACGTTCCCTGACTCCCTCTGCAGAATTAGACAAGGTGTGGGGTTCAGGGTCTCAGCCAGGGCTGCTCTTTGGGGTTTTGGTTGCGCACCAAAAGTGCGAAGGGTTTAGGGTTTGGGGTTTAGGGTTTTTTGGAACCCTAAACCCTAAACCCGAAACCCTAAACCCTAAACCCTAAACCCTAAACCCTAAACCCTAAACCCTAACTAGCTGAGCCCAGAGGGCCACTCCGCAGGGACAAGCCGAGGTAAAGGTAAGTGGTTACTGGGCTCACAGGCACGAACACGACAGAGTACTCACTATGTGTACATAGATCTGTATACAGTCAGCCGCAGTGGGCTGTCCCAGGCTCACCTGAAAGACCACGCCTGCTTCTGAGGGCGGCCCCCCGGAGACGAGCCCAGTGACAGGATCATGAAGCTACCAAAGGGTTTAGGGTTTAGGGTTTAGGGTTTAGGGCTACGGACCGCTGCAGCGGCTGCCAGTCAGCAGAGGATTGAGCCCCGTAGCCCCGTACACCTGAGACCGACTACACTGCTGCTTCTCGTTCCCTCCTTTCACACCACGGCACAGTTTTCAGAGACCCTCCTAAACCCTAAACCCTAAACCCCAAACCCTAAACCCTAAACCGTAAACCGTAAACCGTAAACCCTAAACCCTAAACCCTAAATAAACCCTAAACCGTGGGGTTGAAGGTTTTGGGATCGTTCCAGGTGTCATGGGATGACACCTTGGACGCCGAAGGTTGTGCCTTGGGTTTGGGGACCCTCTTTCTGGATCCCCTTAAGGGGAATACGCGGGCCATGTTAGGAGTATATTCAGGGACCCCGCACCTATATCGCATATATAGGAACCCCGTCTCGTGCCCAAGTATATACCCTAAACCCTAAGCCTAAACCCTAAACCCAAAACCCAAAATCCAGAACCCTAAGCCCTAAACCCTAACCCTAGCAGGTACATGGATCCTTAGGGCACTGACAGTTGGATTTCCCAGCGTTTCCTGCCTTGTCCTTGGTCCGTGCATCTCGCGCATAGAGGGGCGGACGACCCGAGCTGCTCTTCCTTGGTGGCCACATGAACCCCAAAATCGAAGGGTATTTACATGGTCCCGTAGTATGGGCCCCTTAAAAGGGACTTCTTCTATACCCCTTATATACCCTAGACAACCCGGACTTCTTATATACCCCTTATATACCCTAGACAACCCAAGGGCCCATACTTCAGAACCCATTAGAGGAGGCAAGGGACCATATTAAGGGCCCATGTAGACAAAAACTACACCACCGAAGACCCCAAACAGTCAAAGGCATGTCAATGAAAGAAACAGTGGAGACGACAGGAGACAAAGGGAGACGAAGGGACACAAAGGGGGGCGAGGAGCACAGCAACCCGGCAAAGCCACCCACATGAAGGGAGATCAACGGAGACAAAGGGAGACAAGGCGCCCTGGAACCCGGCAACCTCAGAATGTCGGCAATCCTTAAATAAATTTAGAACCCCAACAGTAAGCTGTTTGGGGAATTAGGGCCCCATACCCTACGCCCTACAATCTGCTTTGTGTACCATACACCCCTTTGGAGATCAGTGATTATGACCCTTCTTGGGCTCAATTCCTACAGCCCCTGATATGACGCAGGAGGGCTGATATGGGCCATTTAAATCGTTTCTTGCTGGTTCTTAGTGACGGAACCCTATATCCGCCTATAGATACCCTTTAAGGGACTATGTAGGGCCCATTCCCTACTATGAACCAGAGTTTTTGTTTGGGTTCACATACTAGGTTTAGGGTTTAGGGTTTAGGTTTTAGGTTTTAGGGTTTCGGGCTTAGGGTCCATGTCACCAAGATTCTGCACCCCGCCGATGGGCGGGAGTTTCGGATGCCCCCGGTGGCGAAGAGAAGGCTCGCTCCTTTCTTTGTTTCCTACACCCCCCCAAAAAATAAATACATGGTAATAAGTAATAATAGTACATAAGAATAATAATAATGATACTGATGATGATGAAGATGATGTTGATAATAACAAGTAATCGTAAAAATAATAATGGTCCGTTTTCTGGGTTTATAAACATACTTTGGGGGCTTAGGTTCTTCCCTGATGGTATTGGAAGATTTGTTAAAACCGAGCAAACCTTTGCAAAGGTTGCTGGAGGTACAGGCTTAGCGCAGCGCTCAGACGCACTATTCTTTGGGGACTGTATGGCAACTGGCCAGCCTGGAGGTCAGCAGCGTCTGGCAGCCTCTCTCCGTCTGCATGGTACCCATGACCTGCACACGTCGCATTCAGATGCCCCCCGCCGAAGCCGATGGTCTTACACCCAGAAAACCCATGCAACAGCGTGGCTTAGCATGAGGAGCTGCCACTCTAAGCGGCAACATGCAGCAAGCCATAGTGGTCCATGAGCCTATGTGCGTCAGACCCGTACACCTTGCAAGTCAACCTGCCGCGCGTATCTGTTTTTTGGACGAGAGCATGTACTTTCAGGCTTATACCCCCGAAACCCCAAACCCCAAACCCCAAACCCTTAACCCCAGACCCTAAACCCTAAACCTACAAGGAACAAGTATCAAACTCCAAGTCCGGGAATTCATTCCCTTCATGCAAGGGCAACAACACACGTCAGCTCTACAGCGCGGGACCAGGGGTCCGGAGTGGCAGGTAGAAGCTGGGGGAAAGCGCTGAGAAGCTTATGTGACTTGTGGGGTTTAGGGCATACAAGAAAGCAGCTCTGAAAAGTCCTTAGGTTCTACCAGCGATCTCTGCACGAACCCGACAAGGGACGAGGGTGCTACCAGTCCCCCCTTGTCGAACACCCCAAAGCCGAAGGGCTAGTCTCTGTGGAACCAGCGCGGCAGAAGCCCTAAACCCTAAACCCTAAACCTACCGTCCCGGGACCCCTCTACGAGACCCGCTTCGGCAGCCCTAAACCCTAAACCCTAAACCCTAAACCCTAAACCCTAAACCCTAAACCCTAAACCCTAAACCCTACACCCTAAACCCTAAACCCTAAACCCTAAACCCTAAACCCTAAACCCTACCGAAACCCTCAGGATGCCTCAAGGAGCCGACTTCCGCGTCAATTCTCTGGGCGGTCCATCCACGGCTGACCCTTGCCCCTGAAGGTGCTTATATGTAGGGTTTAGGGTTTAGGGTTTAGGGCTTAGGGTTTAGTGTTTAAGGTTTAAGGTTTAAGGTTTAGGGTCTTTTTGGCACCTGACCCACACAGCGGGGTTAAATGGGGTTTAGGGATCAGGGTTTTTGCCTAGCTGATCGTTCTGGGTTTAGGGTTTAGGGTTTGGGGTTTATAGGGTTTAGGGGTACTTGGAGGTAAGGTTGTAGATGCCGTAGATAAGGCTATAAGTGTAGTTGCCATACTTCTAGCCCTACTCCTAACTACCCATGAACCTCTAGGTGTGCTTGGGGTTCCCCCTAAACCCTTTTTTTCCATCTGGGCTGGTGGGGAGTGCCAGAAAAGCAGCTGCTTGCACAGCTTGTAAACCCTAAACCCTAAACCCTAAACCTCCAAGTAGGGTTCAGGGTGGATTTTGCCACCCAGGGTTTAGTGTTTTGGGCTTGGGGGTTGGCCTTTGTTGGACTATGCTTTTGGTGGTGCAACACTGATTCAGCGGTTTGGCAGCTCCCCACTGCAATTCATCTCATGCACCTTTCTGACCTACGAGCTGGGTGAACGAGCCTTCTTCATACCTATGTGACCAGAGACAAACAACTGACACACAAGCAGAGAAAGAGAGTAAAGAGAGAGAAAGAGAGAAAGAGAGAGAGAGAGAGAGAGCGAGTACCAGCAAGAGAGAGAATCGGAAATAAGGCAGGAAGCCAAGACGGAACAAGACACATAGCCGGGGAGTCAAGATAGCAATCTAGATCACAAGATCACAAGTACAATCGTGCTCATTCTGCACACACAAACTTGCATGACTATTTATACTTGATGCACGCAGCGCAAATCATGTTGTTGAAACCCCAAACCCTGTAAACCCTAAACCCTAAACCCCAAACCCTAAACCTTGCAACAGCGGCTGTGAAGAAAATGTGTGCTTTATGCTGCGGCCAGTGGTTCGGATGCTGCTGTCGCCGAAAAAAAAACCTTTCTGCATCCACTTGGGTGAGCGCGTCAGGAGACAGCCCTAAAGCCCTAAACCCTGAACCCTAAACCCCGGCCCGAAACCCTTCTGTTTGCAGAACGCTTCGATGCACCGCCCGGAGGGCTCCCTCCACCCTGAATACCCTAAACCCTAAACCCTAAACCCTAAACCCTAAACCCTAAACCTAAGCCCCCCCCCCCAGACCTTGAGCAGACAGCGGCCACCCGCTGCTTGGGCAAAAAGGGCTATCCTTGAGCCATCTGCAACTCGATCAGCTTCACGATCCTTTTCAAGGCACCAAGGAGGGACCCTTATAAGGGACCTTAGGGGCAATGTAGGGGCTACTTAGGTATATAGAGACCATCGTAGGTATATGTGTAGGGCTTGTATAGGGGTTCGTTCTATCCCTCAGATGATAGGCGCGAGAGTTTTAGGGGGTATTTCAGGGCTTAGGAAAGAAAAGGCTTCCCTGAGCCCCCCATACCCCTAAGCCTACAAGCCCGGGTCGAAAACTACAAGCTCAAGAAATCCCCTGGAGGCTCAGCATATTGAAGGCTTCAAAATCCACCCTAAACCCTAAACCCTCCTGCTCAAGAAAAATGCCCATGTGTCTGAAGTTTCGGATGGGCTCGGATGCGTTTGCACTCGCTTGGAGGTTCTGGGTTGCGGGTTTAGGGTTTCGGGTTAGGGTAACCCAATAATGATAAGTGTAGTTATAGAACCCTAAGTGGCTTTAAGTACCTCAATAGGCTCACTTATCATTGGGTTGCTACGTGCCCTGAACCTCCACGTGCTTCCTTTTGAAAGGATAAGGGCTGCCCAGCTCTTGGGTTTCTAAGGATACGCTTTCATTTTCCTTGCCCTAAACCCTAAGCCCTAAGCCCTAAACCCTAAACCCTGAACCCGCGAAAAGCAAGCCCGGGTTGGCCCACCACCGAAAGGTGGGGTTTGGGGTTTGGGGTTTGGGGTTTGGGGTTTGGGGTTTGGGGTTTGGGGTTTGGGGTTTAGGGGTGTAGGAAGGCTTGGCTTAAGGCTGAATTAGGGTTTAGGGGGTTTTGGGTGTGTGTGTGTGTGCTGACTTAAGGGAGCCGGACGTGGGCAACCCCCAAATGCAAGGAGTTTTTTGCTGCAACTGTGTCCCACCTAGCAGCCTTGGCAAAGTTCCTCGGTTGTTGGCCGCGCTTGTCTGTAGTTTTCAGCCTCAAATTGGGACCCTAAACCCATCTAAACCCTAAACCCTAAACCCTAAAACCCTAAACCCTAAACCCTCAGTTCAAGTTAGTACGGAACCCAGACCAAAGACCGAGTCGTGGCTGCTGAAGGCAGCCCATGCCGGCAACAGAGGAACAACGCCTCAACCACCTGAGCAATGAGTGGCGGCTTTGCCGCTCGCTCGTCTTAAAGAGTAGCAGAGCTGGCCAGCGGTTGGGATACTCGGGCCACACGAAGTCGTGCTTCAACATAACGTGGACGCTTGTAAGGTGAGAGTGTTCATGCTGCTTCAAGCTTCAGCTTGCCAGTCTGTGAAGCTCAGGCCCTATTCTATGTTGTGAAACGGCCGGCATGATGCTGAATTCAGGATTGTCCCGGCCTGGATGTAGCCGAGTCCTCGTGGCGAGATGAAGGGTCACGGCTGATTGCGGACAATTGAGTTCAACACATCCCGCTGCAACACCTGTGGCAACAACAGCACTGACACCGTAGGCGGGCCGTCAGCGAGGCTAGTTTGCACAGTGTCTGATGACTTGAGCCCCACACTGGCATATCCGAAGATCTAAACCTGACAACATCGCAAAAGCCCAGGCCATGACTGATCCTACACCTACGTTTTTCTACATTCTAGTACCCCCTTCTTATAATCGCTGTTAAGGAGTGTTCGTATAAGGGGGAATTGAGCATCCCAACCCTAAACCCTGAACCCTCCGAAGCGCAGAAAACGTCTTGCTGCCCGCAGGGCCTGCCACTACCCAGGCTCACAGGCCCGTCTCGCGCTTGCCCTGAGGGCACAAAACATATGGACCTCCCGGAACCTACGGTTTAGGGTTTAGGGTTTTAGGGCTTAACTTGTGATGTTCCCCTTATACCAACAGTCCTTCATAGGTATTCTAATACCCCCTATTACAATCCCTTATTGGTTGCGATCGCGATTAAGGACTGTCAGTATAAGGGGGAACATCCCAGATTATAACCCTTGCACAGGGATGTGATGATGATCGACAGCAAGACACGTTTCTTTTTCGGGGTTTAGGGCCTTCGGCTTTTGGGGGTTTCGGGCTTAGGGACAAGCCAGGCTCTCCCAGGGCGGCCCTACCCCAACTCGAAGTCCAACACACAAACCCACCAAACCGCAAGCGCTGTTTATGAACCAACCCTAAACCCTAAACCCGAAAGCCCTTGTGAATACCCTGAACCCTCTCTCTCTCACAGGCGCTCAGTCAATGTCAGGCCTGTCGTGGCATCACAGCCAGCACAAAAGAGGCAACGGCCCGCGACCACTGCACTTACAGGAAACAGCGACTCAAATCGGCAGTGGCTCTTTGACCACCGCGCACACAGACCGCTCTTGCATGGCACTTACTCGCACTTGCCCATCAGCATCGACGAACCCTGTCCCCGTGAGAAGCAGGAACCGACTCAATCACGAAAACGCAATCGAAGTAGAAACGCATAAGATGTTGCACACATTCCTGCCATCGTTCAGTATCCGTGTCGACAGTAAGCTGCACGACAAAAGGGGGCACTTTACCCAGCAACCGAAGCCAGCTAAGCCAAGAAAGAACTGCGCTGGTAAAATCATCGTCAGCGAACGATAACTGCATCCAACCTTCCTGGACATCCAGCCACTTGAAGTGAAGCCTTCCCTCTTCTCTCCAGCAGAAAACAGCACGGAACCAAGCAACCGCAGCATTGTAACATTCCGCCCACCGCCCCCACGTGTCATCCGCACAGGCAGGCAAGGCATCAGAATCTGGCAGTGCGAACATTTGCTCTACCTTTGGGAACAGATGGTTCCACTCCACCTTGTCCATGTAAAGATTGGATATCTGAGACAAGGTCAACGCATTATTCTTCAGAATGTTTCGCATTACGCTTAGCAGCCATCTTCCAGTGGTAATTGCTCTTCCATCGCGCACCTGTTTAAAGTCACAGAATAATTCCATACGTGTAGGATGGCTCACTGGCATACGAAGAACGTGACCCAAGTAGGACCAACGTCGCCACAGCCATGACCGAACCCACGAGTGCCCAGGCGCCCAATACCTAATCATTTCAGCACACGCTCTTCTCCTGATTCTGTGCAACCCCCTTCGCTGCGCATCGCCGCAGTGTAGGGGAACATAGAGCTGCAGCGCGCTTGCCAGAATTCCCAACTGAAAGGTTTTGATGGCTTGCAGTCTTTGCATAGTGGGGTGTACGCAAGGGGAAAACCATAACCACTTGGAAAGCACAAATACTTGCAACAATCGAAGAGCCAAGGGCCAGCGCACGTAGTGGCACCTTCGTAGGAAAGACCTAATGTTTTCAATGCCCGCAATGGCTTTAGCCTTGGCCTGCTCAAGCAATAAGTCACTCAGCGGGGGACCCTCAGTGGAAATTGATGCCGGCACCGTAAGCATGCACCCCAAATATTTGAACTGGGAAACAACCTGGCACTGTTTAAGAAAGTCATGCATATTGTGACGTGTCCGCTGGAAAAGCTCGCGCTGAGCAGGCGCCGCACAGATTTTGGTCTTTGTAGGATTCCAAATAAACCCAAATCGCTGGAATTGTTGCAGAATCCAAGGCACAGCCCTTTCCATGGTGGACAAATCGCGAAACAGCAGTATACAGTCATCGATATAGCACCAAGCAGATACGGCATCCGGAAATTCTTCACACCATCTTTCCTTCAACAAAACAAACAAAGCTTCCATGGTCATAGCGAAGATTTGAGAACTATGGGCTCCACCCTGAAGCACCCCCTTGTTGAGCTTGAACCGACTGGTACGTCCACCCCATGACATTGAAAGCTGGTGATGTCGCATTTCGTGGAAGACCCGCAGGAGTTCAGGATGAAATTGAGAGTCCGTCATTCTTAGAAGTGAGGAATGCATCACATCCCATTGCACATTGTCAAAAGCCCCCTGTATGTCAGCACTCAACCAAAAGGACTCTGATTGTTGAAGTGATTCCCGTTCCAGCCTATTTGTAGCCAGCAAGAGCGAGTCCAAAAGCTGACAGTTGGCGAGTCCACCGAGTTGCGAGGTCGCAGGTTGCCACCCTTTCTGAACCCTGAGGATTAGCATCTTCATGTAGGTCTTGTGGAAAGTCTCCATTAGAGCAATAGGGCGGTAATCACTGGGCACAGAAATATGTTGGGTTTTTGCAATCAAGCACAACTCCGCAAGCCTCTGTTCTTGAAGGGGCTGGTGCAAAAGCATGAGATTGAAAACGGAGGTGAGGAGCGTGAGGCCCGTGGAAGTTTCCGCCAGAGCCTTGAGAATTTCATTGCTTATGCCAGAGGGCCCTGCAGCCTTGTAATACTTAAGACGCCCCACAGCAGCAGCAACCTCGCACTCAGTGAATGGGGCCGCCTCCGGCAGTTCCAGCTGCCACGGCAAGCATGGATCCTCCCCGTGCTCTGCACCAAACTTAGCCTGGAAATGGCAGTGCACATCTTGCACGAAAGCATCTTCGGTAGAATACTTCTCCAGTGCGCTGTCTAAGCTAATATGTTGATTATGCTGACGCCGCGCTTGACGAATGGAATCATAGTGGCACTGCGAAGCCAAATCCAAAATCTCATTGCACCAGGACTGCCTTTCTGCTTGTCTCTGGGACAAAATGAGCTTAGTAAGCAATAGCCGAACTTGTGGATCTTGTTCGAGGCGTCGTCGGGAGCAGAGTTCTTTTAGAGATTTGGAGTCTTTGAATTTCCTGCTACGCAACGGCGACGACACCGCATCCGAAAGCTGCCTCACTCTACGCCACTGTTGCTGCAATCCCAGATCACCGCACTGAGTATCATCTGCATCCAGCAGGCTTCGCAGTTTGAGCTTATCAACCGAATAGGGCAAGCACCTAATGTTTTTAGAGCGTCTCTTCTTGCGAGGAGCATTTCTTGAGTTGAACAGCTCAGCCAAAACCATGGCATGGTCTGAATTGATAGCTTGTGCAGTGTCTGAAATTACTGTTGAAAGGACCTCTGATGGAGCAGAGTCAGGCGCCGCCCTCCACCAGAAGAAATCAAGTTCCCTCTGCGAGTCCTTGCCGAAACGTGTAGCTTGGCCTGCAAGAATATTCCCAAAGCCAAGAATGGAAAGCGGAACAGCCAGCAAGTCGAAACGCGGATCTCCCTGCTGGCAATTCCAATCCCCACCCAGAATAGTGTCATACTGTGAATACTTGGTAACAAAGGAACACAAATCTTGGCATGCATCCGAATACACCTCATCCGGATACCCCGTATGGGGAAAATGAGCTGAGACGACCAAGAGATAGTTTTGGGTTGTAGCGCATTTGAAGCATACCGCAATAAACCTCAAGCCCTTGTAGTGGAAGACGACTCTCTCGCAAACCTCCCTATCAAGAGCAATCACCTGTGCCAGGTAGGCCTCGTTGTTGCCAGAAAAAACTCGATAATCATGCAAATCTGAGGACTCATCCATGACCAGCTCCCTGAGATCACTAGGAAGACTCAGAACATGATCACGAGAGTTGCCCTCCTTTACAGAATCAAGAGCGCCCGTGCCACCCACTTCTTGCAGCAAAATAAATTCCGGGGCATGATCTTGAAACACGCAGTCGCTGGCTTTGCCCACACTCTGCCCCCTAATGTTCCAAGTGCATATCTGTACAACAATGGGTTTGCATGGTCTCGGCTGGGCTCTGTGTCAGCTCTGCTGCATCTTGAAAAGATGCGCCTCAACTTCGGGTTCCGTCTTGCCTCGTATGTTGGCAATCAGGCCAACATTGAAATGGTATAGCGCTTGAGCCTGCTCAGGATCAGTAGATAGGGCCACAACTTTGTTCCCAGGCTTAGCAGCGAGTGCCACCGGGAAGGCTGCAGCTATTCTGGACTTGCCAGCCCAAATCACACCTTTCTTCCACTCTACCTCCAGCTCAAGATCCGGGAAAAGTGGCGCCAGCATACTCTTTGCCATCATGGATCGTTTGTTCTGCAACCTCACACTTCTAGGCTTGCTTGCAGAAAACCACAATAGCTTGGTGTCGTCAGAAGATTCCACTCCGTGCTTCTCATGTAGGTGTTGGCGCAAAGTGAGATACCTCTGAAACGACTCGTCACCTGGCAACTTGCTGAGAAAGATGTGACCCACTGAGCCTCTTCTTCCATAAACCACTATGTCTTGCACTTGCAGAGTTGGTTGATGGGACGCCAAAAGTGCTCGGATACGATCAATGATTTCAGCTCTGGGGGTTCCGTCCTCCCACTCACCAACCACTATGTGATTGTAGTCAGTATCAGTGCTCGTCTGTGCTGAAGACGCAAAGCCGCCTTCACCAGATTGCCCTTGCCTTTCAGCAGGAGGAGGCATTCTGGAGAAGACACCTTGAGAGGGAGCAGCAGCATTGTGTGAGCCATGCGCAGTTTGTTGGACAATTTCCTCCAAAGCAGCAATTCGTCTATCAAGGTCCTTTCTTTCACGAACAGACTCTGACTCGAGCTTAGTCATTCGAGCATCGAGAGCTCCAAGTGAATCGTTACTGCGTCGAATTTCCAGTTGGAAACTCTTCTGAAGTGCCACAGCCCACGACGGGGCGTCAGTGCCCTCAAGCTCAAACTCATCCGGATGCTGATGAAGCCTCATGAGAGCATCGAGCTGCTCATCGGCATCCCCGTCCACATCATCCCCTCGAGGTTTCTTCTTCACAGGACCAGCAGAAGGGCTATACATGAGAGCTGACATGTCAGAAGCAACTACACCAACACCCAAGAAGGAATCCGAGCCGAAACCCTTGAGCCGTAGCCATAGCAGCGAGTGCCACCGGGAAGGCTGCAGCTATTCTGGACTTGCCAGCCCAAATCACACCTTTCTTCCACTCTACCTCCAGCTCAAGATCCGGGAAAAGTGGCGCCAGCATACTCTTTGCCATCATGGATCGTTTGTTCTGCAACCTCACACTTCTAGGCTTGCTTGCAGAAAACCACAATAGCTTGGTGTCGTCAGAAGATTCCACTCCGTGCTTCTCATGTAGGTGTTGGCGCAAAGTGAGATACCTCTGAACCCTAAACCCTAAAACCGTTTTAAGCACGGACTGAGAAACTCAAACCGTGCCCTAAACCCTAAACCCTAAACCCCAAACCCATGCAAGTCCCCAAGCCCTATGCCTCCAAGCCTCTGAAGCCTTCACGTGTAGGTCAAACCCTAAACCCTAAGTCCTCAATAAACCCAATAAATCCTAAGCCCTAAACCCAAAACCCAAAACCCTAAACCCTAAACCCTATAAGTCCTAATGAGGTCCAGGCGGGCTCAGACCACTCGCTGTAGGAGGTTGGGGAAGGCTGTCCTCGGTGATGGGTGTAGGCCGGCGTGGGGTTTAGGGTTTAGGGTTTAGGGTTTAGGGTTTAGGGTTTAGGGTTTATGGAGCATGAAAATGCGTCGATGGCTTGCTGGGCGGGGGATCCGGCTCCATGCGATATCTGCCGGAACCAAAGACTCAACCCACTTTGCTCCATCTCATGACCCTAAACCCTAAACCCTAAACCCCGAAACGTCGGAATGGGATGCAGGGCGAGACCTGCCCTTCCAGCAATTGCCTGCAAGTGTCCTGCTGTTGGGTCTCCCTCGTGGGTTTCCTCACCGCTCTCGAACGTCTCGTCATACCTGAGCCAGACATAGAGACAGAGGTATGGGGGTTCACGATATTAGGGGCACCTGATTGGGGTCCTTATGATAAGGGGGATACCTTATTTTCGTAAACCCCTATATTACGCGAGAAGCGGAAGTGAAAGAAAGGGAGGGAGAAGAGAGAGAGAGAGAGAGAAAAAAAAAGCTAGAAAGAGTAAGCGAAGAAGGGAAAAGAGAGAGGGAAATATTTGAGGTGACAAAAAGCGAAAGCGGAAGATAAACTGAGAGCAGGGACACGGGAGGTACAGAGAAGAAGGGAGGAGTCCAAAGAGACAGAGAGAGAGAGAGAGGGAGCGAACGAGAGACTAGGCGATGCAGAGCGAGAGCGAAAGAGAAAGAAGAGAGAGAGAGAGAGAGAGGCAGAGAGAGAGAGAGAGAGATGAACAAAAGAGAGAAAGAGAAAGCCGAGCGAAAGTCCAGAGTCACAGAGGGAGAGAGACGGAGGGGGAGACAGAGAGAGAGAGAGAGAGTGAAAGGAGAGCGAGCCCTGCAAACCCCGCGACACCAGACTGCTAGCTGCTACAGGGCTCACACTCATCGGCACTATCTCTCACTTCTTAACCTCAAAACTCTAAACCCGAAATCAACGCCTTGAGTTAACCAACGCCTGTGTTTCGTGATTGCGGGCCCTTGCAGCGTCTGAGGTCCCACCACTTCACGAACGCTGCTTCATTCAATGTATGGTCGTCTGCCGGGGCCTATAGATTGCGTTCCATGTTGCTGTTGCTGTTTGTTCAATCCGTACGAAAAACGTAAAAACGTTCTAAGTAGTGCCAAGGGTACTACCTAAGATAGTCTCCATTGTAGTTCCTTTTTTGGGTGAACCTATTTTTCGATTAAATGACCCTTACCTTCAACCTGGTTAACCCAAAAAAGGAACTACAATGGCGACCACAGGTATACTTCTATAATTCCGACTAAGGTATATGGGGGCTTACGAAAATAGAGGACCCCTAAACCAGGCACCCAACCAGCAGGATACCCTGAAAGTAAGAGACGCCAATAAGGTACCTGGAGACTACTATTGGGGTCGGAATGATTACTAATCGTATTCCTTTAGGGTCCCCTTATAACTATACCAGAATAACCCCCCAACCCTATTCTAGTTCTTCAGGCCCCCATATTACAGGTAGTGTTACTGTTAGGGCTACTACTGCCCTAAACCCTAAACCCTAACCCTAAACCCTAAACCCTGAACCCTGAACCCTAAACGCTAAAGCGTTGGGGGGTCCCTTTACGTGGAGCCAAGGAGCTCATCATACGTCGTCGTGCCGTGGGTGCTCCTGAGCGCCGCCGTCCGCAACCCTTAAACTCTAGGGTTTAGGATTTATATGAGCTAGGTTTAGGTTTAGGTTTAGGTTTAGGCTTAGGTTTAGGTTTAGGTTTAAGTTTTGAATTTATAGGTTTAGGTTTAGGATTTAGGTTTAGGTTGAGGGTTAAACCCTACAGGGTTTTGGATTTAGGTTTAGGTGTAGGGTCAAGCCTCAAATTTGAAATCCTCTGCCCCAAAATCTCATCCTCTACCTGATTGCGAGAACTCTGAGCATCTAGTCTAGGGTTTAGGGTTTTGAGGTTTAGGGTTCAGGGTGCTTCAAGCATGGTAGGCCCGCCGAATTGTTCCGGGGGTATTGTTGGCAACTTTACGGGTTTGGTGTGTGAAATCCCCTCCTCTTCTTTTCCCCTATATATTTCAGATCCCCCAGATGCCTTTTTTTAGGCGGGTGTAGTTGAGTTGTGTTTTGTGTTGGCACTGTTTCCTGGGATCCAGGCTTTTTTAGGGCGTACTCTTGGTGAATACCTGAAGCGAAGCTCGGCGAACCTCTTTCAGACCGAGCGGAACCCGTACTTTCTGTTGTTTTGTGTTTTTTTTGTTTGTTAATGGCGTTTGCTTCCTTAACCAAAGAGATGAACATTTTGTGCTAAAGGCTGCCAAATTCCCATCGGTATATGAATATCATACTGGGATGATATAGGTACACATTTCAGGCTCCTGTATTACAAACCCTAAACCCTAAACCCTAAACCCTGAACCCTGAACCCTGAACCCTAAACCCTATAAACCCCAAACCCTATAAAACCTAAACCTGCAACCCTGAAATCCAAACCAACCTTCTGTGTCGGTGCAGTCTGAGAAGCGGAGAAGCTTCCCCGCGGCCGGTTGTTGGGGCTGTAGCCAAGTCCTCGCTGCCTCACAAACGTTTGCAATCCCAGGTTTAGGGTTTAGGGTTACCTTCCTCATACCCCCTAAGACCCCAAGCGCCGCGTTCTGCACCTGGACTTGCTGTAATAGGGTTTTGGGTCCAGAGGGCCTAGCATTAAATACCTCAAACCTAAACCCGAAACACGAGACCCTCCAAGGTGGAGGCTCGGGGCTGCCGGGGGTTCACTCTCAGCTTCGGTTTCAGGTCTTCCGATGCGATTCTTCGAGCATGGGGGGGGGGGGGGGCCTACCCAAAGGCTCCAATGTAGTTCTTTTTGGGTTAGTTATAGGGGGTTGTAGTATACTACCTCGAAAAAGGTACTACATAGGAGGCTTTGGGTAGGACACAGAGGACTCCAGAAAGGTATGAATCTGCACCTGCTACTTTTCGGAACACGGGGGTCTCGGAAATCAGGCTTCAAGGCTTCAGGAGTTACCTTGCGGTTGGCGGTGACCCCCTGGCCAATTTTGCATATTTGCCCGGGCTTCCCTGCTGTGGCTCGCCGCGTCATCTGCGGCAGCAGCCTCGAAATGGTTTAGCCAGGGTTGCGTGAGAGAGCCCCGTATAAAAAACTTATAAACCCCTTCCCTGTAATCCTCCTGCGAATACGTACAACAAACCCTTTCGACAAACACCCCATCATCCCCGATATCCTTAGAAAACCCCATAGGCCTCCCACTATGAAACCTTACAACAAAGAGTGCGTGCCTTTCAGAAACGAAGCAAGCCTACAACTCCCCCCGGCCCCCCCTCCTGACCCTACCAAACCCAAAGCTCTGCAGACTGTCGTATGCAGTTCAGGGCTTTGGGTTTCGGGTTTGTACAAGATAGAGGCTACTCTAAACCTAAACCCTACAAACTCTACAAACCTCAGAAACCCTACAAACCCTATAAACCCTGCAAACCCTATAAACCCTACAAAGCCTAAACTCCCTCTAAGCACTACACACCCCAAGCCCTAAAGGGTTCAGAGCTGGTCGCAAAATGCACAGGGAGCGAAGCCTCACCAGCTGCAGCGTATTCCTCCGGCTGCTGCTCGCCGTCCTGCGCAGCCACGATCCGCTTTCACTCGTCATCATGGTTTCCGACTTCGGGTTTAGGGTTTAGGGTTTAGGGTTTAGGCTTTAGGGTTTGGGGGTGCCTTGTTGGGGTCCTGTGTGTAAGGGATTCCTACTAGTTGGGGGTAAATTTTAGGGGTCCCCCATTTTCGTAAACCCATGCAAGATCATGTAAGTCATGGTCCTTTTTGGAATCTGTTGTAGCAAGAATTTTAGGGTTTATAGGGCTCAAGGTTGAGGTTTTCGGGTTATGCCCCTCATCATTTATAGGGTACCACCGATGGCTTCTGCTGCAGATGAACGTTGGCGCCCAGCCGCCCAGATAACCCGAGCCACGTACTGCGGACCTAAGAGCCCGAGCTTGCGACCGCCAGTGTACCCCAAAACGTGTGGGAAGCATGCTGTAAAGGGATAAAGCTGAGAAGTGGCATGACAGAAGAAGGCGGGAACACATGTCAGAGCATGGGCTTTCAACTTAATATGCTGGGGGAAGCTGCTTCCTCTCCTGTCAAGTTGACGTTTTGTTGAGGGTGTCCTGGTAAAGCTTCGAGCCCTAAAACCTGAACCTCAATGCTAAACCCCTGGGTTCCAAGCTGCCGAAGCCCCACCCTTATCCACACAAAGGCACCACCACATGGGAAGGAGGTTCCCCGACATGTCGTGGACTGCGGTTGAGCTACCCCTAAACCCTAAACCCTAAAGCCCCCAAGAAGCCCAATCGTCTCCTCAGGTTCGAAGTCGTCTTCAAACTCCTCGTCGAAGTCGTCATCATAGTGGTCTGATGTCACAGTGGCCTGGGCTCACGCTCTCTCCATGCACCAGTCCCTTACCCATAGCCATGGCGCAGCAAAGCAGAGGAATACTACATTTATGTACCAAGTTGCTCTTTGTGGGTGTATAGGGTTAGGGTAATAAAAGAAGGACCCGCGACAGACTCCTTCGATGGCGTTTCGGGTTTTTCCGGGGCCGCCAGCCCTCAATCTGTTTGAACACCAACACCTTCCTCCCCCCCCCCCCCCCCCCCAATATGCGGGAAGCTCACTGCCTGCGCGCTGTTTGCAGTCGGGCTGTCGTCACCTGCGTTCTCAGCCTGAGGGGTGGGGGCCCACAGCAGTCCTTTTGAGTCGTACACCCTAGAGGCCCTAGAGTTCTGGGTAGGACATAGGAGTTTAGGGGTTGCAGTCTCTCTATTAGAGTTTAAAGAGTTTTGGAGGGTTTTAAAGGGTGTTAGAGGGTTTGAAAGGGATATAGAGGGTTTTCGAGGGCTTTAGAGGGTGTTCAGGGGCACCCCTAATCTTGTTCCCCTATACAACTCCAAACATAATTACCCAAGTAGCCCCCAAGTAACCAGCCCGTAGTCATGAACTCCCACTCCAAACCCTAAGAGTCCATGTACCTCTTTGGTCTATATTTGGGCCCTAAAGCTACAATATGGGAACCCTGGCATACAATATGTAGGTATATAGACCCTTAGGGGAACATGCATGTCGCCCCAAACACTCAACACGCACTAAGCCCTAAACCTTCTGTCACTTTCCCCTAAGCCCAAACCCTAAACCCTAACCTCAAAGCCGCTAAAGTCCGGAAATCTCAACCCTCTTCGTCCAGAGTTTCTACCCTAAACCCTAAACCCTAAACCCTAAACCCTAAACCCTAAACCCTAAACCCTAAACCCTAAACCCCAACCCCCAAAACCTAAAGGCCCCAAAATGGCCCCGCCTCTGGAAGCTCACGGGGCCTCTGGCAGCGCTTCACATGAGAGACTTCTTTAGGGTTTAGGGCTAGGGTTTAGGGTTTAGGGTTTAGGGTTTAGGGTTTAGGGTTTAGGGTTTAGGGTTTAGGGTTTAGGGTTTAGGGTTTAGGGTTTAGGGTTTATGGTTAGGGTTTAGGGTTTAGGGTTTAGGGTTTAGGGTTTAGGGTTTAGGGTTTAGGGTTTAGGGTTTGGGGTTCAGGGTTTTGGGTTTGGGATTCAGGACTTAATGAAGGAATGTCAGAGCGAGGCTTTGGGGGAAGCCTGGGGCTTGTGGCGCTGCCTGGTTCTCTAGACTCGTCCCAGAGCAACCTTAAAGTACAACCATAGGAAAGGTGCGCGTTTAGGGTTTAGGGTTTAGGGTGTTTCCCCTTACTACAGTCCTTAGTAGGGATCCGAAAAAGGGGGTACTATAATCCAATGAAGGACTGTTAGCATAAGGGGGAACATCCCAGTTGTCGGGTTCAATTTAAAGGGAAATATGAGGCAACTGCATGCACCAACAAAATATAGTGAGGGCTTACTCTGGGTCCTGGGTCTTGTTGACATGGGAAGGGTTCTTAAGGCTCGAGGGCGTCCCCGCTATTTGCTCGGTGCTTGGGAGCCTTATCGTGCGTTGGGCGCGCGAATCCGAAAAAACAGCAGCCATCGGTTCAGGGTTTAGGGTCATTCCGAAGCAGACGTCCCGTGGATGTTGGGACTGTAGGTTTGACGTGAAGGACTTTAGGGGGTGCAGGGGGAAGCCAAACACAACCAAACCTCTAAAGATCCTCTTAAACACCCAAAAAAAGAACATACACAAATCCCCCATCGTCCTATGAAGGTTTCTCGGGAACACGTCCCCCCCCCTCCAACTCAAAACGCAACTGAGCCCCAAAGGACGACCCCTAAACCCTAAAGCCGAATGAAGCTTGGAGGCCCCAAACCGACCTTCATGCTCGTTTGGGGATTTAGGGTGTTAATTAGGGTTTAGGGCTTTAGGGTCTCAGGGCTTTGGGTTCTAGGGTTTAGGGTTTAGGGTTTTAGGGCTTTAGGGTCTTAGGGCTTTAGGGTTTAGGGTTTTAGGGTCTTAGGGCTTTAGGGTTCTAGGGTTTTGGGGATTTAGGGGTTTTAGGGTCTAGGGTTCTTCAAGTCCAGGAAGAGATGCTCATCATCACAGACCGACTCCGTGGCGGCCCTCCTCAGTGTGCTGGGGTGTGGGGCAAGGGTGCCCTAAACCCTAAACCCTAAACCCTAAACCCTAAACCCTAAACCCTAAACCCTAAACCCTAAACCCTAAACCGGCAACGGCCACCCCAGGAACTTCAGGTCGTAACCCCGGACTGTTTTGTTGAAGGCCGTGTTCACTTGAGGTTTATGTGGTTTCGAAACTTGAAAATAGCCGAGCCCAACTTCTTCCTAAGCCCTCAACTTCAAGCTCCCCTAAACTCTGAACCCTAAACCCTAAACCCTACACCGTTGTTAAGCCTCTGCCCAAGCGTCGGGGACTCCACTCCAGAACCTCTGCTCGACGGCGCTGAGTCTGGGCGAACGGAGGTTAGGTGTTGGGGGGTGCGTGAGGCCCGCGAAAATGCCGCGGTAAGTACTCCTACCTAGGGAGTTGCTCGGGTCCTTTTGATCCCACTAAGGGAACATCTTCCCTAAACCCTAAACCCTAAACCCTAAACCTTTGACCCTAAACCCTAAACCCTAAAACCCTAAACCTTTAACCCTAAACCCTAAACCCGAAACCCTAAACCTTTAACCCTAAACCCTAAAACCCTAAATCCTTGAGGTTCCACCTTCCGAAAGGAAGAAAGGCCGAGGTTGCCCTGAGCTTAAGGCAATCCTCCTGGTATGCGTCTTCCTCTTCCTCCTGGCAGGTCGAGGCTTGCAGGCTGCCCAGTGGGTTTAGGGTTTAGGGATTAGGGTTTAGGGTTTAGGGGTTTAGGGTTCAGGGTTTAGGGGTTCAGGGTTTAGGGTTTAAGGTTTAGGGTTTAGGGCGAAGTTGGAGGTTCATGGGGTTAGAAGAAGGGGCTCTAAGTAAGTGTTGCTGCCTTACTTCCCATAAGCAGCCCGAGCCGTCTCATCTTCAGGAATGGACTTCGCACGCACATAATATAGTCCAGGCAGCCCTAACGACACTGTGCTGGCTTCAGCCCTACTAGCCCTAAACCCTAAACCCTAAACCCCAACCCCCTGCCCTAAACCCAAACCCTAAACCCTAAGCCAATGAATGGACTGGGCCAACTCTCGGCTCTTTTTTCCGGCTGCGGGGGCCCATGCTCAAAAAGGCATGAACGGCCCGAAGGGACAAATTCCCGAAAACTGAGCCCGGCATTGAAGTGTCTTTCCCCGGCCGGACCCTAAAGCCTGAATCCTGAACCCTAAGCCCGTTTACATCAAACGTCCTAAAACCCTAAACCCTAAACCCTAGCCCTAAACCCTAAACCTTGACTCCCCGAACCCTGAACCCTGAACCGTAAACCTTGAATCCTGAACCCCTGAACCTCAAGTCTCCTCGCCTCCTCTTCCTCTTCCTCCTCCTCATCCTCATCGTCCGGGAGATCTGCTGGCGACACGAAGCCGGTTCCTTCCGTCTATCCCTGGTTCGTTCTTAGTAGGGAATGAGGGCTTGGGGCTTCGAGTTTAGGGTAGCAAGGGAATGAGGCGCCCTACATAATCCCTTAAAGGCTGTAAAACAGGGCCCTCACTCATGAGATACCCTATATAAACCCTTGAAGGGTAGACAATCGGGCCCTAATTCGTGAGGCATCCCATAAAGGTTACATAATAGGGCCCTCACTCCCTCATTCCCTACTAAAAACCAGCCAGTCTATCTGGATTCAACTCTCAGGTTGATGGTTTATAGTTAGGGATTTAGGGTTTAGGGTTTGGGGCTTGGGGTTTAGGGACTTAGGGCTGTAGGGATTTAGGGTTCAGGGTTCAGGGTTCAGGGTCTAGGGTTTGGGGTTTAGGCTTAGGGTTGTGAGGGTTTCGACTTAGGGGTCTTGGGGCTGAGCTCTAGAGACAGGGGCCTCTGTCTGTTCAGTTGAGTGAGCTAGACTAGAGCAAAGTTCTAAAGGAATCTTGTAAGACAATAACAAACAATCTTCTGAAGTATCCAGGCTCCTATCCTATTGGGTCTTAGCTTTATGGGAGGGAAGGATGTTCTGGGGTAGTCATGATTCAGGGCTTGATTTGGAGCCTTCCCTCTGCCCCCCCAAGTTGAACACAGTTATCAAAAGGTGTTGAGGGTTCGTCCTGGTTTAGGGCCTTTGGGGACTTTAGGGTTTAAGGCCAAGGGTTTAGGGCACTTCCACCAAGCAGGCCCAACGAACGTCTAGGAGGTTTAGGAGTATGCGAAGGGCTTGGGTCGTAAGCTGTAATGCAAAATCACAAACCAAAAGCCCCTAAGCGAGTACCAAGCCCTAGCCGCCACACCTAGAACCCTGGACCCTTTCTTGCATCCGGGCTATGATGTCCAGGACCGCAAACAGTAAACCCTTTACCTGAACCCTGAAAATCCCAGGCCATGAAATAATAAGGCAGTCCTTTGCGTGGAGCGCTGGGCGAGCTGTGTTCGCCACTCTGCCCTTGATCCTGAGTCTGGAACATGCGGGGTTTCGGTTTCCGAAAGCACTCTCTGCAACAGCAGGCTCCACACTAGGGATCAGGGTTTTGGGCTTAAGGAGTTTGGGGGTGAGGGACCCCATTCCAGCACGAGCTCAAATTCTTAATGCCTGCAGTTGTCTACAACAATCCTTGCATGCAACCCAACCCTAAACGTCCGCGCAAGACCACCAGGCCCCGTCAAGCATGCACGAGACTCGTGGTCTGAGGCCGAGCGGAAGGGAAACTCTAAACCCAAACTCTAAACCCTAACCCTAAACCCTAAACCCTAAAGCACCTGCCTGGGCGAAGCTGACGTAGCGCTGGGCACCGTCCTGGGCCGAGGGCTCCCGCACAAAGCTTGAGGGCTTGGGGGTTTATGGCTTGGGGTTTAGGGTTTAGGGTTTAGGGCTTAGGGCTTAGGGTTTAGGGGGTGCAGGGTTTTTGTCTTTGCTGGGCGTTTCGGGAGTCGAGTTTTTTTGTTTGCATTTTGTTTATTTTGCCTCTTTTTTTTTTTTTTTGGGGGGGGGGGGGGGGCTCTGGTGTTTGCCGCCTGGTACACTTCTCGGTTTCTCCAGGTCATCCTTGCGAAGGTTTAGGGTTCACAGTGCAACGCAGGCGCCTAACAGAATGATAACATTGTCCCATAATCATTCCGATGTATCCCGCCAAGACTATCATGCGCACTGCCCCCCTCCAGTGGGTCCGGATGGGAGAAATGGGGGTTCTGGTAGTTGAAGGCCCGCAAGAGGAGACGTGAGTAGGGAGGCTCAGGTGGGTGATGGTGTGCCACCCCAAACCCTAACCCTAAACCCTAAACTTCCTAAACCCAAACCCTAAACCCTAAACCCTAAACCCTAAACGCTCGGGAGGGGTGATGGTGTGCTCAGGGTGCAAGGTCGGAGTCGAGATACTCGGGGGCTTTCTGCTTTCAGGCGGTAGGGCTTCGATGTGGGCTTGGGGCTTGGGATGGAAGGCGTGCAAGTGATGTGCAGGGTTTCTGCTTCTAGGGTGTGCTCTGTGTGTGTGTGTGTGTGTCTATGTATACAGATATATATGCAAATGTTACATTCCCTATATATATATATATGCTACCATACGTAATAAAGGGTTTAATGCATGGAGGTGCTGTTTGCTCAGCAGTCGCTGGACAAGAAAGCGTAAAGTGCACAAGGGTAAAGTCTAAGGATCCATGTACCTGTATGGTATATACGTGGGCCTTAAGGGAGTTCTTACATGGTACCTTTAGGGCCCAAGTATATGCTATATAGGCACATGGATCCTTAGGGCAAAAGGGTGTTAGGTGCTTCAGACGGCGTCAGAGTTTGGACCATGTGTGCATCTCGTCCTCATCCTCATCATCCGATGGTAGGTCGGAGGCTTTCACGAAACCGGTGCCTGCGGCCAGCGACCACAACAAGGCTACTTAAAAAGTGCCTTTGAAGCTGCAAACTCCTGCCACCAAGCATTGCGACTTCAGGATGTTACCCCTAAACCCTAAACCCTAAATCCTAAACCCTAAACCCTTACGAAGTGTTGGTTACTTTCCTGAGATGGCTGGGAAGCTGGCCTTTGCGTGGAGCCGCGGGCGACGTGCCCTCGCCCAACGCATCAACTTCCTCACAGAAGGCTGTCGCATGCAAGTCATAGGACAACCTGCGACCCCTTTAAGCGGCTTCCTAGATCGGGCGCGTGCGTACTGGAAAGGTGAGCCCCGATAACTACACTCTTCACAACCTATGGAGGGTCGCTAACACGGCCTTCGCGATGATGAGGTTCAAGCGTCGTCCGGACAACCGGGAAGTGCTGACCCTAAACCCTGAACCCTGAGCCCTCAACCCTAAACCCTAAACCCTAAACCCTAAACCCTAAACCCCAAACCCTAAACCCGAACCCTAAACCCTAAACCCAAAAGAGCGGAATCTGCTGGTTTGGGTCCAACCCCCGCTACCAGCAGGTCGAAGCAGAGGCCGCAGCGGGAGAGAAGCTGACGTTCCGTGCGGCCTGCGGGGGCGAGCTTGGGAAACCGAAGCCCTGAACCTGAACCATGTTAGGGTTTAGGGTTTAGGGTTTAGGGTTTAGGGTTCAGGGTTCAGGGTTTAGGGTTTAGGGTTTAGGGTTTAGGGTTTAGAACGACCCTAAACCATGAACCCGACACGCTGTAAGCATGTTAAACCCTAAGCCCTTTGAGAACTTCGAACTCGGAATATGAGTTCTGCCCTTCGGTCGTAGTTTAAGGAGTAGCTTCGCGGTTGAGAAACCCTGAGTCCCTCTCATCAAAAGGGTTTAGGGTCTAGTCGCTACAAACTTAATGGGAGCCGCGCTTTGAGCTTTAGGCCGAAGGGTCCATGTACCCATATTAGTACATACTTGGGCCCTAAAGCCACGAAATCGGGGCACCCCTGTAATGCCCAAGTATGTACTTTAATGGGTACATGGACCCTGAGGGTAGGCTTAGGAGCTCCAGAATGCATGTCTGCAAAGGTACTGTCGAGGCCTCTGATTCCTCATCGTCGTCGTCTGGCAGGTCAGTTGTTCTCACATATCCAGTGCCTGCAGAGCTGCAGAGACGTGGGTGTCGGGGCTTGAGAGCGTGAAACTGTGAAGCAGCTTTCGCTGATAACGCAAGAATGGTGAAGAATGGCGAAATATGGGTTGACTTGTCTCTTGGCCTGCCCAACACCCTAAACCCTAAACCAGAAAAGTGATTGCCGGGCCGGCGGAGATCGACTTCACGTTGCCCGAGAAAGAGAGAGAATGAAAGCAGGCGCATGTCACGAATTCCGCGGGGATAGGAAATTTTGTGTGCAGTTGAACCATAAAATGGGGGGTCATATGCCCTATACTACTAAAACTCCCAAAAAGGTCTATGAACCATAAACCCTTGTTTAGGGTTCATTTCGTCCGCGAGGACCACAGCACCCAGCCTTTACGAGGTGCGGAGGGCGATCCTGACTCGGCAAGCACGTCGCTCTCCTGAAAAGCATCAAGGCGTCGGCTCTCGACTTCCTAAACCCTAAACCCTAAACCCTAAACCCCTAAACCCCTAAACCCCTAAACCCCTAAACCCTTAAACCCCTAAACCCTAAACCCTAAACCCTAAACTCTAAACCCCTAAACCCTAAACCCTAAACCCTAAACCCTAAACCCTCACCCCCGAACCATGCCAACGAACACGGGCCGACAACAACCGTCTCTAAACCTGAGACCCTGAGACCCTGGACCTGCTTTTTGCATCGGTCTTCTCCTGGCTTCCCTGGCTGCCCCTGAACCCCCTTCTTGGAGGTTCATGGGAACTCATAAGCAGCGTCAGAAGAGGGGTAACTATACTCAGAACTCTTTTTAGGTACCTAGGGGTAACCCTTAAGGTACCTATGACCCTACTTTAAAGTACCTTTGAACTTTATCAAGTAAACCCTACACCCTCAAAAACCTAAATGCTGTAAACCCTCAGTGAGTCTACGAAGAACAGAGGCGCGGGCAGGCGCGAAGGTCACCTGTCGCTCGTCCTGCGGTTGCGCACACGTGTGTGTGTGTGTGTGTGTGCGCGCGCCTGTGTCTGTGTGTCTCCGTGTCTCTGTGTGTGTCTGTGTGTGTCTGTGTGTGCCTGTGTGTGTCTCTGTGTGTCTCTGTGTGTCTCTGGGTGTCTCTGTGTGTCTCTGTGTGTCTCTGTGTGTCTGTGTGTCTGTGTGTCTATAAATATAAATATATATATATATATATGTATGTATATACACATATATATATATATATATATTTATTTATTTATTTAAGCCCCCAGCTAGTGCGATCCGGGGGCAACGGCATACATATGAATGTGTATAAAACGTGTAATGTGTCGTCTCCCCAAGGTGTAACGCCAGGGCTTTAGTGTCTCAGGCATGTCTTCCGGAGAGAGTGAAACCCTAAACCGCAAACCCCAAGCGTAAGAACTATGGTAATTATGATCCCAAACAAGAGAAAGAACCCAAATAATAAAAAAAACACAGAATATGGAGCCTCCTAGAATGTGCAAGATGACCCGACGGCTTTCGGAAGGGTCGCGATTTGGCACAGCGGGGGCTGACCAAACTTCGGGTGTGCCGCCGGGGTTTAGGGTTTAGGGTTTAGGGCTGCGGTGTAGGCTTAGGGTGTAACCCGGTTCCAGCGCAATACAGGGTGTGCAAGCACTCGCATGGCTAGCATTTCCCTCACGTCCGCTGCTCTCCATCCTTCCCCTCTCTCTCCCTATCTCCTGCTGCATTTTCTGAAAAAGCTTGATTTCTACCTTCAGGGCCTACGTCTTGCGATGCAGCTCCGCAGGATTCTGCACGCTCAGACCTCAGACTCTTCGTCGTCATCGGGCAGCTCAGTCGGCCGAATATAGCCGGTGCCTGACAGACTTGCACGTACACGGCCCCCAACATCCCGCTCCATACGGGTGAATATTGAATAACTGAAAAATATGCATATGTATATATATATATATGTATGCATATAGAAAGAGACAGAGAGAGCGAGAGCGAGAGAGTGTGTGTGTGTGTATTCTAACATCATATAGAGGTTTTGTATACAGTAACCCAAAGAGCCCAATATGGCTTAGTTAAAGAGTATACCGTAAATCTTAAAACTAAGGATCCCTAACAAATTGAAGGCAGATTCCTCAAGCCCTAAACCCTTTGCAACAGGCTTCGTACCTCACCTGGGGTCTGCTCCCACATCACTTGTAGCAAGGAAGCCCTAAACCCTAAACCCTAAACCCTAAACCCTAAACCTTAAGGGGTATTGGGCTCTTTGGGAGCAGGGAACCAGGCCGGCCTTTGCGTGGTGCGGATGGCGAGGACGTCTCGTCCTCAGCCTCCGCGCCCTTGGTACAATCGCGGCAATCGGTTCCTACAGGAATGCCCTCTATAGGACTCCTGGATCTGCAACCTAGGGTTTAGGGTTTAGGGTTTAGGGTTTAGGGTTTAGGGTTTAGGGTTTAGGGTTTAGGGTTTAGGGTTTAGGGATTAGGGTATCTTAGACAGTTGCAGTTGCTTCACTAGGATCCGATGCACGTGCTCCCAGGAGTTTCGTAGGAAGGCGTTGGCGGAAATCTTCACTACACCCAGCCACTTGAAGGACTCTGATTTTTAGGTTTTTGTTGGGCCCTTATATGGTTTTGGGGCTATTTTGGACCCTAAACCCCCTAAGGTTTAAGGACTCTGACTGCCCAAGGGCCTTCCTATGTGAGGCTTTTGGGCCATTTTGGGCCTGAGGATCTGTGATGCCCTAGAAACAAAGGATAGACGATGCGCCGCACGACCAAAGCCCGAGAAGAGGTCTTGCGACCTTTAAGGCACGAGCCTGTGCGAACGTGACATTCCGGTGGGCCTCTCAAGGCTGGCGACTAGCAGAGAATAAAGGTAGTTCTCTCCTCTTTATAGTACGGCACCACCTAATTTAGAGAAGTACCCCGAAGGAGAGGTTGGAGAGCCAAAGTCCCAGCCTAATCCACCCTGTTTCATCAGTTCTTGTTGCCTTGGAGTTGAGAGGGCTCAAGACGTCTGCTTGTGTCCGGCTCTGTGGCACCAAGGGTTTTAAAGGAACTCCTTGCTTTCAAACACCCGCGAAAAGTTTGGCTGCACATGGTGCGTAAGTGACAGCCTCAGGTTAAATGAGGCGCTGAGCTTCTAACATATAGTCCTTAAAGCCCGCTGAAATTATTCCTGAAATGACCCTCTCAAACCCAGGCCCAGTAAGGGGAAAGTTCAAGGTCCAAAGGGCCTGCCTAGGCTTGTATCCCTAAACCCTAAACCCTACACCCTAAACCCCAAACCCTAAACCCCCACACATGGCAGGCCCATGCCTCTGGCTCCTCATCGTCGTCAGGCAACTCGTCCGTGCGGACGTAGCCCGTGCCTTCGTCGACAGCACTTGGAGGTTCAGGGTTTAGGGTTTAGGGTTGAGGGTTGAGGGTTGAGGGTTTAGGGTTTAGGGACATAGTCTCCATTGTTAGTTCCTTTTGGGGGTTAACCTCTTTTTCCATTACAGGACCCTATCCTTAAACCTGGTTAACCCAAAAAAGGAACTCCAATGGAGACTGCAGGGTAGACAGTACCACGGACCCAAGTCCTAATGTGAGGGTGGCTTTTTTAATTGGGGTGGCAATAGTAATATTCGCCAGGCCAGAGGGCCCCAGCCGAAGACTACTTTCCATTACGGGAGGTTTTCGGGCCGATGTATGTAAACAAGTCTAAATAGGGGGGTCCGGTGATAATAAGAATGGGGTGGCAATTGTAAAATTTCTCTGGCCAGGAATTGAAAATTTTACTGAAAATGGCTTAAGAGTTCCATTGCAGAGAAGACTTTTCAGCTGAGCTGGCTTGAAAGAGCTCCAAGGCTCAGTCTTTAGAGAAGCAGATCTCGTTTGAGACCCCAGACCCCCAGAATCCTCATAATTGACACCCCCTCTTTTTTCCACCCCCTCCAAGCCCCGGGGACCAAAACAAGATTTGGGGGGGGGGGGGGGGTTTATTAAAGCGACCCTAACATTAAGGGCACGACCCGGGCAAACGTACGGATGCGGACACCAGGCTGTCCTTGTCGCCTAAACCCTAAACCGTGAACTCTAAACCCTAACCCTAAACCCTAAACCCTAAACCGTGAACTCTAAACCTAAACCCCAAACCCCAAACCCTAAACCCTGAACCCCACAACACCACATCCCAGAGTGTATCTCTGGCCTTTCCGTGGCGCTGACGGTGACGCAGTCTCCTCCAACTCGTCAACTTCCTCCATCAGGAGTGGCAGAACGTGAAACAGTCCCTATTTGGGATGTTCCCCCTTATCCTAACTAACCGTCCCTGGAATGAAATAGGGTAGAACAGAATCGGTCTCATCTGATCCCAAGAGATTGCAGCAGCTTCAGCAGTGAGATAGGTTTACATTGCTCGAGTTGAATAGCCCTAAACCCTAAACCCTAAACCCTAAACTCTAAACCCTAAACCCTAAACCCTAAACCCTAAGGGGTAGTTTGTTCAAGGGGGAGACTCTGGCTGTGACTTCCGAGGTCTTCGGGGCCACATGAACCCTAAAAAGGTCTCTAAACCCTAAACCCTAAACCCTGAACCCTAAACCCTAAACCCTAAACCCTAAACCCTAAACCCTAAACCCTAGGCTGCATCTCGAGGTCTGCAGATGCGCGGGAGCTGTCGTCAGTCCCCTGGTCAGAATCCCCATCGGAAGCCCGACCGTGACGAAACCTATGACCATATGAACCCTAAAATTGGGGACCCTATGCTACAATAATTCCTATTGAGGTATATGAAGTTGGGGTCATATACCCTATGCTACTATAAATCCGATTAAGGTCTATGAATCATTAGACCTTTTTAGGGTTTATGTCGTCCCCAAGGTACAGGGCTTCAGGGTTCCCCTAAACCCTAAACCCTAAACCCTAAACCCTAAACCCTAAACCCTAAACCCTAAACCCTAAACCCTAAACCCTCTCAGGGTTCATGTCGTCCCCAAGATGGAAGAGCCCTGATGCCATCTGAGAGCAGGGCTGGCGAGAAGTGCACTGCCCGGCCAGCCTGGCCATTAAATCAGGTTTGGAGGGATGGGTTTAGGGTTTAGGGTTCAGGGTTTAGGGTTTAGGGTTTAGGGTTTCGGGTTTAGGGTTTAGGGTTCAGGGTTCAGGGTTCAGGGTTCAGGGCTCTGGGTAGTCTTATCATAGAGCCCTCAACCTTAAACCGAAGAGCTCTATGCTGTGAGCTCGTGGCCTAAATGCGCCGGTGAGGTGCTGGGCTTTGAGACCCAAAGGAGCTTTCGCGTTGAGGGATATTCGGCGTTTACTTGAAGTCATGGGAAGTTCGGAGTAGGGCGTTTAGGGTTTAGGGTTTAGGGTTTAGGGTTTGGGGGGGGGGGGGGGGGTAATTACCTATCACCCTACTTAAAGCTACCATGAACCTCCAAGTGAAGGGGGTTGAACCCTCAACCCTAAACCCTTTTGCATCCCTGAACCCTAAACCCGTTTGGAAGGGAAATTGAGCACCACACCCTAAACCCTATCCCTAAGGCCCTAAGGACTCTCAGGGCCTTCTTATATGAGGTTTTTGGGCTATTTTGAGCCGAAGGGTACAAACCCTAAACCCTAATGAAGAAACGTGCCTGGGCGGTTCATTAAAAGGCTTAGGGTTTAGGATTCTGGGGGAGCTTGCTAGTTTAGGGCACCCTTTTTGAGCTAGGGCTTAGGTTTAGGGATTCGGGATTGGGGTGAAAGTCATTCCTAATTTAGAGATCATGATCTACCCTTACAGGGTTAAGGCGGTTCAGGGTTGAGGGTGAGATCGAGGCCGCTGCAAGAGCGTGCCGGGGAAGGCTGGAGCCCAGAACCCTAAACCCTACGTGGAGGTTCTGGGTACTTATCACCCAACTACAGGCGTAGTTCTAACCCACTTCTAAGCCCCTTAAGTACCCTTGTAGGGTTCTGTTTGGGTTATATAAGTACAGTCATAATAGGGTTCTGTTTGGGTTATATAAGTACAGTTATAATAGGGTTCTGTTTGGGTTATATAAGTACAGTTAGAATAGGGTGAACCTCCGAGTAAGCCCTAGGAGGACTCCCCACCCCTGCCTGCCTCGCACTTAACTCCCCAGCAGCCCAGGACAACCCATGACCTGGACCCTAAACCCTAAACCCTAAACCCTAAACCCTAAACCCTAAACCCTAAACCCTAGGCCCTGAACCCGAAACCCCCAACACTAGAGACCGAAATGCCAAGCCCTGAACCGCTTGGTTGCTCAGGTCGTCTGTTTGGGTTCTTTTGCCACCCGCCTACCTAGCCCTTACGGCTTACGGTCTTAGAGTTTAGGGCTTAGGGTGCTGAGATCCTGTCGCAAAGACCGAAACACCAAATCCCGACATGAGGACGGTCCTCCGAGTCCTCGTCATCGTCCGGCAGGTCCGCCACTTTAACAAAGCCTGTGCCTGCAGGGTTGAGGGTTTAGGGTTTAGAGATTCAGGCTTAGCGGGGGGGGGGGGGGGGTTGGCAGGTCTGTCATTCATACCCAGCCTGCCAGAACGCATCTTCCACGGCCAAGCCGGGCAGCGACAACAACACACGACAAAACAAACCATCACGAAATTGCCTTTCCGATGGCCCGTGGATGCATCCCCTTCCTGCTGCGCAGACAGGCCATCCACTTCCTGGAGAATTTGACCATGCAGCATCTACAACACACACACACACATTGCCCGAACTGAGAGCGCTGCCGGTGAGAAGGTCACAGTCTTATCTGCCTGCATTCATGGTTTTTGCTCGACAATTAGAACAGGGGGAGGAAAGGGTGCCAGCTCAAACAAACACCAGCCTCTGACTCGTCATCATCATCTGGCAGGTCTGACATTTTCACAAAGCCGGTGCCTGCCAAAGATCTTGCCACCAGACTCGAAGCCGAAAGCATCAACATCGGCGCAGAACAAATACAAGGTTGGGAGCCGAGAACCCTGTGTGCCTGTGCCTGTGCCGGCAACCTATCACTGCCCTGCCTTTCCGGTTGCCGGTGGATGCATCCCCCTCCTGCTGCGCGGACAGGCCGTCCACTTCCTGCAGACGGCGCCATATCCAACCGGCTGGCACACGAGCATCTGACTACACCCGAACTGAGAGCGCTGCCGGTGAGAAGGTCACAGTCTTATCTGCCTGCATGCATGGTTTTTGATCGACAATTAAAACATGGCGAGCAAAGCGTGCCAGCTCACACAAACACCAGCCTCTGACTCGTCATCATCATCTGGCAGGTCTGACATTCTCACAAAGCCTGTGCCTGCCAAATATCTTGCCACCAGACCCGAAGCAGAAAGCACCAACAGATGTGCAGTACAAACACAAGGTTGGGAGCCGAGAAGCTGTGTGCCTGTGTCGGACCGGAAACCTATCACTGCCCTGCCTTTCCGGTTGCCGGTGGATGCATCCCCATCCTGCTGCGCGGACAGGCCATCCACTTCCTGCAGGCGGCGCCATATCCATCGAACCAGCTGGCACACAAGCATCTGACTACGTCCGAACTGAGAGTGCTGCCGGTGAGAAGGTCACAGTCTTATCTGCCTGCATGCATGGTTTTTGATCGACAATTAGAACATGGCGAGGAAAGCGTGCCAGCTCAAACAAACACCAGCCTCTGACTCGTCATCATCATCTGGCAGGTCTGACATTCTCACAAAGCCTGTGCCTGCCAAATATCTTGCCACCAGACCCGAAGCAGAAAGCACCAACAGATGTGCAGTACAAACACAAGGTTGGGAGCCGAGAAGCTGTGTGCCTGTGACGGACCTCAAACCTATCACTGCCCTGCCTTTCCGGTTGCCGGTGGATGCATCCCCCTCCTGCTGCGCAGACAAGCCATCCACTTCCTGCAGACGGCGCCATATCCATCGAACCAGCTGGCACACGAGCATCTGACTACACCCGAACTGAGAGCGCTGCCGGTGAGAAGGTCACAGTCTTATCTGCCTGCATGCATGGTTTTTGATCGACAATTAAAACATGGCGAGCAAAGCGTGCCCGCTCAAACAAACGCCAGCCTCTGACTCGTCATCATCATCTGGCAGGTCTGACATTTTCACAAAGCCTGTGCCTGCCAGATATCTTGCCCCTAAACCCTAAACCCCAAACCCTAAACCCTAAACCCTAAACCCGAAACCCGAAACCCTAAACCCTAAACCCTAAACCCTAGACCCTGAACCCTAAACCCTAAACCCTAAACCCTAAACCCTAAACCCTAAACCCTAAAACCCTAAAACCCTAAACCCTAAACCCTAAACCCTAAACCCTAAACCTAAACACCAGACCCGAAGCAGAAAGCATCAACATCGGCGCAGAACAAATACAAGGTTGGGAGCCGAGAACCCTGTGTGCCTGTGCCTGTGCCGGCAACCTATCACTGCCCTGCCTTTCCGGTTGCCGGTGGATGCATCCCCCTCCTGCTGCGCGGACAGGCCATCCACTTCCTGCAGACGGCGCCATATCCATCGAACCAGCTGGCACACGAGCATCTGACTACACCCGAACTGAGAGCGCTGCCGGTGAGAAGGTCACAGTCTTATCTGCCTGCATGCATGGTTTTTTATCGACAATTAAAACATGGCGAGCAAAGCGTGCCCGCTCAAACAAACGCCAGCCTCTGACTCGTCATCATCATCTGGCAGGTCTGACATTTTCACAAAGCCTGTGCCTTCCAGATATCTTGCCACCAGACCCGAAGCAGAAAGCATCAACATCGGCGCAGAACAAATACAAGCTTGGGAGCCGAGAACCCTGTGTGCCTGTGCCTGTGCTGGCAACCTATCACTGCCCTGCCTTTCCGGTTGCCGGTGGATGCATCCCCCTCCTGCTGCGCGGACAAGCCATCCACTTCCTGCAGACGGCGCCATATCCAACCGGCTGGCACACGAGCATCTGACTACACCCGAACTGAGAGCGCTGCCGGTGAGAAGGTCACAGTCTTATCTGCCTGCATGCATGGTTTTTGATCGACAATTAAAACATGGCGAGCAAAGCGTGCCAGCTCACACAAACACCAGCCTCTGACTCGTCATCATCATCTGGCAGGTCTGACATTCTCACAAACCCTGTGCCTGCCAGAAATCTTGCCACCAGACCAGAAGCAGAAAGCACCAACAGATGTGCAGTACAAACACAAGGTTGGGAGCCGAGAAGCTGTGTGCCTGTGACGGACCTCAAACCTATCACTGCCCTGCCTTTCCGGTTGCCGGTGGATGCATCCCCGTCCTGCTGCGCGGACAGGCCATCCACTTCCTGCAGGCGGCGCTATATCCATCGAACCAGCTGGCACACGAGCATCTGACTACACCCGAACTGAGAGCGCTGCCGGTGAGAAGGTCACAGTCTTATCTGCCTGCATGCATGGTTTTTGATCGACAATTAGAACATGGCGAGGAAAGCGTGCCAGCTCAAACAAACACCAGCCTCTGACTCGTCATCATCATCTGGCAGGTCTGACATTTTCACAAAGCCTGTGCCTTCCAGATATCTTGCCACCAGACCCGAAGCAGAAAGCACCAACAGATGTGCAGTACAAACACAAGGTTGGGAGCCGAGAAGCTGTGTGCCTGTGACGGACCTCAAACCTATCACTGCCCTGCCTTTCCGGTTGCCGGTGGATGCATCCCCCTCCTGCTGCGCAGACAGGCCATCCACTTCCTGCAGACGGCGCCATATCCATCGAACCAGCTGGCACACGAGCATCTGACTACGTCCGAACTGAGAGCGCTGCCGGTGAGAAGGTCACAGTCTTATCTGCCTGCGTTCATGGTTTTTGCTCGACAATTAGAACACGGGGAGGAAAGGGTGCCAGCTCACACAAACACCAGCCTCTGACTCGTCATCATCATCTGGCAGGTCTGACATTTTCACAAAGCCTGTGCCTGCCAAAGATCTTGCCACCAGACCCGAAGCCGAAAGCATCAACATCGGCGCAGAACAAATACAAGGTTGGGAGCCGAGAACCCTGTGTGCCTGTGCCTGTGCTGGCAACCTATCACTGCCCTGCCTTTCCGGTTGCCGGTGGATGCATCCCCCTCCTGCTGCGCAGACAGGCCATCCACTTCCTGCAGACGGCGCCATATCCATCGAACCAGCTGGCACACGAGCATCTGACTACACCCGAACTGAGAGTGCTGCCGGTGAGAAGGTCACAGTCTTATCTGCCTGCATGCATGGTTTTTGATCGACAATTAGAACATGGCGAGGAAAGCGTGCCAGCTCAAACAAACACCAGCCTCTGACTCGTCATCATCATCTGGCAGGTCTGACATTCTCACAAAGCCTGTGCCTGTCAAATATCTTGCCACCAGACCCGAAGCAGAAAGCACCAACAGATGTGCAGTACAAACACAAGGTTGGGAGCCGAGAAGCTGTGTGCCTGTGACGGACCTCAAACCTATCACTGCCCTGCCTTTTCGGTTGCCGGTGGATGCATCCCCCTCCTGCTGCGCAGACAGGCCATCCACTTCCTGCAGACGGCGTTGTATCCAACCAGCTGGCACACGAGCATCTGACTACACCCGAACTGAGAGCGCTGCCGGTGAGAAGGTCACAGTCTTCTCTGCCTGCGTTCATGGTTTTTGCTCGACAATTAGAACAGGGGGAGGAAAGGGTGCCAGCTCACACAAACACCAGCCTCTGACTCGTCATCATCATCTGGCAGGTCTGACATTTTCACAAAGCCTGTGCCTGCCAAAGATCTTGCCACCAGACCCGAAGCCGAAAAGCATCAACATCGGCGCAGAACAAATACAAGGTTGGGAGCCGAGAACCCTGTGTGCCTGTGCCTGTGCTGGCAACCTATCACTGCCCGGCCTTTCCGGTTGCCGGTGGATGCATCCCCCTCCTGCTGCGCAGACAGGCCATCCACTTCCTGCAGGCAGCACCATCTCCGGCTGGCACGCCAGCATCTGACTACAGCCCTAAACCCTAAACCCTAAAACCCTAAACCCTAAACCTTAAACCCCAAACCTTAAGCCCTAAACTCACACACCTCGACAGAAGTAAGCGCCCGGCCGGTGAAAATGTAACATTCTTCTGTGTGGCCTGCTCGCACGGTCCCCTCATCAAACAAGTCCAGCATGCCAGAGAAATCCGCGGAGCATATGAGGCTCTCAAACTGTGTTCCCTAAACCTCCCCTGATCCCAAGAAACCCTAAACCATTTTCTACTAAACCCTAAACCCTTTTCTAAACCCTCAACCCTTTTCCTACCAAACCCTAAACCTAAACAACTTCGAGCTTGATCCGCCATGCCTACGCAATGCCAGCGTACCTCGGACTCCGTGTCATCGTCTGGGAAGTCTGACATTCTCACAAAGCCCGTGCCTCCCCACACATGCTCGCAGATTTTCGGAGTCGTTAGCACAAAGCAAGAAAGCAACACTGCAGACTCCTCGGCTGTAAGCTCGCATGCCCGCCTTTGCGCCAGGCAGAGGATGACTCTCCCTCCTGCGCAACTTCCTCAGCAGCGGCTTCGGATTGAGGATCGGAAAGTCGTTATATAGGGTTTAGGGTTTAGGATTTAGGGTTTAGGGTGCGGCATCGTCGCTCAAGTACCGGGGGCGGAGCCGGCGAAAACGTCACATTTCTCTCGGCCGCCTGCCCCAATAAAGCTGAGTCTGAAGTCTACAGTGTGTGCGGGGGGGGGCGGGTCTCCGGATAACCAACCTAAGCCCCCCAAAACATGCAAAAAACAAACCCCTGACACCCCCATACAAGTACCATTATTGTACATACTTGGGGGGGGGGAAACCCTAAACCCTAAACCCTAAACCCTAAACCCTAAACCGGGGGCTTCGGAAGGCCCTTGCTGAACTGAAACCCCACTGCCCTGCGGAGACTATATAGGGAACCTACCGAAATGGCGGAGCAGACTTGGGGCCTTAAAGGGGATCCCATCTAGCAGCTTTCGGGCCCAAGTATATAATACATAGGTACGTGGACCCTTAGCAGAGGGGCCGTACTACTCCGCCTTCAGAAGATTACATGGTACCTTAATTTGGGCCCTTAAAGGGGACCTCTTATATACCCTTTCATACCCTAGTCCACACATCAAAAACACGTTAAGGGAGGCAAGGGACCAGATTAAGGCCCATGAAACTACCCTGAGAGAAACGCTAAACCCTAAACCCTAAATCCTATGGCATGGTTCCTGGGAGCGCCCTGTCTCCGGACCTCCTCATTCTCTTCCCGAGCCTGGGGTGATGCTTGAGACTCCTCCTGTGAGGCAGCGGGGCGAGGGGAGTGGGGCTCTAGGGGCCATAAAACCCTAAACCCTAAACCCTAAACCCTAAAGCCATTTCTGCAGCCCGACCAGGATGGGCTCTTCTTCCCTATCATCCCTTCAAACGGCCCTTTGTAGGGTCGCGTTATGGGGATTCTAAGGCCTAAGAGCCCATGGAACTCACCCCTGGGTTCACGTCCCTAAACCCTCCTTGAAAGACTTAAAGCATCAGCTGGGACTACCGTGCAGCCTCCCTAAACCCTAAACCTCTTTCCTTTTTAGAGTGCCGAGACGGGAAGGGTTTAGGGTTTAGGGTTTAGGGGGTTAAGAAACTCACCAGTGTCTGGATGCAGCCGTGTTGTGTCGTCCGAACCCACATCATGTGCATGAGCGCTGTAAGAATTGACACGTTGCATGCACTTTGTATGAATTCTGAGCATTCGTATTACTCTTAATGCTATACCCTAAACCCTAAACCCCAAACGCTAAACCCTCTCTCTCTCTCTCTCTCTCTCTCTTCCTCCAAAACCCAAAACCCTAAACTGAACCCTTAGGTCTCAGAATGGGCCCTAAACCCTAAAACCTGAACCCTAAACCCGAAAACCTAAACCCTAAACCCTAAACCCTATAAACCCTAAACCAACATTCTGAGTCTTCAAGGTCGAAGCCCTCACCAAGCCCAAAACGTCAAACAACCGAGCACTGGACCTGCCGAAGTGACTCAACCCGCATGATTCCAGTGCCAGGGGTCTAGGGCTTAGGGTTCAGGGTTTAGGGCAAGGATTTAGGGTGTAGGGTTTAGGTTTTAGGGCTAAGGGCTCAGGGTTGCTAAACTTTGTGGCTTCACCACTCAAAAGCGGTGAAGCTGGTTCCAGACAAATGAGTTTCCCCATGGTTCGGCGAAATGTCTCAAAGCCGCGAGTCTCAGTAGGGCATAAGGTACCCAAAAGAATCCCCTTCAAGGGTAATAAGTATAGCCCCAATTCCCTCATTCCCTACGAAGAACCAGGGGGCCTAAACCCTGAGCCGGCTAACCCTAAACGAAGCTGCTTAGGGTTCAAGGAGTTTAAGGGTTTTAGGGGTTTAGGGTGCAGAGCTCACTTCGCGGCGGGTTTAGGGCTATGATGCCTTATGTCGTCCCTATATAGCTAGGTAGCCCCGAAATTCGCCCCCTAAGGAACCCCTAAGGTCCCTGTCCCTCCCTTGGTCCCTTGATATGCAATTTGGCCACCGGTCTCTTCACGATGCCGTAGCAACAGTACCATAAACCAACACATCGCAAAGTCCTCCTGAAGCCCGGCTGGTTTAGAAACAGAAATTGTCGCCAGAGTTAGCGCCACATCCTCACCAGTAACCCAGCTACTTCAAGTCGCAGCAAGCAAAGTTGGCTAAGGATGTAGGGTCCAGAGCTATAAGATTTAGGATCCCAAAACCCTAAACCCTAAACCCTTTTGAACCTGGAAGCTGCTTCATGCCCTAAACCCTAAACCCTAAACCCTAAACCCTAGGCCCTAAACCCTAAACCCTAAACCCTAAACCCTAAACCCTAAACCCCCGGCGGTCCGCGAACTCGAACTCGTCATCCCAGTCGCCCTCGTACTGGTCTGAGAAGACGGTGGAGCCCATAGCCAGCTGCTCCTCACCAGCACAGGCACAAAGATCTGCAACAGAACTCCCAAACCCACACAGTTTAGGGTTTAGGGTTTAGGATTTAGGGTTTAGGGCTTAGCGTTGAAAGTTGAAAGTTGAGGGTTTAGGGCTTCATCGCTCACACCAGGGCAAGCCAGGTGAGGACCCCAGGTTGGGCCCCGTGAAACCGCCACATAACAACAGCTTCTATCCAGGTGATACCTACCCTAAACCCTAACCCCTATAACCCCTAACCCCTAAACCCAGAAACCTTGTCCTAAACCCTAAACCCTAAACCCTAAACCCTAAACCCTAAACCCCACTGTGACGGCAGCTCCGCATCCTACAACGAAGGGGTGCAGGGTTTAGAGTTTAGGGCTCAGGGCACAAGATCTGCAAGAAACTAAAAGCTAACATTCTGTAGGTTAGACTGATAATAAAGCCCTGGGTCCAGAGTTTCAGAAAAGCTACAAGAACGTTTTGTTTGGGGTTCTTAGGTAGGCTGCAAAGAGTCTGTGCGAACCTGGAAACTTTCTTGTCTACACCAAACCCCTAACCTCTAGAAACTCCACCCCCGCCGGCGAAGCCTCGTAGGCCTAAACAAATTTGCATAAGCTTGTTGTCGTAGGCATGGGGAGTAAAACACCCCTAAACCCTAAACCCTAAACCCTAAACCCTAAACCCGAAACCCTAAACCCTAAACCCTCATCTGCTGCGGGCCCCAGACCCTCGATGAAGCACACGAACGAAAACCACCGAACCTCTAAACCCCAACCCCTAGCTCGGGATGTTCCCCCTTTATATTGTCCACAATAGGGATTCTAGTAGGGGGTACTACGATCCCTATGAAGGACTGCTAGTATAAGGGGGAACATCCCAACCCCTATCCCCTAACTCTAACCTCTAAACACGAACATTCCTCAGCGCCCTCGGCTTCGTTGGTGGCATCCGTCGCCGGAGGCTCCGGCGCTTCTTGATCTGCTGCCGGGGTTTAGGGTTCAGGGTTTAGAGCTCAGATAGGCTTAGGGCTTGTAGGGTTTGTAGGGTTCAATTTTGGATTTAGGGTCTTGAGCAGGAGAAGGCCACTGGGCTCCTCTACTACCATGTCGCATTGCATGCACGAACACGTGAGCACGCATTGCAAACCATGTGTGCGATGAACTGAATACGCCTCACACTTGTTGGCACTGCCCCAGCATGAATGGCAGAAGCAACAATCAAGCGCAGGCTCATCTTGCAAACATACTTCACGCCCAGCCTGCCGGAACTGCCTCCGTGGTCAACTCTGCCGCACCTGATAAAACAGGCCAACCCCACCCCAAAAAATCCTGCAAACCCTAGGTCCCAGACCCTACAGACGCTAAATGCCGAACAGGGGGAAGACCTGCAAGCCCTTGAGGTGGCGCTCGCAAACCCAGCTAGCCATGTCGAAACCTCTTCGAACCCTTCAGCTTCACTTCCGCTATTCAGGTCTGTATGGCCCAGCCTCAGACTATCATGCCTGGAGAAGCATGATGAACACACGAGTTGTATACAATTTCTTGGGCGTGACAGAACACAATCATTGTGGAGACTCTAGCAGAAACCTTGATCTGTTTCAGGCGCTGGGTCTTGAGGGTTTTAGGGAGTTCAGGGTCTGGGGCCAGCTTTAGGTTTTCTTTCGGAACTTACCGCGCGTTATGACAAAAGGGGCGCTCATGGCCAAGCAAAGAGGAGGCATGCAGTCCGACCTCCGAACGACACGCGGGTCTCCGCTTCAGGCTGCGTGTCCAGCTCGGGCTGTGCGTCTGCCTCGCGAGAGGATCTCGGAAACCCAATCCCGAAGCCCTCAGCCGTTGCCTCAACCGAAAACCCCCCCTACCAGGATGGGCTCTTAGGCCCTCTAAAGGGCCTTTTTAAGGGGTTAGAGGGCCTAATAGCCCGTCCTGGTAGAGCCCTGAACGCTCTAAGAACCTTAAGGCCCGATAAGCCCCCAAGCCACCCCATCTGCGGGCTTCCGAAAATGGGGGGTACAAACTCTTTGCTGGGTCCCTTTAAGCGGGTTCTAGTCTCTTTGGGGTTGAAAGGGTACCCCTATCCCTAAACCCTGAACCTAAACCCATGTTCCTATCTAGGTTTGAGGTCTCCCAAGTGTGGGGGGGGGGGGGGGGGGGGGGGGGGGGGGGAGCGATGCGACACAGCAGATGCCCCGAATCATCAGAGGCCCCTGAATCCTAAACCCTAAACCCTAGACCCTAAACCCTAAACCCTAAACTCTCAACCCTCAACCCTCAACCCTCAACCCTCAACCCTAAACCCTAAACCCTAAACCCTAAACCCAGCCCAGGGTTCGCCAGGCGTGCCTCCTCGAAGGAGTCCTCTTCTCAAAAATCCGACTTCGAGGTTCGTGGATCGCTCTAAGTAGCTTTGAGAGTACCCTCAAGATGGATGGTAGGGTTTAGGGTTTAGGGTTTAGGGTTTAGGGTTTAGGGTCCAGGGTTTAAGGCATGGCTGCAGCTACCAGATTTCTAAAACGCGACTACCCAGCGAACTTCCATGCTCACCAGGTTCTTAACGCAGGATGGGGCAACTTTCGGACCTGAAAGCAGGCTCCAAGGGCCTATAAGCACTAAACCCCAGATGTTGTTCATGGTCTATCCGAACAGGGAGTTCTAGTAGCATCGGGCATCGGATCCCAACTCAACCCTGACAGGGAAACATAGTAGCCTACGGTATGAACCCCATGCCCAAAGGTTTCATCGGGTCCCCAAAGGATAATGTGGTATCGAGCGCAATGCGGAAGCCTCAATGTTTCGGATGCCTGACCTGGCCTTCTCTTCGTGCTCCGTACTTACGTTGATGAGGGAGCCTTCCACGAAACATGCCGTGCTACAAAGCTACGAGGGGTCCTGTCACAAGAGCAATGGCTCAAACAGGCCAGACGGTGGGCTGACTCAAAACTTGCAACCCTCAGCCCTAATACGCCCATGGCTTAAGGTGCAGGGTTACAGGGTGTCGAACTCCCCCTAAACCCTAAACCCTAAACCCCAAACCCCAAACCCCAAACATCAGGGTCCTCAGGCTCAAAGTCGTCCCAGTCATCGGCATCATACTGCTCGGAGAAGATGGTTGAGCTCATGGGATCCTCCACTTGGAGGTTCATGGGTGGTTTGCTTTAGGGATTAGGGCTCAGGTTCATGGGTATAAGAATGGTGAAGTTACTTGGAACCTCATTTAGATAGTTTCCCTACTTCTACGTACCCATGAACCTCCGTAATTCTACAGTTGCTTTTATGCTGGTGGAACTCTGCTCGGCCTAAAGTGGCCGTCTCCCTAAACTAGGGACCACCCGCTTAAATGGCATGTTCCCTACGAAGGCACAACCCCCCCCCCCCCCCCCCCCCCCCCCCCCACAAAAAAAAAAAAAAAAAATCTCCGTCCTGGACACTGGTCGCAGCTGGGCTGGCTTCAGCCAGCTCCGGTGCCTGCGCCGGCTCCTCAGCGCCTCTTTCCGGCAGCCCGAAGCCCCCACCTCCCCACCCCCCTCCCCCCAAACCCACTAGGGTAAGCCCTAAACTCTACGTAAAGCCCTTTCTTTAACCCAGACTACCCTAAACCCTAAACCCTAAACTCTAACCCAAACCCCCAAAGTCAAAGTTGGGAGACCTCTGCTTGGAGGTTCATGAGTACTTGTAAGTAGGGTTTAGGGCTTAGGGTTTAGGGGTACATACAAGTAGGGTAAGAAGTCCCCTAAATAGGGTAATATGTATTCCATACTCATTGGTGCAAAAGGTAACCGTGTTCTGATAAGGGCACCATTTTCTCTGCTGGTGAGCTGAAAACTAAACGATAAACAAACGGTGCAGTGGTGGCCTTCTAGCTAGCCAAAGGACCAAGCCCTTTTTTGAAGCTCTAAACCACCCCAAGCTTCACTGCACCTGCCGGCGTGGGCTGCATTGGCAGGTCTTCAGCTGGCATTTGCTGCTCGCCTTTCAGGACAGTGGATCGAGAGTCTGGTTCAGCTCAGGCTTTAGGGTTACGTTTAGACTCAAGCTTTTCTGCACCTGCCGGCGTGGGCTGCATTGGCACATCTTCAGCTGGCAATTGCTGCTCGCCTTTCAGGACACTGGATCGTGGTTCGGATAATCCTCACAGTCGGTTTAGGGTTTAGGAGAGAAACTCAGCTGGGAGTGAGGTGTTGAATTTAATTGGCAGCTCGTTCGGAGAAATCAAGGTCGCGTTTTTTTCGCCTCCCGCTTAGCTGAGCAGCTGCATTCCGCTATGCAGTACGTCTCCGGCGAGGTAACAGTGCGAAGATCTGGAACACACTTCAAAGCGCTGTCTAACCATAGGGGCTGATTTTGTAGCGTGGGCTGGACTCAGAAAGGGGCGTTGCAAATTGGAGCGTCAAGCCCCCCCCAAAGCCCCTCAAAAGATGATCGCTCTTTGAAGGGTTCGCCTTCATTTTGGACGACGGGACCTGTAAACTTGTAAACCCTATAACCCAAACCGTGGCCCAAGCCCTTCCATAAGAGCCCGAAACCTCCATTATTCGTAGGTCACATGAGACAATTAAGCCGAATTCTATCAACAACATGCAAATTCAGGAGCTTGCGGGGTTCTGAAGGTGTATACAGACATGTAGGCCCTCTAACTGTGTACCCCAACAAACCCTACATCCCAAACCCCAAACATCCTAAACCCTAACCCTGAAACCCGAAACCCTAAACTCTAAACCCTAAACCCTACACGCCCAAACCCCACACACCATTGCGGCCCCAAAGCACCTGCAGAAGCGTCTGGCTCTGCTGTGGGCCCGTCATCCTGAGAGTTGGGCTTCTCAGAGTTAAAAGGGGGGTTTGGATTTAGGGTTTAGGGTTTGGGGTTTTAGGTTTAGGGTTCAGGGATGAAGGTGTAATTCCTTCCCCCTTGTATTAAACGCCCTCCCCCCCCCCCCCCCCCCGGCCCCTTAATTCTAGAAACACTTTTCCGGAAAGTCCTGCCGAAACCGACCCCGCCTTTTAAACCCTATTCCCAATTAGGGCGGGGGGGGGGGGGGCGGTGTGTGAGTGGCTGCAAAGCCTCTGTGCTGCCTGAGTGGAGCCACTCTGCGCTCTCAGGGTTAAGTCATGACTTAAACCCTCCAAAGCCTGAAGCCTACACCCTGAACCCTTTGGACACCAAACATGACATTTGGATAAAACCCTCCCGGCCTAGTAACAAAAGCACATTTCGAGCTTCTATTGGGGGGGGGGGGGGGGGGCGTTGTAATATTTAAACCCTAAAACCCTAAACCCTAAACCCTAAACCCTAAACCCTAAACCCTAGGGGAAGGGGATTAGGGATGAATGAGGCTTGACCCTGGGTGGGGGGGGGGGGGGGGGGGCTTCAGCTTCTCGGCTTAGCAGCGCGAAGAACATATAACACCCGAGATGGGACGCCTTACTTTTGGGGGCTTCCCAGACAAGCTCAGAAGGCTCTTTAGGGTTTAGGGCTTAGGGCTTAGGGTTTAGGGAACCCTAAACCCTAAACCCTAAACCCTAAACCCCATAGGGCTCCCCCACCTTAAAGCGTAGAAGTGCCTCAGGCCCTGACACAGTGCATCTCGGCCTCAGCGGTGGCTTCGGTGTCAAGAGGGCTGTTTGATGGTGCGGCCTCCTGCGCAGGGCTTGGTGAACCCTAAGCCCTAAACCCTAAACCCTATAGCCTAAACCCTAAACCCTAAACCCTAAACCTGAAACCCTAAACCCTGCACCTCTCTTCCTTAATGTACATAAATTGGGATGCTGCCCGTTTTCCTATCAGACCTTAATAGGGATTATAGTAGCCCCCGTTTACAATCCCGATTCAGGACTGCTAGTAGAATGGGGGCATCCCACTGCATAAACCTCAATGGCCCAAGTCGTCAGGCAAATTTGCCCCGCCCCCGCTGTACAGGGACGGCGTAAGTTTTGAGTTTAGGGTTGGTATGCTCCCCCCCTTATACTAACAGTCCTTAGTAGGGAGTAAAAGAGGTACTATAATCCCTATCAAGGAGAGTAAGCCTAAACCCTAAACCCTAAACCCTAAACCCTAAACCCTAAACCCTAAACCCTAAACCCTAATTAAGGAGAACATCCCAAGTTTGGGGTCTAATGGGTTGGCAGAAGTTGGGCATTGGGATCCTGTGGGTTTGCGTGGCCGGAAGGCCGCAACTCCTGAGAAACTAAACCCTAAACCCTAAACCCTACACCCAAACCCTAAACCCTGCACCCTAAACTGGAAACCGTAAACCCTAAACCTTAAACCTAAACCCAAAACCTGAAACCTTTCTCACCTCGAAGCCCTTTTTACAGCAACGGCAGCAGCAAGGCTGGTTGGGACGAAGCACGAAAGGGCCAAAAAGGTTTAGGGTTTGGGGTTTAGGAGCCCCGCAGCATCAGTTAGGAAAATGCAGCCCTCTAAGCTTGGGGATGTCCCCCTTGATTAGGGTTTAGGGTTTAGGGTCTAGGGTTTAGGGTTTAGGATTTAGGGTCACAGCACCCCCCTAGAATCCCTATTAAGGCCTGCTAGGATAAGGGGGAGCATCCCAGCTCTAAGCCCATTAAGACGCGAAAACCTCTGGTGTCAACTCTTATTTCGCCCTGAACCCTAAACCCTAAACCCCAAACCCTAAACCCTAATCCCTAAACCCTAAACCCTAAACCTACACCCGTACGACTGGCCTGGGTGACCTCTGCACCGCGCTCAGGGAGGGGATGCTGCTGCGAGTACAGGATGGCCTTGCAGCTCAAGATCGCGGCCACCTAACACCCCAGCTCTGCACGAGACCTTTCTGCTAAACCCTCAACCCTAAACCCTAAACCCCCGCCTAGCTGACTGATCGCACTGCAGGGACTGTCTCACGCGTGCATCACGGTTTTGGGCTTAGGGTTCTACACCTGCACCTGGAGTCGAAGCGGCTGCCCTAAACCCTAAACCCTGAACCCCAAACCCAAAACCCAAACCCCAAACCCTCAACCCTAAACCCTCCATACATCTCCACCAGGCAGCCATGCCTCAACATCTCGATAGCGCCAGCTAGGGAGGGCTCTCGGGCCATAGGAACTTGGGGACGAAACGAACCCCCTAAAGGCTTATGGTCCATGAACCCTAAACCCTAAACCCTAAACCCTAAACCCTAAACATACCCTAAGAGGGGTTAGAGCAGTATAGGGTACCTGATCCCAAGTAGGGGGTTCATTTGGTCCCGAAATCTAAGGCCTCCGAACCTTTCCTGGTAAACAAGAGTGAAAGCGTTGGGTTTAGGGTTTAGGGCGCGAGGCTCTTGTTGGGTGTTTGGCTCTTAGGTGAAGGCGTCGTCCAAGACCGGAAGGGTTTAGGGCGTCGGGATTTGGGTAAAGCCCGCGGTGCCCTAAGTCTTCGAGTGAATTCGGAACCCTATATCCTCCGGTAGAACCCTATTCAGGACCGTACAGCAGTTTCTAGCATACCTAACTTCCCCAATTGCCTACCAAGAGCAAGTAACCCTAAGAGCCCATGTATCTATACAATGTATACTTTAAAGTGTTTTCCATATCGTAGCCTTGGGTCCCGAGTATATACTATACCTAGGCCCAGGAGTAACCTAGGGGAAACAAGGGTGCCCTTTTAGGTTTTCAGGGGATTAAAGGGGAACCCCAACCCGAAAATAAGGGAATCAGGGCCTGCTCAAGGTCGTAGTTATATAGTGCCTATATACCGAAGTAGCCCCAAAATAAGCCCCAAATAACGCCTAAGGTCCCTTATAAGGGTCCCTCCTTCGGTCCCTTGAGTTTAGGGTTTAGGGTTTAGGGTTTAGGGTTTAGGGTTTAGGGTTTAGGGTCAGCAAACCCTTGGGCAGCGGAGTGCCTCGTCAAGCTTCACCGCGATCCTCGGCAATGCCGCGCTCAAAGGAACCCTGCAAGAGCCCCTGAGACTTGGTTTGGGTTTAGGGATTCTTATGGTTTAGGATTTAGGGGCTCGTTCGTCCTTTTTCCAGTGAAGCTGGGCAACATCACCCCATACTCCACAAAGAGTGTTATCTGCTAGGCCATGACGCCATTCCGACCATCTGAAAGGCACCCTGGAAGGGTGAAGATACGGCCCACTGAATACTGAAACCCCCACGCCTTGAGCTTTGAACACTCAGCAAAAAGACGAAGCACGCTACATGGACGTTACAAGTAGGGTTCTAAGAACCCCCAAATCAGGACATGGGCTATAAGTATAGTTTCCATACGTGTGATCCTGCCCATGACGACCATGAACCTCCAAGTGGACCATAAACCTTAAACCCTAAACCCGAAACCCTAAACCCCAAACCCTAAACCTTAAACCCTAAGCCTCAAGACTGGTTTCTGGCTGAGGCTTGCGGACTTCGTAGATCAGAGTGTGGACTCGGGGTGCATTCGTGAGCCACGAACACCTCCCCCCCCCCCCCCCCCCCCCCCCCCCCCCCAAGCAGGGCAAGCAAAGGCTCGGCCTGAAACCCTTAAAACCAAAATCCTTAAGTTGTTGCTGAGCTTTAGGATTTAGGGTATAAGGTTTGGGTTTGGGTTTAAGGGTTCGGGATTGCTTCATGTCCCTAGGGGAATCGAAGCTTGACTGTTGGGATGAGGCAGGCTCTCTTCTACCACAAGAAAGGTTTATGGGTTGGTTTAGGGTTTAGGGTTACTTACCCGGCTACGAAGAGAAATACCCCCTTAAACGCCTACGAAGCCATAGCAGGCCCTAAGGCCTAAAGCCCCAAAACCCCCCAAAACCCCAAAGTTTAGGGCCTAAACCCCCAATTCCCCGAAACGCCCTTCACATTTCGGGCCCTAAACCCTAAACCCCAAACCCCAAACCCTAAACCCCACGAATCCTTATATGTCCATCTCTCTCCGGGCCACTTGTTCGGGCGCTTCAACTTAGGAGTGGCGCTCTTGTGGCCTTGGTGGGTCATGGCCATGGCTTGTTTTTTGGATTCATTTTGGGGGTTCAGGGTTCTTTAGGCTTTAGGGCTTAGGGTTGTGGGCTTTAAAGTTGGGGGCTCAGGGTACAGGGTACAGGGTACAGGGTACAGGAAAACATAAAACCCTAAACCCTAAACCATAAGCCCTAAGCCCTAAACCCTGATCTGCTAATCTGGTTGCAATGGCCACCCTAAGCCCAAAACCCTAAACCCAAGCTTGCGGCGTCCTTTAAGCTATCGGGGTTTGGCTGTCTGCCACTTGAAAAAAATTCGGGCTCAACTTGATGGTTCAGCGGCTCCCTATCCCAAACCCCTTCAGGGTGTAGGGCTCAGAGCTTGATTAGGGTTTAGGGTTTAGGGTTTAGGGTTTAGGGTTTAGGGTTTAGGGTTTAGGGAATATTCTCGATTTTACATTCCTGCAGCCTTAAACCCGCCTTCGACAGCCTTCTACATAAACCCTTCTGAGCCCTAAACCCTAAACCCTAAATGCCCTTCACTCTGAAGCCGCTTCTTGCGAGACCTGGCGACACCGACGTGCGAAGAGCAACCTAAGCGGACGATGCCGCTGGAGCAGCTCGAAGCAGTCGTGCCTGAGCTCCCGTGAGTTCGGGTTTGGGGCATTGGGGCATTTGGGGCTTCAAAAGTTACGTAACTGTTCGCTGTTAAACTCGGGGCTTGTTTAGGAGGGACTGCCAGAGCTCCTAGCCCTGAATCCTACGGCCTAAACCCCCCGATTCCCAATTCTGTGGGTAGTTCCCTAAATTAGGGTTTAGGGTTTAGGGTTTATTGTCTTCTCTCCAACTCTCTATGTCTGTCTACATCCCTTCACCTTGCAGGTTTGGCGTGTTCGTTGTTTCTATCGGCCTTTCTGCCTTGGGCATTTCGTTTTATTGTTGGCTCTTTTGTTGAGATATTACGGTCGCTCTTTCTGTCTGAGTCTCTCCTGCCCCTCCCAGAAGATGTGGGCGACATTGCTTAACCCTTACTGGTGCTTAAGGGAGAGTGGAAGAGTGAAACCCTATAGTAGTCCCTATATAATCCCTTTATAAGAGTCCCTATATTCACTCTTCCACTCTCCCTTAAGCACCAGTAAGTAACCCCTATCATGCAGATCTCAGCTGACAGGCAGCCCGACGCCCGCTATGCACATCCCAACCCTCTCTTTCCGCCTCAGCCCTAAACGTTCACTCCTTGTCCAGCCCAAGCCCTACATCCCTTTTGTGGTCTATACCCTAAACCCTATAAACCCTATAAACCCTATAAACACTATAAACCCTATAAACCCTGTAAACCCTGAACCCGAAACCGTAAACCCGAAACCCTTGAAAACCCCTCTCAAGCGAAAGAGTCTGAGAAAACGCGCTTGGCACATTCAGCCGAGGAGCTCCCTCATCCTCGGGCATGGGAAAGTCAATAGCTGGAGGTTTTGGGGAGTTTGCCTTAAGAACCTACACGCCACGATTCTTTGTATGAGACCTAAAACTTGTATGGTGGACTGTTTGAATCATGAAGCCCTTGGGACCAAACGAACCCTACAATTGGGGTCATATGCCCTATGCTACTATAATTCCTTTTTGAGGTGTGCGAGCCATTTAAACCCTGCTAGGGTCCATGTCGTCCCCAAGGTAGGAGCATGCAAGCAAGCGGTTCTTGAATCACGACCTCGGGCTGTTAAACCTTTGCAGACACAATCGAAGCCACAGTTTTCTGCTTCCTTCCCTTTCTCTTGCGGCATTACCTAAGCCCCCTCAGTATGTGAAGGAATGATCCGTTTATAGGTTTTTTGTCATTCCCAAGAACCAGTAGGTAAAGCTCGGGTCAGTTGAGGCTCTTCGTGACAGCATCTCCGTTGATGCTGATCAGCCAGTCACCGGGCTTCAGCCTGACAAGCAAAACGAAGCACCCTAAACCCTAAACTCTAGACCCTAAACCCTTTGTGGTTCAGTCGTTTAATGCAGAATCCATGAAGGTGTTTAGTATAGAAACCCTATAATCCCTACACCCTAAGCCCCAACCGGCCGGCAGTGAGCAGTAAAAAGTGACTCTAGGGTGTATAGGGCTTCAACGTATTGAGTTGCAAAGCTGGTAGGATGTGCGGCTTAATTAGGCGCGACGGGGCAGGATCCCTGCAATAAGCGCTGAACTCTTTTACAAACTACTCCACCCACAGGAACCGTGAACTGTAGCCCAAGGACTATGTAACTGAAGTCGACTGGCTGCTACAGGAATAGCTGGCTTCGCACCTCTGAGGCTCAACTTCTGTGGACTTCGAACAGGCCCCCAAACCCTAACCATTAAATCCTAATCCTGGGCACCTTGAATCCCTACACTACAGTACCATACCCTAAGCCCCAGAACCCCAAAATCCCTCAACATACAAACGCGTGCCGGCCCTGGGCCCTGAGCCCCGAACGCCAAACCCTAAACCCCAAACCCTAAACCCTAGCCCTAAACCCTAAACCCTAAACCCCAAACCGCAGATGGCCTGACGCCGTGTGCCCAGGAGGACTTGGAGATGGTCCTCCAACGAACCCCGAAGCAACCCGAAACTCTAAACAGGGGCTTTTGGGTTTAGGGTTTAGGGCTAGGGTTTAAGGTTTAGGGTTTAGGGTTTGGGGTTTAAGGTTTAGGGTTTAGGGCTTTTGGGTTTAGGGTTTATGCTCCATTGTGATGAGCATGATTCTGATGACAACGAGTCCTCTTAAGCGGTTTAGGGGCCTGTGGAGTTTGGGGGGGAGGCGTTTTGGTCGGCAGGGCTTGGTGCTGCCGGAGAAGTTGGGAGGAGTTCGTGCTCGAGACGATCAAACGCTGTCCATGGCTGAGGACTTTGCATCGACTTCCGACGCTGAACCCTAAAGTTTAGGGTTTCGGGTTTAGAACCCTAAACCCTAAACTCCGGACTTTTTGGGGTTTTCGATGGTTCCTCTCGCACGGGCCCAGCAGAAGCTTGCTGTGCTTTCTATGAACCCAGGACACCCCCCCCCCCCCCTCCCAGGTTACGTAAAGTGAGCTTGGCACCTGCAGGGACCCAACGCGCAACGCAAAACGAACACGACTAAGAACACTCAGCACCGACGCAGCTGAGTGCCGTGTCACGGCAATTTGCAAAAACGGACGACCAACCTCCTGCCAAGCCCAGGACCTGAAGATCCAAGCTCTGAAACGGAATCTTGCCCACTGCAACATTCCTAACCCTTCGACCCTAAACCCTAAACCCTAAACCCTAAACCCTGAAATGACCCTACTGCAGGCGAACCCTGAGCCGCCGAATCATGTTGAACCACTTTCAATTCAATCAACCGCGCGGCCCTCCCCCAAAAAATCTCCCCAGTCCTGACAGGGAGGCCGCCCTCCTGCTCCTGGCTTGCTTTAGGGTTTAGGGTTTAGGGTTTAGGGTTTAGGGTTTAGGGTTTAGGGCGCGTTCATGAATGTAAGCACGGGAGCCATCAAATTCAATTCGGTAGGAGCCAATCCTTGCCCTGTCCCTCATCCATCCCACTCTGTATGTACGACCTTGAAGGCCAAACCCTAAACCCTAAACCCACTTGAATTCAAGCCTTCCTGGTCCGGTCTTCGAATCATGAAGCCCACACCCCTTTGCCACGGGGCTGGTCCACTCTGAAGACATCACACCATCGTGCCAAACCGTAGTGGTCGGATGAACCCTGAACCCTAAACCCTAAACCCTAAAACCTAAACCCTAAACCCTAAACCCTATAACCCTAAACCCTCAGGAGTGAGCACAACTAACTATACCTGGATGAGCCGTCCTCCAGAGGTCCGAACTTCAGTCCCAACTTGTCCGTGTCCCAGCAGACGCGCACGGGAAACCAGCCTCTGCTGCTCACAGGGTTTAGGGCTTGGGGTGTAGGGTTGAGGTTTAGGGTTTAAGTTTAGGGTTTAGGGTTTAGGCTTTAGGGTTTGGGGTTTGGGGTTTGGGGGTTTCCGAAATTAGGGGAGGCAGTCCTACTACTATTTGGGGGTCTATGTTAGGGGCCCCTTCTTTTCGAAAACCCAAGTGGCTTCGGATGGCTGGGGGGTTGAAGATGCCTATGGGTTTCGGCTTTTCGGGTTTGTGGGGTGTAAGGGTTTAGGGTTTCAGGGTTTAAGGGTTTAAGGGTTTGAGGGTCTAGAGGTTGCAGGGTGGCCTGCCCCTGCCTTCAACCCTAAAGCCCTTTTGAGGGTTTGGGTTTCAGTGCGCATTCTTTGGTCACACAGAGTGCCTCACGCTGCAAGGTCCAAAGATCGCTGCTGCAGCTTGGGGCCATGTACTGGCCCAGATTTCGGAATTACTGGTTACAGTTGTAGCGGCTACAGAGCTTAGACTAAACCCTAAACTTTAGAGGCCCTAAACCCTGAACCCTAAACCCGACACGGACAGGGCGATCATGCGAGGGGGTGCAGGCCAGCAGCGCCTTGCCAGGAAGCTGTGGCCAGCTGATAGCACCGATTCATGCAACGATTGGCATCTAAGGGTTGGCAGGGTTTAGGGTTTAGGGTTTAGGGTTTCGGCAGCACCATCTCCAAAGAGCGAATATAGGGTTTAGGGTTTAGGGTTTTATAGGGCCTAGGGCAACTCAAAACGCCGACAAGGATGATGCGTTCAAGCTGTGGTAAAGGTGGGGTTGCGCGGGCAGAGCTGCCACATTGAAAGTACACTGATTTAGGGTTTAGAATTTGGGGTTTAGGGTTTGGGGTTTAGGGTTTGGGGTTTAGGGTTTGGGGTTTACGGTTTGGGGTTTAGGGTTTGAGGGACATCCTCCGTGGAAACTGCCTTTTTTCAGAGTTGCAGCCCTGACCCCTGAACTCTGTTGACTCGGGTTGTTTTTGGGTTTAGTTCGGAGTCGGGTTGAGGGTGCCATTTTTTTTGGGCAGGATTTCAAGATTCGGGCTCAGGGTGTGTAGATACTTTTGGTTCTAACAGGCGCCCGACCACACTAATTCGACGGCCCAGGGGGCATTTCTGTGCCCGCGTGCCCTGCCGATCGCTATACTTGGAGATGGTCTGCTTCGACGTTGCATGCGAAATGGGCCTTAGCAAAAGTTGCTCTACACCCAGTGGTCTAAGGTTCAAGTAAGAGTAGTATGTATACAATATATTCATTGCTATTATAGAACACATAACAAATATGGAAATATTTACATAGGCTGAGGGTTTGTAGGGCTTGGAGGTTCGGATACAAAGTCTTGCTTGGGAGCTTGTAGGGGCAGATTGTTGAGAATAACAATCCCGCCCCTGCGAAACGACTGCGTCTCGACATGCGTCTTTGGTTGAGGCTCCTATAGGGCATCTACCCAAAGGCTCTTATGTAGTACCTTTTGGATTATATAAGGGGGTACTACAATAGACTCTTAGGGGTTCTGAATAGGGATTATTTTTCGGGGGTACTATATTCCCTATTAAGGACTGTTGGTAGACGGGGGAACATCCCAAGCCTAAACCCTTAACTCCAAGACCCAAACCTTACAAGCCCCTAGCCGCGGTACCTCAAAACCAAAACTCTTGGTCCCTCCGGGTAAGCACATGGGGTTGCTCCGAAGCTTAGAAGCTCTCCTTGTGGGGGTCTTCGCTTGGGTTCCAATGGGTTTCTAAGGGAAATCTGAGGCCATTTCGGGAGCAGGTGTTTTTCCCATCTGCCACATAAGAGATGCCGAAGCTCAACAAAACAAAACGGCCCCCCTTCGTGCTTCCCAGCGGCATGCTGCTGCCGCACTTCGCGGGCAGGGCTCAAAGCATTCGAAGGACTTTGCTTCTAAAGGGTGACACGCTCCCTGTCAAGGGGCAGCCGGGTACCAGTTCCCAACTAAGTCCTTAGTTGACCGCGGTGCCATGAGACGATGACCTCGGCCAAGGCACTCCCCTACACTAAGTTCTCGCCTACAACTTGACAAAGCCACTTACACAGGCCTGACGCAGGGCTTAAGTTTAAGGCCATGCGCGCATGGGCTGCAATGAACCTGCTGCTCTCCCGTCTTCGGGCCCTACCGGCCTTGAGCCGGCGCTAGCGGACACCAGAGGCTCCGATTGGAGTATTTGTAGGCATGCGGTTTAGGGCTTCAGGGTTGGGTTTAGGGTTTAGGGTTTAGGGTTTAGGGTTTAGGGTTTAGGGTTTAGGGTTTAGGGTTTAGGGTTTAGGGTTTAGGGTTTAGGGTTTATGGTTTAGGGTTTAGGGTTTAGGGTTTAGGGTTTAGGGTTTAGGGTTTAGGGTTTAGGGTTTAGGGTTTAGGGTTTAGGGTTTAGGGTTTAGGGTTTAGGGTATTTTAACAAGAAGTAGCTCAGGTTAAAACGGACACAAGTCTTGTGCGTCCCTACATCAGCACTACTATTCAATGCATTGGCCGTGGTGACGCGCTTTTTGGGTCGTGTACGCTAGATAGGCTACAAGAATGTATGGGGATGGTAAGGGGATATTGCTGATCATTTTTTGAGGGCTCTGATATGAGTGACTTCTTTCGGTTAGCATTAATTATTGTCAGCAACGCTTAATGTAATTTGTCAAAGAACAAAAGTCATGTTCAGTAGGGGTCTAGGCAAGGCACTGGTGGGTTTTTTTGGGGCTGGGTGGGGCTGGGGCTGGGGTTTGGGGCTGGGGTGGGGCTGGGTGGGGCTGGGGCTGGGTTTTTTGGGGCTGGGCTGGGGCTGGGGCTGGGGTGTGGCTGGGGCTGAGGCTGGGGTGTGGCTGGGGCTGGGTTTTTTGGGGCTGGGGCTGGGGCTGGGGGCTGGTTTTGTTTTTTCTCTTCTGCTCTGCTCCCCTTGTGGCACTCCACAGGTCCGGGATGTACAAGGCGTGCGGAGGTAGAAATCCTGCTTTTGCCGGGTGTACGTAGGTAAAGATACTCCCAACCCTACACCCTAAACCCTAAACCCTAAACCTGGGGGGGGGGGGGGGGAGGGTTGGTTGGGACTTCGGGGGAGCATCTCTTCGTTGTCTCAACTGCCTAGAGCACTCGCCTCACCACTTCAAATATACATGGGGGGGGAGAATAAGGTGACCCGTGGGATACAATTTTACCCCCAAAGATCCCTAATCCCAAGCCATGCAAGTGCGCAGGCACGGCTATTTTCCTCCAGCTTGCTTGCGGTTGTGCCATCAGATCTGGCACACATCTTCTGGAACTGGCTTACAATGACAAGCGGCAACTCAGAAAACCCTTCTGCTTCCATCAGGGAATGACCTTAAACATAGCACGGCTACATGACCTAAGGCCTTGACCCCTTTGACGTGCCTCGGGTTCATTTTGGGCCTACGGGGATACTCAGATATGAGGGCTCACCAAGGGGGGGTTATAGTCATCACTCGGACTCACGTTCGGGTGGCAGGTGCTGCTCACGAATCTCGCCGACCTTCTGCAGAAACTTGGCGAAGTCCGAGTCGTCCTGAAAGGGTTTAGGGTTTAGGGTTTAGGGTTTAGGGATTAGGGTTTAGGGTTTAGGGCTTATGTAGTACCTTTTTGGGGTAGTATACTAGAATCCCCCAAAAACCAACCCAGAAAGGGACTACATTGGAGCCTTCAGGTAGTTTCAAGATGAATTCTCCGTAGCTGAAAAAAAAGGGAGGATCTCCTACTTTTAGGGTTTAGGGTTTAGGGTTTAGGGTTTGGGGTTTAGGGTTTAGGGTTTAGGATACTAATTATAGTGGGTAGACTTAGACCTTCTGTTTTGGGGTACGGGGTTCGCTCCCTCATTTAATCCCTAAACCAGAGAGGCCAGGTTCTGAAAGAAACGCGCGGGCCCCTTTTGCACCCTAATTAGGGGGTTTAGGGTTTAGGGTTTAGGGTTTAGGGTTTAGGGTTTAGGGTTTAGGGTTTAGGGTAAATGATCCCTACGCCCTGGTCTCGATACAAAGGGATCATACCAACGGAGAGACTCACATGAAGAGTTCGGGGATCGTGGCCCCTTCCGCCATGGGCTGATTCACGAAAAAGGCTTTGGGGTTCAGGGATTGGGGGTTGCCGATTTGGGCTTAGGGCTGTTTAGGGTTGAGGTTTGTGGTTTAGCCCCTTCTTGTCTATAGGGGTTTGAGGACACCCACTTAATTTTAGGGACCTCCACGCAGCATACGAGTTAGGGCCTTCACCCTAAACCCTAAACCCTAAACCCTAAACCCTAAACCCTAAACCCCAAACCCTAACCCTTGAAGAATTAGTTCGCCGGCCTGAGAAGTTCGAAGTGCTTCAAGAGGCAAGCGCTGCTGCACCTGCTCTTTTCGGGTGTATGTGGTGGTTTCCGAAGTTCGGGTACCTTATTGCGGGTCCTTAGTGTAAGGGAATCCTACTAGTTGGGGGATCTACTTTAGGGGTCCTCTATAAGAGTTCAGGATTTTGATCTCGACGCCTCTGAGCCTCTTCGTAAAACGGGAGAAGTGAAGACTGACAACACCTGCAAATCCTGCACACCTCCGGGAACCAGTCCCGCGCAAAGCACTGGACCCTAAACCCTAAACCCTAAACCCTAAACCCTAAACCCTAAACCCTAAACCCTGGAACTCAAGAGCATCGGAGGCACGTCCTTCAAGAATGTGACGAACTCGTCCAGTGAGCGTGCCTGAAGCACGGGGTCCTTGCCGAAGTCGGTTGCAGAGTTTAGGGTTTAGGGTTTAGGGTTTAGGGTTTAGGGTTTAGTGTTTATGGTTTAGGGTTTAGGGTTCACAGGGTTTAACTTCACTGACTTCTCTACTTCCACAACGAAGCGAAGGAGTCTGAGTGGAAGTGAGACCAGGATGGGCTACTAGGCCTTAAAATCCCCATAATGAACCCTATAAAGGGCCGTTTCTTAGTTGTCCAGTAACCTGGAAGAATGAAAGGTTAACCTTTGGTATTATAAGGGGATAATACTACCCCAAAAAGGTTAAAGGTTCACTACTCTACTACTAGGGTTTAAGGGATTATAGGGTAGCCCATCCTGGAAGGGAATATCATGCACATGCCTTCTGTGCGGAGACGCAGTCTTGTCTGGGTGTGCAAAAACCTTGCATCCCCGACCTTCGAAACGCTGGACCCGAGCACGTGTAAGAGGCTGGGTAGCAAGGTGGAGAACCTCTGCTAAGGTCCTAGAAGAAGCCCTTTAACGCCCTAAACCCTAAACCCTAAACCCTAAACCCTAAACCCTAAACCCGAATTTGCCGTGGAACAGAAAATCCGACTCGGAGGTTTCATGGGTAGTTATAAGAAGGGTTATACGTATGGGTAACGATACTTGTAACCTTACTTGGGGTACTTATAACCCTTGTTTGGGGTACTTATAACCCTTATTTGGGGTACTTATAACCCTACTTATAAGCATGCACGAAGTAGAAGTCCTACTTATGCTCAAGCCGACGAAATGGTTCACCCAAACGGTTGTTGCAACAGGCAAGCCTCTAGGACTGCTCGCGCGGAACCCTAAGCCCTGAACCCTTTTTTGCCACTGGCTCGAAGTCTAGCCATAGCCAAAACCCTGAACCCTAAACCCTTGTTTTGAACCCAGACTCAGAGCCCGAAACCCTAAACCCTAACCTGCAAACACCCTAATCTCTAAACCCGAAACCCTAAACCCTACACACCCTCCCCCCCCCCGGAAGGTGGTCCTCGTCCACGACGCGTCGGAGCTTCGCCTCGCGCCGTGTGACGCGGTCCAGGTCGAAGCTGAGCTCAAGGTTGCGCTTCCGCTGATCCTTTCAGGGTTTAGGGTTTGGGGTTTAGGGTTTAGGTTATGTAGCCCTGCTGTGTTTAAGGTCATTCCCTGGTGCAAGCAGAAGGGTTTTCTGAGTTACCCCTAAACCCTAAACCCTACACCCTGAACCCGAAACCCTAAACCCTAGCATAGCTCCTGTACCCAAAACATGGGGTTGCAAGTGCCTACTTGCAACTATAGTCCATGAACCGCCAAGTAAGCTTCAGGGATCGGAAGCTCAACTCTAAACCCTGAACCCTCAAGTTTTGGCCTAGGGTGTAGGGTGTAGGGTGTAGGGTTTAGGGTTTAGGGGCCTGAAGTCCATGAGGGTTCCCTTGCAGGGACCAGGCACTTTGTAGGTTCAACTCCCCTGCGCACCTCCACCCGCATGTGCAAGGCGGCTTTCCTCAGCTGCAGCTTGTGACCCCTCAAGGCATAGGGTTTTTTTTGCCATCCGCACTGGGCATAGGGTTTAGGTTTAGGGTTCTAGAGGTGCAACTATTGTCTGCTAGAGGTTCATGCGTTTGTCTTCTTGGCCGTGGCCCATGCCTGGCATTCTTAAAGAACTGGTTGGGCCAGTCGCGAGGCGAGTCGGGACCAATGAGTTCAGCCTGTGGGCTTAGGGTTTAGAGTTCACATGGTCAGTTCTCTAGATTAGGGCCCCCTGTTGGGGTACCCGAAATTACAAGGGCCGCCTTAGAAGAAGGAGTCCAAAAGGGACCATGATGCGGGTTTAAGGGTGTCGGGGATCATGCTTCCAAGACTCTGCAGTTCAGCCGGCACTGCCGGTGCAGCCTCTTCGCCCGGCTTCTTGGGCGGAGGCTCCTGGAAAACAAGGGCTTACTTGGAGGTTCATGGGTACAAATACATCGGGGTACAAGTATCCGAAATAGGGTTATAGGGGTATCAGCTAGAAATATAGTTAAGTACCCATGAACCTCCTAAGTAGAGTTTGGGGGGATTAGGGTATTAGGGGTTCTGGAGTGGGTCAGGCGAGCTAAAGAGTCAGCTTCGTAGTTAGCCTTTTGTCCTGGGGGAACCTCCGTTCCTAAGTTCGGGTCCTTTTTGGATTTTCTTAAGGGTGCCATACTAGATAAGTGGACCCAAACATGGGACCCTCATTCACAGAACCACCCATGCGCATGGCTAAGAATTCGGCCCTTTTCCCAAAGGGCCCAATACCCCGCAACTAAGGAATACACCTGAATTTACATATAGGGATCCTTTATATGATTTAAGGTAACTCTAAACCCTAAACCCTAACCCCCTAAGGGCCATTGGGGCTCTTTGGATTCCGACCTGGTATCCCAGGTAGCGGCCACAGAGTTCGACCAGGCAGTTCCGCCAGCCTTCATGGTCATCGCTGCGACCTGCAGCGCTGATTCTAGGGATTAGGGTTTGGTTAGGGTTTAGGGTTTAGGGTTTAGGGTTTAGGGTTTAGGGTTTAGGGTTTAGGGTTTAGGGTTTAGGGTTTAGGGTTTAGGGTTTAGGGTTTAGGGGTTTAGTTTAGGGTTTAGGGTTTAGGGTTTAGGGTTTAGGGTTTAGGGTTTAGGGTTTAGGGTTTAGGGTTTAGGGTTTAGGGTTTAGGGTTTAGAGTTTAGAGTTTAGGGTTTAGGGTTTAGGGTTTAGGGTTTAGGGTGTAGGGTGTAGGGTGTAGGGTGTAGGGTGTATGTGGCAAGGGATTGAAGTTCTGCGAGGCTCACTGACAACTTTCGGACCCCGCGGAACACGCAGCAGGCGTGACCCCTCTTTGAAAGCTGGGCTCCGGACACCCCTCTAAACAATCCTGAAAAATCCTAGAAAAAACCCTATAAAATCCTATTACAGCCAAAACAATCCTTAAACAATCCTTTAAAAAATCAAAAAAAACCCTATAAGTCCTCTAAACCCTGCTTGCCAGGGAGCTTGGCGTCAGGACGCCCACCTCTCCAAGCCGCCGCTTGAGAGCGGGAACATCCATGTCGGAGACCATGGCCCACAGAACTCAAAATGAAGCTCAGCAGCGTAGGAATGAAGGGTTTAGGGTTTAGGGTTTAGGGTTTAGGGTTTAGGGTTTAGGGCTTAGGTTTTAGGGCTTAGGTTTTAGGGCTTAGGGTTTGGGGCTGGGATGCAGGCCCTTGCGCTAAAGTCGGCAAAGCTGCAGGGCCTGAGCCTCTCAAACCCCCGAAACCCTAGAAACCTCCAAAGGGCTCGACTTCTACCCGAAACCTTAAACCCTGAACCCTAAACCCTAAACCCTCAACCCTAAACCCTAACAAAGTCCATAAACGCATCGGACATGTAGAACTCCGGCGCCGGAAAGTCTGCAGCACGGGGACTTGCTGGCTGTAGCCTCTAGCGTTTAGGGTTAAACCCTAGACCCTAGACCCTAGACCCTAAACCCTAAACCCTAAACCCTAAACCCTAAACCCTAGACCCTAAACCCTAAACCCTAAACCCCAGGCATGTCGGGGCAAGGGCTTCTTGAGGGTTCCAGGGCCTCAAGGGTTCTACGGGTGAACTTCCCTTCGGCATGTAAAATAGGGGCAGCGTTCACAAGCGCTGAATCCTGCAGATCGTTGCAGGCACTTTTGGGGCTTACATAGGGTTTAGAGTTAGGGTTCGGGGTTTAAGGGTTTTCGTCCCCTTTTCTCACTGGACATTTCCCTCATCCCCAAGAGAGGCTCGACAGGCAAGCTACTTCATCTTCCCGGGCCGCCAAACCTCACCCGGCCTTTCTCAGGGTTTCGAGTTTAGGGTCCACTTTTTTGGGGTTGCTACCTGCCTACCTAACCCTTACGTTGAGGGGTTTGTTGATGCCTGTCCCGCCCAGCAGGCCGAAAGTCCACTTCGTTTAGGGCTTGGGGTTTAGGGTGCAGGGTTTCGCCCCACGAATGCCCACCGCCCCCCCCCCCCCCCCCCTCTCCTTCCGGGGACGTTGTTGCTGCCTCATAAACATGGTTGCTGCTTGGACAAATATCTGACAGGCAGAGTTGCGGAAGAGGCACCTTCAGAATTGCCATGGTGGGGCATGTCACTAGCTTGGCTGTTTGCTTTCTCCATGAAGTTGGCCTCGTGCCAAAGGGCTCTGATGATCCAGACGAGACGCCTACCTGGGACCCTGTTTACCAACGGCTTAGTAGTAAGTACCCCCTAGTTAGTAGGTATAACCCTGAACCCTAAACCCTTGAAACTGTAGGTAAAAAGGGTCACAGGATAAGGGATGTCTGCAAAGCAGACTAGAGAGTCAAAAGAACGCAGGAGTCGGCAACTTCAGAGGAACTCTGGGCGCCTCTTCTCGACTTGGGGTCAAACCCCAAACCCTAAACCCTAAAACCCTAAACCCTAAACCCTAAACCCTGAACCCTTCAGGTTCTGTTGCTAGGGTTGAGTTGAAGTTTTCAGGGCCATCGGCAGACTCAAGCATCCCATAGAAGCGCAGTCCTGAGATCTGGAATGTCACCGTACCTAGCCCCAAACCCTCAATCCCAGACACGCCACAACACGGTTTAGGTTTAGGCTTTAGGGTTTAGGGTTTAGGGTTTAGGGTTTAGGGTTTAGGGTTTAGGGTTTAGGGTTTAGGGTTTAGGGTTTAGGGTTTAGGGTTTAGGGTTCCCATGTGGTAGCTTTTGGGTTGAAGTATCTGCTATGTAGGTACCTGGACTGTTAGGGGCTCCCACATCCTGCACGCGGCGCTCAGGTCAGCCAGTGTTCGAGCGTCTCCTTTCAACGCTCGAGGGTCTTTAGGGTTTAGGGTGTTTCTGCGGTTCGAGACCCCTAAACCATCCGAAGTAGGGCTGATAGTACTAGCAGCCCCAAAAGGACACCCAATGTATACACTCACCAAGAATTGTAAGGAATAGTGTCGCAACTTCACCTCCTATGCCATAACCCTCCCCCCCTTCGTGCCACCACACAAGTCATGGCGGCCGAGTCATCCCAGCAAGAATTTGCAAGTAGGCAAGAATACCCAAAGAGCACAATGCCCCTTAATTACGGAATACATACATACATATATATATATATATAAAGGTATGTATGTATGTATAGGGGTCCTGAATATGATTTAAGGTATGCTCGGTATTGGGCTCTTTGGGGACTACACAGTGTCTGTATGACTTGGCTAATGCTTGAAATGCATCTCATGTACCTGAAATCCAGCTAAACGAGGGTAAGGGGTAGACTTGGTGGACATCATTCTGCCGTCCTTTGCCCCTGGAGGACCACGCGCTCCTGAAATTCGGCTTGGGTCTGATACAGCCTATGCCTATGGAGTACTCGGCTCGTCATAACATGAAAACGAACTGTTGGTCTCCGTGCATACGCAGGACAGAAGCCTGACCGCGGCTAGCTACATGCTGGAAGGGGTTCTGCAAGCCGCCCATGAAACAGGGCCGTGGGCGTCATAATGTTTGGGTCTGGCCTCTGTTTTCTGAATGCTAGGGTTTCAGAAGCACTCCCAGAAGGTTTGGGGGTTAGTGAAGTTTTCCCCAGGGGAGGGCGAGGGGGGGGGGGGGGGAGCATTCCCATACAGAACCCCAAGAAACAGGACATCCCCGAAGACTATGCACTAAACTCCAATCCTCAAGCCCTGCAAACTTCAAGCTTCACGAAAACAGGCTTTTTAACCTTGAAACCCTGAACCTTGCTAAGCACTAAGCCATAAGGCGTAAACCCCTTAACCTACACCCTAAACCCGTTTCAGAAGCCAGACTCCCGGGCCCTAAGCACTTTTGAACCCAAACCCTAAGCCCTAACTAGACCCCAGAACCCCAAACCCTAAACCCCAAGCCCCGATAGGCCCGCAAAGAACCCTCAGCTTCACAGGGCCTCGCCTGAAAGGAAGGCTGACCTTGGTGTTTAAGGGGTTTGGGGTCTAGGGTTTGGGGTTTAGGGTTTAGGGTCTAGGGTTTGGGGTTTAGGGTTAGAGTTCGGAGTGGGGTTTAGGGTTTTGGGCTTGGGGTTTAGCGGCGTGTTGGATGGGAAGTAACCCCCAAAAACGCGGGGGGGGGGGGGGTAGGGGGGGTACCCGGGCAGCTTTTCCATGGAGGGCCAGGCTACCCACAACGCATAAACTCACGGACCATAGGCGGTTTCGCACAGGACATAGGGGCCCTTTGGCAAAAAAAACACCCCCCCCCAAACCCCCCCCCCAACCCCCCCCCCACCCCCCCCCCCCCCCCCCCCCCCCCCACCCCTGCCCCTCTGCAGCTCCCCCTCCTACCCCCCCCCCCCCACGAGCGCGTTTAAACCTTTCAACCATGCTCCAGCGGGGTCGGCGGCTTGAGCCGGAAGCTCTTAAGTTTAGGGTAGACAGCGCCGAGTACATCTGAGCGACTGAACGCAACTGCATTGTGATGCAAATGGGCGTAGAAGTAGGATATGAAACATGTTGCCGAAAGATCCAAACTGAGATGCCGTGAAGAATTAGGTGCGCGATTGAAGGTTGAATAAGTTCTATTGTTGTTAACTACCATGTCCAAAGTTGCCGCTGTTGTTGTCGTTGTTGTTGTTGCTGCTGAAGCCTTGGCGTCTGTTTGGGCTGTTGGCGCTCTTTGTGCCTTTGGTGCTCTGGGTCCTCTTGCCGGCAGATCTCTCCGCCCATGCCACTTGATCATGTCTCCACGCGCACGAAAAAAAACTACCGCGGAATTTCTGCTGTTCCCTGCTATGGATCTGTACCCGGACCAAAGATGCAAAATGCTTGTCCTACGTATGCACAGACTGGTTCTAGATCGTTTCTTTAGCAGCTGCTGATTGCTTCCACCACTGGCGATTGCACCGAGATGGGCCGCGTTTTCTGTCGCCAAAAGAGAGTTGCAGCTACAGCATGTCTTGCCAGCAGCTGGCAGTGCTAACTACTCCAGGTTCTACACATCTGTCGTGGAGCCATGCCCCACAATTCCTGCTAGCCTGCTCTTCAACGATCCTCATGCTTATACCCACCATCTCCCTATACATATATATATATATATATGTATATACACTCATGCTTATACCCACCATCTCCCTTTACATATATATATATATATATGTATATACATAAACCTAAAACAAGCTCGATCTCGAAGTGGTAAGCTCTGGCCTAGCTCGTATTTATATACCGCACTTGCTCATGAAGAACTCCGCGTCACGAAGGATTTGTGGCAGATTTAACTACCCTAAACCCTAAACCCTAAACCCTCAAGTTGATACTGGGGGATGCACTTTTGGACCCCAGTGACTCCGAATGTTTTCTCCGTGTCAGTGTGAAACTTTGCCTCAGAAAGGAAGCCCGTGTCCTCTTGGAATCGTCCCACCATGTCCTGGCAAGAGCACCGCTACTCCTTTGGACCTAAACCCCAAACCCTCAACCCTAAGCCCTAAACCTTAAACCGACAGAAGCAAATCTGGTGTGAGAACCTCGGTTTCGGGTATTGACCTTCAACTCTGCCTCCCAAACCGAGTGCCAACCCTGAAGGCCTTTCCAAACCCTGAAGCCCTGAACCCCTAAACCCTAAACCCTAAACCCAAACCCTAAACCCTAAACCCTAAACCCTGAACCCCCTAACTCCAGAGCATCCTTTCAGAATCTTGTGGTTGGCGCTGCAGGGAGGCATCGTGTTGATCGTGTTCCTTGGCAAGCTGAGCCCCTCGCCCTTAACCCACAGTGGGTTTAGGGTTTTAGGGTTACTGTGGGGCACTGCCGGATGTGCCGGGAAGCCTTGTCAATTGTGTGATTGATTGCCCCAAAGGCCCACTGGAAAGCTGCACCCTGCCAATCGGCTTCAACCCGAAACCCTAAACCCTAAACCAAAATCCGACAGGGCGAGCAACACTCGCGTGGTTCGTTCACCCCAGGTTTAGGGTTTAGGGCTTTGGGGTATAGTGTTGAGCGTTCGCAACTGTAGCAAAGCTTGTATACACCCTATGAACCCTAAACCCTAAACCCTCATCCCTAGGCCCTAAACCCTAAACCCTAAACCCTAAACCCTAAACCCTAAACCCTAAGCCCTAAACCCTAAACCCTAAACCCTATGAAGCAACCCAGGTGCTTGCTGGCGGACATCCTCTTCGGCTCTTGGCCGTTGACCTGCGATATCTGGGTGTCGGGTCTTTGAGGGCCGAAGTTAAAGCCCTAAACCCTCAAACCCTAAACCGTAAACCCTAGGCCCTAAACCCTAAACCCTAAACCCTAAACCGCATAGGGTAGCCAGAAGCCATGTGCAGCCTTGCTTAAGCCTAATGGCCATCGCCCTCAAACCCAGAACGCTGAAACCGCCTCGTCCCCCCAAACATCCCTTAAACCCTAAACCCTGAACCCTCACGACCCTAAGGCCCTAAACCCTAAACCCTAAAACCCTAAAATCCTAAACCCTCCATCAGCATCTCCTAAGCACTCGGACTCAACACCACCACACCGGTAGCCCAGCTCGATAGGGTTGAGGGCTTGCCGCAAACGGCTTTGGTTCCCTTTTTGCTCAAGGGCTCTCTCACCCGCTTTGGTTGCCTAAACCCTCAACCCTAAACCCTCAACCCTCAAACGCTGACCCCTAAACCTTGAACACTCAACCCTATACCCCGTAAACTCTCAACCCGAAACCTACCGGATCTCTTTCCGCTAGGACCAACTTTCAGGCCTGCTCATGGAACATCGTGACCACTGGTGGGATGATCAGGTACCTCTGCTGCATTTTTGTCGGGTTGGCGAGGGGGCATTGGGGTTCAGGGTGCTTTCTTCCTTGCAATGTCAACTGATGTGCGATCAGGGACGCGGCGGTATCTCAGTACCCGTAGTAGCGTGTGTCTTAGAAGCTCCTCGGACACGGATACCACGCGGCATGTAAGCTGGCCCGTTTCTGCACAGGACGGAGCCGTTCACCAACCACCCACAAATCAAAAGCACAAAACAAAACAAGCAACTCAAACCCTTTTGCCCAAAAAGACCCTAGACCCTAAACCGTATAACCCTTAACCGAAACCCCAAGACCTTACAACCCGAAAGCCCTGAAGCCCCCAAGAGAACCACCTTGAGGTCCGAAAGCCTCAAGCCCTGCAGCCCTTTTCCACCCATTCCACATTTAACAAAAAGAACATATCTATGTCTTATATGGAACTCAATTGTGTATATGGATATGCTACCAGATATTCACACATGCATGTATGAATATGCAAAGTAACCTAAACCCAAGCTCATCTCGAGACCCAGATTTACCCTAAACCCTAAACCCTGAACCCTAAACCCTAAACCCTAAACCCCTGTTGCTTCTGCCAAGTCGCGGGTTCGAGATGTCGGCCACTCGGCCGAAGTCCCGAGCTCGAGCGCTGAGGAGACCACGCGGAGCACGCTTGAAGATGCTGTGGTTGCAGACCTCTATAAGGTATAGGGTCAGGGTTTAGGGTTTAGGGTTTAGGGTTTAGGGTTCAGGGTTTAGGGTTTAGGGTTTAGGGTTTAGGGTTTAGGGTTTAGGGTTTAGGGCTTAGGGCTTAGGGCTTAGGGCTTAGGGTTTAGGGTCAGGGTTTTGGGTTTTAGGGTTTTTTTGGCACCCGGCTAGCCGCAGCACTGTTTTAGGGTTTAGGGTTTAGGGCCCAGAAATGTCCGAATTGAGGTTTCTAGAGTCTTCCGGCAGGTTTCTGTTTGGCTTCCTTTTTGTTGTTGCGTGGGGGGGGGGGGGGGGAGGGGATCCTTTCGATCAGAGAGATGAATGCAACAGATGTGTTAACCCTGAAGCATTGAAACTGAGCGGGCCCAGAACCCCCTGACAAACATGTTCCTGAATATGGAACCTGCTCATCGCAACAAAGGACAACCACAAGCGATATCCCAAGGGCGTACTGGGCACTTGCATGTGAGAAGTAGAGTTTAGGGGCCGTTCGCCGTTCGCTTGAACAGCTGTTACATTGGCCCGTCAATGGTGTGACTCACACCGGGCACGAGACACCCTAAACGCTAATCCCTAAACCGGACCCCTCGTAGCCATACCCCACGTCCTTTGCCTTATGCCGCTGTGAGTTTGGCCTAAATCCTTATTTCCCCGCATCCTAAACCCGAAATCCTATCCCGAATCCCTCAAACCCCTCAAACCCCTCAAACCTCTCAACCCCAAACCCCAAACCCCAAACCCCAAACCCTAAACCCTAAGCTCTAAAACCCTAAACCCTAAACCCTAAACCCTAAACCCTAAACCCTAAACCCTAAACCCTAAACCCTAAACCCTAAACCCTAAACCCTAAACCCTAAACCCCAAGCACCGCACCTCATCCTTGTGGGAATTCGGGAAGGTGGAGAGCGTCCGGTAGGCACCAGGGCCGGGTGTGCGCGACTCCTCCTTGCACCTGAAGGGCTCTGAGGACTTGGGTTTAGGGTTTAGGGTTTAGGGTTTAGGGTTTAGGGTTTAGGATTTAGGGTTTAGGGTTTCGGGTTTAGGGTTTAGGGTTTAGGGTTTAGGGTTTAGGGTTCAGCTCTGAGGACTTGGGGGGACTTAAATGTCTGCCCAAAGGCTCCAATGTAGTTCCTTTCTGGGTTAGCTATAGGGGATTCTAGTATACTACCCAAACAGGTACCACATAGGAGCCTTTGGGTGGTGTATAGAAACTCAAAGGCCCGGCTGCACCAGAAAACCTTGCATATGTTGTTCGGAGATCTGTTCGCTGTGTCCTGGGGCACCCCGGCTGTGTCTGTGACACGCGAACAATTCAGGGAGGGCGTAGGCGTGCGCAGGTGTTCGGGGGAACGAGCCCTGGCACAACCGATGTACCTGAAAATTGCCCCTCTAAACCCTGAACCCTGAACCCTGAACCCTGAGCCCTAAACCCTAAACCCTAAATGTCAGCTCTCAGTGGGCAACTCTTGCAACCATGCTCACGCCTGCAGATGCGCCAGCCTACAAGAGTATCTCTGGTCCCGGAGACAAGCAAGTTGTGGCACGCAAGGCCGAAGTATTGTGCCCATCTTGCTGTCTATCTTAGTTAGAAGGGCTGGCTGCGCTACATGCCCCGAGCCTGAAACCCTGAACCTCCAAACCTGCAGTCAAAAGTAGTTGGGGGGGGAGGCGCTGATTGGACCGATGCGTGCCCATGCCGTAGAGGGGGTTGGCGCCGGAGAGCATTTCCTGCAAAGGCATAGGGCTCGAGGGGTCATTTCCGCTTCACTGTTGTCCTCCGCATTTAGACTCTGCTTTGTCCATTTCGCTTAGAGGACACGGTTTAGTGGCCTCATGAAGTTTCTGATTTGTGGTAGTGCAGGGTGTTGGCGCGATGCGGGATCTTATACTACCCACCACCCATCACAAGCCAAGTTAAGGCCCAGCCTTATTTAGTCATAAGTATGGTTGTAAGCATGTGAACTAGACCTACAACCCTACTAAGGGTAATTACTTATCCGGGTACCGATCATCAATCATGACACGCTAGACCTTCAAGCCTAAACCCCTTGCATCCCCATTCATCTTACGTTCCCTGCCACCCCTCAGCCAGCCGCGCGAAAGACCTCCATGATAAGGCTTGCAGGTGCGCCGGAGGCCCTAAACCCTAAACCCTCAACCTTGTTTAACAGTAGGCGTTGAGGTCTGAGGCCCACGCCAGGAGAGAAGAGTCTGGGTATAGCCGCTAGAGCCGTGCCCAAGACTAAACGTTTAGGGTTTAGGGTTTAGGGTATAGGGTTTAGGGTTTAGGGTTTAGGGCTAGGGTTTAGGGTTCAGGGTTCAGGGAGTAGGCTACCTTGCGATTCACACCTAGGCGAACTGCTTCAAGCCTAGGCCCCGAAAGGCCAAAGAATCCCCTAAACCCTAAACCCTAAACCCTAAACCCTAAACCCTAAACCCTAAACCCGAAACCCTAAACCCTAAACCCTAAACCCTCTGGTCCCCACATCTCTCCTGCACGGGATCCTCGCTCCGTGCTGCAGCCTGCTTGTTTGGGTTTAGGGATTAGGGTTTAAGGTTTAGGGTTTAGGGTTTAGGGTTCAGGGTTTAGGGCCAGTTAGGGTTAATAGGGTGTTGAGTTTTGGGTTTCGGGTAGTTTCAGGCCGACTATGGATTCAGGGCCATTTATCCTGCATAGGCGCTCGAAAAGGGCTTAGAGGGTTTAGGGTTTAGGTTTTGGGTTTAGGGATGGCGAACTTCGGGAGGGTGTGCAACGACAGAGATGAGGAAGCCACCGTCACACGCTGGAAGTCTCAAACCAGCAAACTTTCCAGAAAAAAACTAAACACAGCAAACCCCCCAAAGACGCAACTACACTAAACTGAAACTATATAAACCAAAAACATAGGAAGTAAACCCCCCCCCAAAAGAAACCCACATTAAAAACAATCACCCTCGAAGCCCGCAGCACTAGCCGAAAACACGAACAGCCCATATCCCCACTGAAGAACATTCCCAAATATGATTCCTCCTTTTTGTTGAACCCCTAACGAAAGTATATAAACCCTCAACCCCAAAGCCCCATAATCCCGAAGTTCTCTCACCCTAAACCCTAAACCCTAAACCCTAAACCCTAAACCCTAAACCCTAAACCCTAAAACTAAACCCTAAACCCGGCCTCCATGAGACCCCTGGGCGTGGGCCGCTTCTTGGACTTGATGGGCGCGTAGATGCGCGGCATTGGGGGGGGCCCTGGCGCCTCTGGGGCCTGCAAGAACCCCCTGCAGTGGGCCAAACCCGTCTTGAGCTTGGCACGGCTGTGGGGGTTTAGGGTTTAGGGTTTAGGGTTTAGGGTTTAGGGTTTAGGGTTTAGGGTTTAGGGCTTAGGGTTTGAAGTAGGGTGCCTGTTGGCTGCGGGCTTTAGGCTTTAAGGTTTCTCTCTAGGGTTGAGGTGGGGCACTACAGTACCGGAGTTGTGGCAAAAGAGGGACCCTGCTAAGCAATTCTTGGGCATTCTTTAGGGCCCACCAGTGGCCCAGTGGTTTGTCGCGAGGGGTTGTGGAATCTTGGCTTCGGTTGGGGAGGGGGGGGAGGGGGGGCTTCCACGTGTTGCCTGTACGTATCAAACACACACACACACAATCACAATTTAACAAATTTAGCAATAGAAAAACAAATGTACATGTATGTATGAATATTGCAATGACGTAATTTATGTATAAGGCACCTGGAACCCTAAACACAGAACCCCCCCTAAGTCTTTGTGTTTTCGGACCTCGCCTATCTTCAGAGGAATGGAGAAAAGCAGCCCTTCAAATCTCGTCCCTGTCTTCAGGGGAATGGAGAAAAGCAGCCCTTCAAATCTCTTCTTCAGGCATCGGCGTGTGGTTCAAGGATCCGTTTAGGGCTTGGGGAGGTTTAGGGGTTAGGGTTTATACCGACTGGGGCTGGCCAAGGGGGAGACTCATGGCAGTAGGTGCTGCCTTTTAGGGTTTAGGGTTTAGTGTTTAGGGTTTAGGGTTTAACATTTAGGGCGTTATGGGGTTCAGCGAACACTGAAAACACTCTTTACGATCATCGAAACCAAGACGTCGAGATAAAAAGAGGACACTGAACAACCCGGCTGATCGCATGACTCGGACGCCTTAAACCTTTCACCCTAACCCCTAAATCCTAGAAATCCGCTTCTGAGCCGGCAATCAAGCAGAGGCTGATGCCCATCGGGCTCTCATCCACGTCGACCATGAGGAGTGGTAGCCTGGGATACTTGGCAGAGGGGGGTGGGGGGTTTGCAACCCCAGACCAAACAGTGACGCCCGAATTAAACCCAAAACCCTAAACCCTGTGCGATAGATCGTGACTTCCGGATTCCGCTTTCTGCTCAGTGTCTGGAGCTTTCCAGAAGAAGGCGCTCTTCTACCGACCCTGGACAGTTTACGCTCAACATCCCAACTCAATCCTGAACCCGACATGCCCTATGAGCCTGAAAACCCAAACCCAAAGAGCCCAATACCCCTTAATTACTAAGGAAAATACCTTAAAAACAATCTAATCTAGGAGGGATCCTTAATGTGATGTAAGGAAAGTTCCGTATAAGGAACATACCTTGTAATCAAGGGGTATTGGGCTCTTTGGGAATGCCCTTACCCCAAAAGTTGGGTCGCCCGGCGATGCGGGACAGACAGGCGTCGGCGAATGGAGGCCGTTTGCCTGGGGAGGCCTCGAAGGTGATCCGGCTGGTTCTTAATGAGCAGGGAATGAGGGAATGAGGCTCTATACTGTATAAACATAGAAAAGAAAAAACTGAAAAAAAAAAAAAAAAAAAACATATACGTAAATATAAAAATAAATATATAAATGTAAACATGTAAATATAAATAAATACCTGAATAAATAAAACATATGGGGCCCAAACTCCCTCATTCCCTGCTAAGAACCATGGGATGATGGGACCCTCGTGTGCACTGTAGTTTGTGCCTGGGGAGGTCAAGGCTTAGGGCTCTTAAGGTCTATCTCGCTCCTCTGTTTTTCTTTGTTCTTTGGGTTTAGGGTTTAGGGTTTAGGGTTTAGGGTTTAGGGTTTAGGGTTTATCAAGGCTTGGGCTTTGAGGTCTACTGTTGTTTTTTCTCGCTCCTTTTCGGGAGGTTTAGGATGCCGGGTCTGGGGTCAATCATCCCCCGAGGTATGCATAACCAGGGTCCTCGAACAAGGCTAAGATGGACCTTAAGACTTTCTTTAACATTATTCCTACATATGAAGCTTCAAGTTTTTCAATTTTAAACCCCAAATAATTGCAGGGAAATGCAAACATATTCCAAGGGCCTACAAAGAAGGCAATAGATGACATCATCAGTTCTTACCGAGTATCCGTACTGCGTACAACAGTGCAACATGGCGCCGGTGTCGTCGTGTGTCTCATGGCGTGGGTCGCGTTCGGAAAGAAGTTGGAAAGAAGATTCCCCCGAGAAGCCACAACCAACCTTCTGGAAAGTTCCCTAAAAACACAATAAGGTTTTGCAATCATAACATACCAGTTGGCTAGTTTGGGGTCCCTAAGGTGAGGAAGAAGATGCTGCTGACGATAAAGCTGCGTGAGCTGCTGGACGTGTCCTCTGGCCGCTACTGCGTAATATGATATCGAGGCCCTCTTAACCCTAAACCCTAAACCCTAAACCCTAAACCCACTTTATACACGAGACCTGAAGGCCTCCGAGGGGTCAGCCTAGGCTTGGGGGTTTGCGGAGTTGAGGTTAAGGTTCGGATGCCCCCCCTTATAGGGATGAGTAACCCTAAACCCTAAACCCTATAAACCCTAAATCCCAAGGTTAAGGGTATACAGCTCACCACATGAGGCCGCGGCAGCAGGCAGGTCACTTGTTGGCCCACGTTCTGGCTGTACCTCGGTTTCTCAGAGAGCTGATAGAATCCTTGAAAGGTACTTCGGGCCCTTGCAGAGTTACAATCACAACACCCCCCCTTAACCCCCAAAAACTACTGCGTTCCTCCCCCCCCTGCAAGCAAATCCAAAAAAAATCCTAAACCCTAAACCCTAATCACTCTTCACTCTTACAGGCCCGGTCAGCCATAAGCTCCGAACCTTAGCCAGTGACCTGCAGTTGACCATGCTATGGGACATCGCCAAGGTTCTTAAAGTCCTACAGTCCCAGGGTTTAGGGTTTAGGGTTTAGGGTTTAAATTTCAACTGGCTCAGAAGCTTCTCAGACGAACCCTCCTCTCAACAGCCGTCCTCTGCTCAACTGTTCTCCGAAGCCCACTAAGCATTCGACAGCCCCGTGCGGCCGCCATAACAACAAGAACTGTGACAAACAAACTCTTTACACATAGAACTCTCTTGCGACCAGGCCTGTTCAAACTGCTCTTGTTCAACCTTTACTGATGCCCAGTGGTGTGATGGGAGGCTGTCCACCAGCGCTCTCCAAGCAACCCGAGCAAACCGAATCCAAGCAAGAAGCACTCAGGAAAGGCATGCTGTTAAGAACTGATTAGTCAGTCTGGACTGGCAAAGAGCAGGAAACATGCATATCATGCATCAACAAAATTCAGCCGTTCGTTCCGCGGCGACGTTGTCGTTTGTGATCTACGTATCTGAGCTACGGTATCTCACGATGTTGCAAAACAAGGTCAGCGAGACCGGATTTACTGTCAAGGAACCATGTGTCTGCACATGGGTCTGACTCGAAGGGTTGAGGGCCTCGTAACCAGAATGGCTTGGGCCAGATTGTTTGAGCTGTTCAAACCACCCTGAAGCCCTTTTGCGTCCTGGCCTGTGCAACCCTGAACTCGTCTGAAGCTTGAAGACAAATTTGCCCTTTTTGCATATGCCCTAAACCCTGAAGCCCTGGAGCAAACCTAAACCCGAAACCCTGTAAACCCTACACCCCAAAGCCGCCACCCCTTGAGACGTGGCTCCACTGGTAGATGCCGAAGCCCACGAGCACAAAGATCAAGCCCAGGAATGTAAAGCAGGCGTGGCGAGTGAGTGGCTCCTGAAGTCTTGGGGTTTAGGGTTTAGGGTTTCGTCTTGCCGCGCGCATGAATGTACCAGTTGCGGGGCACAACACCGTGCCCATTGGAGCCCCTGGACGAAAAGAACCCTCAACCGAGCGCAACGAAAGCTGAGGAGAAGGGAAAAAGAGAGAGGGAGAGAGAGCGACTGAGAGTTTCTTCTCGGCAGGCGGGTCGTTAGGTTGGATCGGTAAGATCCATGGGGACCAAATGAGCCCTGAAAGGTTTCAGGACCATGTACCCTAACCCTAAACCCTAAACACTTTCGAACCCGAAACCCTAAAGAGCATCGGATCCCAATTATTCGGCTTCATTTGGTCCCCAAAATGATGCACATGGACCGACCGCAGAGTGGTTCTTCCTAAACCTCACATGTTCCATGCTTGCCATGCTTCACCTCCCTAGCCTGGCCTAAACCCTAAACCCTAAACCCTCAACCCTAAACCCTATAAAACCTAAACGCCAAACCCAAAGACCAAAACCCTAAACCATTTCGGGGACCAGGTTTGAAGGGATTGATAGGGCTTAAGGTTCATGCGCTTACCCCCTCTAGCGGTCACGGAACCTAGCAAAGACTGCGGCTGGATTCCAGGTGGTCCACATCGGTCTTCTCTGTACTAAGTTGAACGAGAAATTAAACGCACTGGCGAACGTTCCTAGGGCAGCTGGAAGCAAAACACACAACACAAGTAGCTGCAAGCAATAGTATGTGACAAATGAGGATAGTAGGCAAAGGAAACAGGTCCATGCCAGTGTAGGAACAGCACGCACAGCACAGAGCATGCACAGATCTTTCAGGGTGAAACCACCAAAATACAACTGTCTTATGCCAAAACCAGCGTCCAAGCATTGTTGGGCTGTCACACCACTGGCCCGCAACTTCTGCACTGCGAATCCGCCTCTGCGCAAATGCGCAAGTGCAAGGCCACCATCCAAGAACGCCCGGGGCGACAGCCCTGCCTCCTGTAGCTCTTGAGCTGTGAAACCAGCATCCACAAGCTGCTCAGCACTTAACTTTGCTGCAATCAACTGTTGAATCGTGAAGCCCGCCTGTCGTAGTTGTTGGAATGTAAATCCTCCATCCAAGAACTGCTGAGGCGTGAACCCGGCGCACAAGAGTTGCAAAGGAGTTAAGCCTGCTGCAGTCAACTGTTGAATTGTGAAGCCTAACTGTCGTAGTTGTTGGCATGTACATCCACCATCCAAGAACTGCTG